TCAAGACTTGGCTGCGCAGGTTTTGGCTCGAGGACATCCAGCGGCAACTGATGCAGCCGCGCGACGCGGAAGCCAAGTTTAAGCTGACTCCACCAGGCCGCGCCGGGATGTGCCATTGGATTCGCGCTAGTTGGGAGAGCCTGAGCTCCGACACCATCGCGAATGGATACAAGAAATGCGACTTACACCTCAACGAGGAGTGCCTCGCCGCCGCGTCGCTGGTGGCAGAGCTGCAGAACCTATCGCTAGTAGGGCCAGTGGCCAAGGCGGTCGACCAAACTTAAGACTTCGACCGCAATGTCATTCTTGACGAAGCTGTGGTGTAGCTTTCTTCTACAATACATACTTTGATGCACATCGTTTTTTAAAGGTATGTTTTCTGTTGTGAACATCATGTGCAGCTTTCTACATGCGAAATACGGTAGCATCTATGAACTGCCGTAACCTCGTCTTGCACATTCCAAGAGTCACCGTTCGTTCTTATACTGCTGATGGAGGTCAACACGCGACATTGCCGCACGTAGCTGGTCCGGCCGGGTGTGGGCAAACTGACTGGTTGTCATGATCTAGCCCCACGGGGGGTCATTACGGCCGTCGCCGAGGGAGTCTTGCTCCGAAGCGTCTGAATTCGAAGCATCATCATCGCGCGTCCAACAAAATCAAAATTATTGCGGGGTACGTGGGTACGAGATCGGGTGGGGGGGGTTACATGACACACATAGTCTGTCATTTGCGGCCGCCTTCGATACCCCCAAAGCTGCGTATGTGGCGAAGCGGCTCCGCGAAATTCGAAGATCGAACTACGCGTTTAGGAAGACCTCATAATTGTTTGTGCGAACGAACGGCGTGCAGCCAACGCAGATGCGGTACTGCCTTCTCCTTCACGGAGTTGTTATCGTAGGCTAGCTTTGCATGTTTCTACGTCTTTCGTAGCAAACGGGTGCTTCGAGTTGTTGAAACAGAGATTTCCAAAAGTAGGCGGCCGGACTCTGACAGGGCGCGCCGCAGGCTAGGGCGCTGCGCCATCGGCAGTTCGTGTTTTCCTCGAGCACAAGCAACTCGTTGTATGGGTTGGTAGCGGAACGAAGTAGCATCTACTCGGTGGGTTGAAAGTTTGAGTCGAGGATGGCAGCCGACATGCGAGCGACACTGGTACAGCTTTCCCAACACAAAGAGAGATAGGTGTGAGTGTGATACATGTTGACGAAAATGTTGAAGCTGTGAAGAGCTTGTGCAGCGTCACATAACGTGTCGTAATATGCGATGTGGTGTACGTGAGCTTGTCAACGACAGGTAAAAGGACGGATAGAGCAGTATCGTCGGCATCAACTCCGAACTAGAGGTAGAAATCTAATTCTTTGCCAGTTTCGGGCTGGCCCGGCGAAGCCGGCGGCGGCATGAATGTTGCTGGTGTTGGGGGAGGTGGCGCGCTGAGAGGAACGGCATCTCAGGTAAGGGGCGGGTAGTACTCATCACTGCTCCTACTGGCTGGCACGGTCTCCACGCTCTCAGTGCTGCTGTCGGTTCCATCATCGGTGCTGTTACCCTCGTCTGAGTACTCCAGCACTTCGGTAGTGTTGCTGTCGTCGATCGACGATTCGAGATCGGGTACCATAGTTGTCGGCAAGTTCGGATGTGTGTTGTGGTTATAAGCGCAACGTGGGAGACCGCACGCGATGTCCGGGACGATCAGGCCCTCTAACTGTTCCTAAGCACCTACAAATAAAATGACACTGTCTTGATTCAGATTGTTATTGCAAGGAGGTTTTTTCTTAATTATTGTTGTAGAATTATTGTTGTAGAAGGTTTGAATGAAGCAGAGAAGGTTATTGCACCACCAGCTCGAAGGGCACTAGAACCGCAGCATAATACCTTAGCGAGTTATGACAGCATAGTGTCTGTGGATTAACACTACCGAGTTATGATACCACGGTACGTTACTGTCCATAATGCACTTGACTGCATTTTAGCCAATGAATGCACCTTATCCTTATTGTGTGGGGTTTTGATAAATGGTGACCTGTTCGTTTGGGGTTTTGATAAATATCCCCTGGTCGGACTGGTAAGAGTCGCTGGGACTGTATTCTTCTCCTTCAGCCGCTCTTCTCGTGTCATAGTTCATAGAGGACGGCAAGAAAGATAAGACCTACATCAACACGCCACAAGCCGAGTACACGACGGACATGGACCGCCCCGACAGCAAGTAGGCTGACGGCAATCTCTAGTACAACAACGGAGAACTTTATTTTAATAAAGTACTATTAAAATAGTTTCTGGTCAAGGTTTGGAAAAAGACTTGGTCCAAAAACATAGTTGGTATTCCAGCGGAACAACGAAAGGTCGCGTTTTCTACTGGATTGGAGGTTTTGAACATTCGATGGTAATTTATCCGTAATCTATCCGTAATCTATCCGGCGTTTATCCAGATTTTCTTGCTCCAAATTAATTTCATAAATTAACACTGATTCTTGCAGAAAGAGCAGCTCGAAGAAGTCGGACCAGTCCTTGGTGATGTCCCCCACGAGGAATTGGCGCCACAGAGTAGGCAGCTGCAGCCATACTTTGTCACTACCCGCACCGCTGATGCGGCGCCGCTCTTGGCGCACGCTGCCGCCCTCGCCTCGCCCACGATGTTTTGAAGGCCACCACAAAGGCCCCGGTAACAGAAATCACGCCGTCTGCATCATCGTTCTCGTCGTGCGTGGTCTTTTGGTTTATCGCCAATTGCCGTTAATCTTCCACATGTATGTCGCACCATACTGAATCCAAGTGAAAGTGTCATGGATCATCAGGTCTCGGCATCAGTGATAGATTCGTATCACAACTCCCTACCAAAGGATCATGACCTTATCACAAATGCAGGGCATGTATGAGTTCAAAAATAGGTTTTAGTAGAACAACGAGACCCTTACTTGAGTACTGGAACATCTGTTCCGTAATCTATCTGGACTTTATCCAGATTTGTTTGATTTTTCCCTGTTCCAAATCCAAGAGATGTTCCAGCTTCTTCTCTGATATGATTTTGGTATTATTATTATTGATAACATAATATTAAAAATTTCTAATTTCATTAGTGCTCTCACTATTGTTTTTTATTTAAATGAACAGTTTATACCAGATTCTATTCAGGAGTAAAATGAGGGGCCTTTTAAATCATATTAATAAATATTAACGTTTGGCCACGAATGGGTTGACCAGTCACTATTCGGCATAATTATTATTCAAGTAAGCTTTTATTTTTTTGTACAAATTTGTTCGCTATTCCAGTAATTACACACAGAGGTTAAATTACTAACGACCAGGCTGCTGTACTCGTGGCACCTCTTACCCAGAAGATTCTCGATATAAACGTCTAGGCACCGTGGTTCAGTGACTCTCTCTGAATCAAACAAACTTCTTGTCATTCTCAAACTGGTCCAGCTCCTCAGCGACCTGCTCGAATGGAACGGTGCCAATTCTTCCAGACGAATCAACTCTCGAGGTTCTTGCAACGAGCGAGGCGATCATTCGCTAGCGTTTAGTAGAATGCACTCGAGCACAAGTAGACCTTATTTAGTATAGAACAATCCTTAATGTATGAAATACAACTCCTTACCCGGATTCAAGTCCCTCGCCAGAATCGTTCGATTCGCAGGGGCTTACAGGAATGAGAAGACCAGCTTATATTTAGTAAAATGCGTTAGTCATTTCTGTTTTTAAAAACATTTTCCAGTGGAACAACGAAGGGTCGCGTTGTTCCACTGAACTTGAGTATTGGAACATCCCCTGGTAATTTATCCGTAATCTATCCGGATTTTTATCCAGATTTTCCTTGTTCTAAAGTTCTCTAGTACATCTATCGTCTAACGGGTAACCAAAATAGTGCAAAGTTTGCAGCGGATGGACGAAGCAACGACTATACAGATACAGTACAGCACGGGCAACACTGAGATTCGGTGATCGCCCAGGATATTTGCATACATGCAAGATCGCACGTACGGGTGCGGACACTCGAGTCGGGTGTTCGAGTTATACACTTGCATCTGGAAAACTGTATTTACAACTTTCCTGACAGCTCAACATTTTCTGTGATGCGACTGCACAGTTGACGCCTTTGAAGATTGAATCTCCGCACGCTTTTTTCAGTAGCAAAAGAGCAGAACACAGCTACTGTACTGTATGCCGCTACGATTTTTATATGGCTTGGTATAATACACTCCTTTCGTACAGTAAGCTTACTACAAGTTCAGTATGCCTTACATGTTAGGCTTCAACTCCATGAACCTGTCGTTTGCGGAAAGCTCCATACCACGAGCCTGCCGAGTCAAGTTGAGACGGGGGTTTTGTACTGTACACGTACATGCAGTCTGTCCGCTTTGGTGGACTGAGTCAGTCCGGTCAGTCACTGACCTCATTGTCGGCGCCAATTGAGCATACGAACGCTCTATGCCCGGCTACCTTCAGTTAGGACATCACGCTAATGTTGCCGTTCGAAAGGGTGCGTGTTGCTGTCCGATCATCTTGTCAGGAACTGTTTCCTTTCTTAAACCTCGGCCAGAAGCGTACAGACAGTTGCTACACGGTGGTCATGCATAATAGAAACTATGGACGCGCGGACAATTGAAAATTTACATGCATCTGTGCGGGATAAATGGCAAGCCAGCTTGCTCGACATGACTGTAAAAATACAGCAGTCAGTGGAGGCTGAGGCGGGGCGCGCCCGCAGTTGCAAAGCATAAACCAACTTCATCGTATGTTATGCGGAAACCGCGTATAGATACGTCCAGCAAGTGCTCACATACTTAGGTTTCAATTAGGTTGTGTGCACGCAGATGGAGTGACACCGTATGTCCGGCAATCGTCCGGCGACGGCATTGAAACGCATCATGGTCCATGATTCATGGAGAGCTCAGCTCGTCATAGCGCGCAACAGGAGGTGGGCAGGCGGGAAGGCGAGCTGGCTGGTATTATCGTGGCTGGCAATCCACCGCGTGGCCAGCTCATTCTCCAATCTGCTCGTCCGCGAGAAGATTACTTCCGGTTGACGCCTCCAGCTTCTACCGTCTACGCTAACCAGTCTACTTTCGGAACCATGGTCTACTCGCCCAGCACGTACCTCATCTCCGCTGTCGTGGCCGCCGTGGCGCTGCAGATGCAGCAGACGGCCGCTACGTCGCTGTACTACACCCCGTTCACCGTGTCGGACACCACGAACGAGATCACGGACAAGTTCCCTGCGTACGGCGCCGATGTGGCCGACCAGGACTGCATCATCAAGGTCGAGGTTGACCCGACGCTGCCCAACATCACCACCATCTCGCCCGTGCCCGTTACGTACCCGGATCTGCTGGCCAACTTGACCACGGCCCCGGCCGACCCCGTGTACTCGAAGGTGGGCTCGGCCATCCTGAAGGAGGACGCCCCTGCCACCGACGCGGAGCAGGACTCTTACATCTCTGCGAACATCCCGGACACCAACGGAAAGGTGGGCAAGCCTGGACTCAGCGACCCCAAGGACTGCGCCACTGGCTGGGACGACGCGCAGACCGCTCGCAAGCTGGAGACCAAGCGTCGTCTCGAGGCCAACGGCAACCAGGACATTGCCAAGCTTGAGGCCTACTTCGGCACCAAGATGGAGATGACCCTGAAGGACCTCCCGACGGTGGGCGTGCACACGCCTTCGCCTTGGGCCGGCCCGTACTGGCCCACGTACCAGGACAGTATCAACGTCCAGTGGAGCCAGGGCCAGCCTAGCGCCGCCGAGAAGTACGCCAAGGCTTTCGGCAAGGACGTGAAGACGTTCATGGACGCCGTGTCGAAGAAGAACGGTATCGATTCGCAGAGCGGCCGCAAAAAATGCTCGTCGGACGACGACTGCTCGACTCTTACGGACGGCAGCTCGTGCTCTATTCGCACGGGTAAGACCTCTGGCTACTGCATCCCGACGTGGTTCGGCATCTGCCACGCTTGGTCGCCGGCTGCCATCCTAGAGACTGAGCCAAAGTGTCCCGTGAAGCACAACGGTGTGACTTTCCAGCCTATGGACCTGAAGGCCCTTGTCTCCCTCGTCTACGACGGCGCTCGTGTGCAGACTGTGTTCACGGGTGCGCGCTTCAACGGCGGCACTGACACTACTGATGAATACGGCCGTCATTCGAACAACGCCTACCGTGACCTGAACCCGGCTTACTTCCACATCGCTTCGGCCAACATCCTGGGCAAGCTCAACTCGACGTTCGTCGCGGACGTGACGGCCGGCGCTGAGGTCTGGAACCAGCCCGTGCGTGGTTTCAAGGTGTACGAGCAGACGGAGATGACTCTGGAGGAGGGTGCTCAGACCTTCTACGGCCTTGAGGCGTACCCGTGGAACGCTGCCGCCAAGAGCCTCGTGTACGTCAAGTCCCGCCTTTCGTGGATCTACGAGACGTACACGGACGGTGGCCTCGTGTCGTCGGGCCAGATCGACAAGTTCACCACCGGCCAGTACTACTACTACCTGCTGGAACTGGACGACGCTGGCGAGATCATTGGCGGCGAGTGGGTGTACGGCTCGGACGACGACCACCCGGATTTCCTGTGGCTGCCGAAGGCCAAGCCTGCCGCGAACACGGTGACGAGCGTCGGACTGAGCTATGCTGACGTGAGCATGCTGTTGAAGAAATCGGCAGCGTGCACTGCCTAATTGGGCTGCGAGTTCAACAAGTCGTGCTAGTTTAGCTGTTTTCCTCGACTTGACAAAATAAAGAAAACCCGGGTTGTTTGTGAATACACTTGCATCGATATATATATATTTTTAAGATTGCTTCCTTCAACGTTCCCAATCCGTAGAGGAGAGCACGGTCCTGTGGGGCGGCGCAAACAGCAAAATCCAGGTACAAGGGCGGATAGTCCTTCCAGACGATATTATCGTCTGGAAGCTAGCCTGTATATTAGCTACTATATTGATACTTTCGAGTGGAGATCATCGCTCTCGCCAAAAAGTATCCGAGATTCACGCAATATGTACAATAAGCTTAGTTAGAAAGATTCCTGGCAACTGCAATTGTACTACAAATACGGTCACATGACTTCTAGTTCCAAGAGAGTCAGCCAACTTAGCTGACTCTGCCAAGACATCAACTTCGCCAATATGATCACGCACAGCGAATCGCTGTCAGCGATTGTGACGACCCCCGGCACAGCTTGGGCTACAGTTTATGACATGTACTGTATTATGTACTTAGTACAGATACGTTACTTAACTGTATAAGCTCGTGAAGCTCGTGAACGCGTTACTCGTGCATATAGAGGACGCAAAGCGTATCTATGGATACCAACTGCGCAATTTACGCCGTCTACAGTGTAGACTCTACACGAAGTGTTTTGCCTAGCGCAAGCTGTACAAGGCGGTGGGAAACGGATCGAAGTCTATCCAATCCCAATCCAATTTGAACCACCTTTACGTACATGTAGTCTAGGCTTGAGCGACAGGATGTGTGGGCTGTGCATACCCTACTGCGCGTAGCGTGCCGCGTGACCTTCTTTATTGTCCCGGCCAAAAAGGCTTGGACGGAGAATTGATTTTTGATTTGATGGTTTTTGACCGACCGAAACTTCGCAATCACTTGGCCCATGATGCTGTGGCCGCCCTCGATGGAAAGATACGCGTCTATTCCTTTGTATAGCACTAGGTTCACGCCCATAACTCGATTGTTATATTCAAAATTGGTTCGGTAATTTATTATTGCCACGAGAGTCCGTCCAAGGTTCATGCTTCAAATTTGAAACCTTCATAATTTCTGTTTGACTGTGTTTGAAACGCTCAAACTTCAGGAGCATCTTGACGAAGCTCTGGCCTTTGTGTAGAGAGTTGCTGGTGTGGTGGAACCAGTGCTCCAGACCCAGTTGCTGTTACATATCGATTTAACGTTTAGCTAGTCGCAGTGATAATATATTGAATTTTACAGTATTGGGAACTAGTGTTATGGATAAAGAGGATTTGACCTTGCACTACATATATGTTGTGCGAGGTTTCTAACACCAGCTGTCAAATGATAACATGTAGGATAAATGACGAGATGGTGGTATTTTATCGTGATTATGAGCTTATCCCCAGCTGCTATCCTGATTTGGCCAATTGGGTAGCTGTAAGACAACTACGTGGCAGGCTTTCAATTGCAAACAAAATTGCAAGAAATTGAAGTATTTTCCAACAGCCGAAATGAACGGGAAGGAGTTCACATACGCTAAAATAGACCGCAAAATCGGAATCTACGCCCGATTCTACCCCTTATATCTAACTATCGTTATAGGTTTTATGCATGGAAGTAGCCCTAATTATTACTCAAAGTCCGTCCAAGGTTTGGTGTCCGGGACAATAATAAACGCTACATGGGCCGACCTTATTACTGTATCGCCTATCTTCGCCTTAACTTCGGCCCCTGCACAACATCAAAACGCGGCCGAAGATAGTGGTTACATTTGGCGGCTCGTGTACACTTGGATAAACTATAGTTGGATATTCGTACCCCCAGTAACTTCGTCCCGAAGCTGGGATTGGCTGAAAAAGAAAATAGGAAGGGACTGACCACAGCAAGGAAGAGGAGGCGGCTCACACAGTGGGGCACTGGTGGGCTCGGTGGTGTTCGCAGACTCGGTGCTGTCTCTCGGGCCTGGTGGTGTTCGCAGACTCGGTGGCGCTTGAGGAGATGGTGGGTGGCTTTATAGTTGGCGTGCTCGTGGACTCGTGGCGCTCATGTTCTTGTTGGTGCTCCCAGACTCGCTGGTGGTGTGGTGATGCGTTCGGAGCTGGAGTTTTTGCGGGGCTCGCGGACGTGGTGGTGCTCGTGCAGTTAGTGACGCTCTTGGACTCGGTGGCGCTCGCGGACGTTACTCAGTGGTGCTCGTGGTGACCTCGATGCTCGCTCGTGGTGTACACAGAGCTGGTGGGGCTCATGTAGATGGTCGTGGGTGTGATCTCGGTGGTGCTCGTGGCCTCAGTGATGCTCGTGTAGCTCATGTCGCACTCGGAGCTAGTGGTACTCTCAGAGCTCGTGCTGCCCTCGCAGCTCGTACTACCCTCGAAGCTCATGGCACACTCGGAGCTCATGGCGCACTCGGAGCTCGTGCTGCCCTCCCAGCTCATGGCGCACTTGGAGCTCGTACTGCTCCTGGAGATCGTGCTGCTGTCAGACCTCGTGGGGTACTCCGAGCTCGTGCCGCTCTCGGAATTAGTCTGTGGTGCTCGCGGATGCAGCGTTGTTTTTGGAGCTCGTGGTGCACTCCGATCTGGCGATGCTCATGTCGTTGAAGCTGGTGGTGCTCTCGGGAGCTAGTGGTGCATCGAAGGTGGCATGACGTGTATTCAAGTTACATATGCATTGTGTAATCCCAACTTGACCAAGAGACCTCCAACTATCTCTCTCATGCTGCTAAGAATCGGATACGCGGTAGTGAGTGAAAAGCCGCCCGCTGTTGATCAGTTAGCTCACCCCAGGCTTTGACTATACCGGTAAGTTTTTCACAGCGACGGCGCTTGCGCTGTGTTCCTTCTTTTGCATCAGCAGCTTTGGTAAAGCCATTGACTAACACTGTTTCGCACTGACTTGCCATGTTTTTCATTGCAGATACCCATTGAACCCTGTCCACCTCTCGCGATAATGCAGGAACTGGTGGGATGCTGGCTAAGTCGGCAACGTAGGCAACGATTTTAACAGCTCGAAGGCAATCCTTCTGCCCGCGATTTCCTCGTTCCTTTGGAATAGAACCCAGGCCTTCTGTGTAGAACTGGACGAGAACATCGGAGAGATGCCTACCCTTCAGCTTCGTCAAGCCCTTTCGGTGCAATCTTGGAGAAGTGAAGCAACCGTAGTGCTTGAGCTAATGTACTGACCCTTGTGAATGTCTGCTGTGATTCTTTTTCGAAACAGGCAAGCGTAGGCGGGTGACCAGCCTGCTTTGTGTCCGCCCACCCTCCGAGCACCTTTGCAACGTTCTGGCTGCTAGCCGCCGTTGGCGATATGTATTCGATTAAGGTAGCAATTCCATCCATGGACCAGAGCCCCCGGTGGGCCAAATCAGCCAGGTTGACGCTAGCGTTGGAGCTTGCATGCGCTGCGCCACCTCGATGCGCTGAGTGTGACTGTAGGCTTTGCGTCAGCTCTCGCTTTGTGTCGTACTGATACTCCGATTCTAACACTCGATTAATGTATGCAGCCACACGCTCGTCTGTTGTAGCTTCAGTCACTTGCGAGAACACACGCGGCGAGGCATTGTATGGGTCAGCAACCAGCTGAGAAGCCAACGCGTGAAAGGGATCGATGCTCCAGCAAATCGGAGAGCAAAAAATTGAGATAGTCTGTTGCTGCTGCCCCTTGATGCTATTGAAGCAGCACACAGGTCAATTACTTATTACAATGCTAAAGCCAAAGTATATGCACGTACCGTGTCAGATCAATGAGAAGAAAACTGCCATGCCAGTGCAAGTCCGTAAAGTGTAGCATTCCTACGTCGGAGCTACGACCAACTGCAAGCCACTGGTTGTTAAGAAGAGTGCGGTCGAGTAGCGCCTTCTTATCGTCGTTGAGAAATAGTATGGTTGATATTGAGCGAAGATCATCAATTGTCATGGGTGGAGCTTGGTTCTTCAGCTTTTTGCCTTCCGAGATGGCAAGCATGAGATACTGCTTTTGCAAATGGCGTCGGCAACGCCGATACCACTCGGGGTCACTGCGGAACAGGTCCGTTCCCGTTTTCTCCTCCAGTTGTCTCTTGATAGAGCTCAGATAGTTCATCGATGTTTGCCAGTGGATGTCAGGATCATTGAACAGAAAGGTAAGGAGCTTACCAAGCATTTCCTTTGTGACCTGTGCTGCCCTCAGCGTCTCCATAGTCAGGTTGGTGTCTACGTGTTTTTTCAAGAAGGTGTTGAATTTCGCACAGGCTGAAGAATCTTGTTTTCTAGAAGAAGGCCCCAACTCGCTCTCCGTCAAGTCCACGATGGCTTCGACATCTGCCCCACGCTCCATTGTCGGCGTGGTGCTGCGAGCAGTTTTATCAAACGCTCTTTCACAATAGTCATATGTTACTAGAATGTTGCTCTAATGTTGCTCGAACTTTACACTTATCTTCGGCGACGACGTTAACCAAATACACTACTGTATCGGCGAAGATGGCGGTGGTCTCAGCGAGAAGACCTCCCAGATTTTGATTCTTTTGCGTGGGTCCCGTCTCAAGAGCTCTATCCGGATATAGCGTACGCCAATTTTTCGTTTACCGGAAATGTACGAACGTGTTCGTACAACGTGTTGCCTTTCGGTGAGACCACAGGATGCCCTTTGTCTGTCGAGCGGGCGCTTCTCTACGGAGATCCTGAGGATGCTAATGTTTTACAGTACATGTAGTGGTTGCCAACCTTGAAGACCTCGTTACAAATGGACACGGTTTCTTCGTAGATACCTGTTCACGATGGTGTGCAAAGTGCAGCATCCGCGAGGCCTCCCAGTGCGCACGCTGGAGCAACGCCCTACTGTAGCACGCTTGTATCGCTCGGCCCTCACACCTCTCATTCCTAAATCTGCTCGCTTGCGAGAAGATTACCTCACAGCTTCCGTTCGTGGTCGACTCTGCGTTAAGCTCTACCTTGTTCGGACAAGATGGTCTACTCGCCCAGCACCTACCTCGTTTCCGCCGCCGTGGCCGTCGTGGCGCTGCAGATGCAGCACACGGCTGCTACCTCGCTCTTCTACGACCCTTTCACGTCGACCGACACCGTCGGCACGATCAGTGGCAAGTTCCCGGCTCGCGGCGCTGATGTGGCCGACCAGGACTGCGCCGTCACGGTGCAGGTGGACCCGACGCTGCCGGACATTACCACTATCTCGACGGTGCCGATGACCTACCCGGACCTGCTGAGTAACCTGACTACGGCCCCGGTCGAGCCTGTGTCGACGAAGGTGGGCACGGTTGTGCTCGCGAAGCCCGTCCCCGCTACCATTGCTGGGCTGGAGGGCTACCTTGGCAAGGCCACGCCTAAGAGCAAGGCCGGCGACGCCCCGCTTCCTGGCACGACCACACCTGCAACCAAGACTGGCACGTCCATGGTTACGGCTGCTCCGTCCACGAGCACCAATGAACCTCTTGTCAAGACCGGCGTCGTCACGCCTGCTCCCCAGTCGGGATCGGTGCAGGGTGAGGTAGACATCAAGAGCCCCAAGGACTGCGCCACCGGGTGGGAGGAAAGCGCTCCCATCGCCCCAAAGCTGCGTGAGGCCGCTGTGTCTGGCCGCGCCCTCGAGGAGAAGCTGGAGACTAAGCGTCGTCTTGAGGCCAACGCCAACAAGGACATCGCCAAGCTCGAGGCCTACTTCGGCACTAAGATGGAGATGGAGCTGAAGAACCTGCCCACTGAGGGCGTGCACACGCCTTCGCCCTGGCCGGGCCCGTACTGGCCCACGTACCAGGACGGCATCAACGTCCAGTGGAGCCAGGGCCAGCCTAGCGCCGCCGAGAAGTACGCCAAGGCTTTCGGCAAGGACGTGAAGACGTTCATGGACGCCGTGTCGAAGAAGAACGGTATCGATTCGCAGAGCGGCCGCAAAAAATGCTCGTCGGACGACGACTGCTCGACTCTTACGGACGGCAGCGAGTGCGCCATTCGCGCCGGCAAGTCCTCGGGCTACTGCATCCCGACCTGGTACGGCATCTGCCACGCCTGGACGCCCGCGTCCATTCTCGAGGCTGAGCCCAACTGCCCTGTGAAGCACAACGGTGTGACGTTCCACCCCATGGACCTGAAGGCTCTGATCTCGGACATCTACGACGGAGCCAGCGTGGGCACTGTGTTCACTGGTTCGCGCTTCAACGGTGGTGCAGATACCCCCGACGAGTACGGCCGCCACTCGAACGCGGCCTACCGCGACCTGAACCCCGCCTTCTTCCACATCGCCGCAGCCAACATGCTCGGCAAGCTGAACGCCACGTTCGTCGCCGACGTCACTGCCGGCGCCGAGGTCTGGAACCAGCCGGTGCGTGGTTTCAAGGTGTACGAGCAGACGGAGATGTCGACGGAGGAGGCCGCGCAGACCTTCTACGGCCTCAAGACGTACCCTTGGAATGCTGCTGCCAAGAGCATCACGTACGTCAAGACGCGTCTGTCGTGGATCTTCGAGACCTACACGGACGGTGGCCTCGTGTCTTCGGGCCAGGTCGACCAGTTCACGACTGGTGCTTACTACACGTACCTGCTGGAGATGGATGACGCCGGAAACATCATCGGTGGCGAGTGGGTCTACGACTCAGACGAAAACCACCCGGACTTCCTTTGGTTCCCCAAGGCCAAGCCCGCTGCGGACACTGTGACCAGCGTCGGACTGAGCTACGCCGACGTGAGCATGTTGCTGGCGAAGTCGGCTGCCTGCTCGGACTCGGCTGCTGGCTCAGCTGGATCTGCGGGTTCTACACTCGCTTCGCCTTCTGCCGCTGCTTCGACTTCTGGTACGGGATCGGCCACGGATGTGCCGGCCACGAGCTCAGTTTCTTCCAACACGGGAAGTGAGGCCACGGAGACCCCTGCTACGGAGACACCGGCTGCTACGACAACTAGCGCCGACCCGTCAACGCCGGCTACTGGTAGCCAAAACCAAAACCACCACCACAACCACCACAACCACCACCACCATGACCGCCACCACCAGCACCAGCAAGAGGAGCACTAAGTGGTCTGGGAATCGGCGATCGTACCAGCAACTGGAACTTGAAAATGTAGCTGAATACAACATCGTCCGGCACAGATAAAAGAAGAAAAATGTAGACAACTAAACGCCATACAGCTTTTAATTGTCATTCGATACATTTGCGTATGTTCTTGAAGAGTCGAATCTACTTTTCGAGTTGCGAGTTTGCAGAAAATCCGGATAATCTAGAATATTCTGAACATAAATTAGGATAAAACACCGTGGCACCCTGTATCAATAACTCCAAGGCGGGGCTCCAAGTGTCCCTGTGGGTAAGGCCCACGCAGATCAAGCGTTCCACTGAGGGTTCGAGTCTCGCCCGGAGCGATTCCGATACAAAAGCCACGTAATTCTATTTCCGACCCTCGATTACCTCCATCACCACATCCCCTGGAACCCGCTAAGTCACCCCCCTAATGGAGATACTTACTAAAGCTACGTGACAGAAGGACTAGAGCTACTTGGTGTTACCCAGATTTTGGTACTTCCAGTCGGTTGCTGTAGAACACAAATGCCTGCTTGGGCTAACGATTTCGTAAAACAATTCGCCAAGGCACACGACAAGCAAACACGCCGCCTGATTCCTTCGTGAGTTTCGCTGTGACTAAAGCCATTCCGCTCGCTCACCGGGAAAACATTATCAACTAGTCTTTTATATATATATATATATTAAACTAGTGGGCATCAAGTATCGCTGTCAAGGTGCAAGCAGGATGGCAAGAGCCCCCTGGGCACTGAAGATTCTTCTGCTTCAGAACTGCTAGAGCTCCCGAATGGTGTACCAAAATCTGGGAACCACCAAGTAGCTCTAGTATTTTTGTCACGTAGCTTTAGTAAGCCCCCCCCTAATGGAACTCTCGATTAACCTCTGCAACCGCAACCCCTCAAACCGCCGCCTCACCACGACCTCATGAAGGGAAACCGATCAATCAGGAATAGTTCAGGGTAACTCACTTAGACGTCAAAGCGCCAGCTTCCAGCAGGCTCCGAAATAAGTGCCTAAATACCCATTTCCATTGCCACTACATACTAGCAGCACAGTTCTTTCTTTTGGAAGCATATAGTAACTTTTCCGAGTTCAGTGGTGCACTTTTGTTTAGCTTTGTTAGCGGTAAGATCACCCATGACGCGGCTGCACTTACAAAACATCCCATAATACGAAATGCATCCGGAGCCCCGTTCGTGCGTACAGGAACTGAAATTGACATGTGATGTCACGGCAGTGACGTGCCGCTGATCTTATCAGGTCAGGGTCGTTTAGAGATTGCCCAACGAGACCCAACGAGAAAATTAACTCCATGCACTGTACTGTAACAACCTCATTGTGACTGCAGGACCTCCGGACCTCCGCGTGGAGGCAACATGGAGTCGAAGGATCGGGCTGAAGCGCACGAGCGACGACATGCATCAATTTATGTCGGAAAAACCGTTTGTGCTCGAAGATGCGGTGTCCAAATAGAGCGTTTTCGCCCACATGCGAACTATAAAAAGAGCGATACGCTTACACTAAAAAAAGCGGTCCTTGCTCGCCGTATGCGTCCATATTCGAAAATTTAACAGTCCGGTCAAGAAAGCGTTTCAAGTTGTCGTAGTACAGGGTACCTGGCGCACCGAAGGTATATTATTTATCCATTTGGACAAATGTTTGTCATATTGTGCTTTGAGTACACTAACTATTGCATTAGTACTTGTTCTTCGTCCATAATTTCAATTAAGGGGAAATTCCGGAATGTGATACAAAACGAAAATTTGTGCAAAAGGTAATACAAGGATTTGTAACGAGAGCACATTTCTCAGGTTCAGCAGCATTTCCTAGAGCATTGGGCCGCGATATTCTTACCTCCAGCGGGGGCATGAGGAGTATGGCCTTACTGTAAGGCATCCATTCCGTCGGCGAATGCTTCATGCAGCGCGGGCAGTGTCGCTCAAGCGGCAGAGAAGCCCGCCGTACTTAGGCAGTACATCTATCACCAGAGGGCGATGCCTACACCGGCGCCGCCGTCGACACGTTTACCCAGTGCTACACTGACACAATTGATGCATCCGCAACTTGCATAGCATTCGCAGGCTGCCTGCTATCGATGGCCAAATGCACTTGGCACAAATCCTTGTATCACCTTTTGCACAAAATTTCATTTTGTATCACATTCCCGGATTTTCCCTTTAATTAATTAAAATTAAACAATAAGGGCAGGATCTTGTAGAGCCATCGTAAAAATACAACTTGGCGTCCGAAAAAAAGTCAGACCAAAAATCCGTCAGCGATTGATGCCGATTGTGCACTAAGATCGTGTGTCGTGTCCCCCGGCACAGCAAGAGCTGTGTTGCCGGCTAGAGTAACTCTTCATGGTCTTCCGCTCGTCTAACGAAATTAGTGCACTAGAAGTCCGCAATTTAACACGGTCGAGTGAGCAGCGCTAGATTGTTCACTACAAAATCGCTCGAGACTGTAAACGGTTCCCAGGAGCTGCATCGCAATCGCATTGATAGGTCCCCTGACACCTGGGGTTTGGAATCGTTGAACTCACATCTAGCAGTGACACCTACTTGAACACGAGCGGTGTCGCACTGTACCTTTAAGGCTTGTGAGCAAGGAATATCGTTGATGTTTCAGGTCGCTTTCACTGACAAATGCTGTCGACCGCCGAAGAGGCTCCGTATGCAGCCCAATGGCTACGGTCACTTTGGCCGTCTTGTTCGAGCCAGGGTCAAAGCTGGTTTCGCCTCAACGGATGGCCGGGTGTCGGATCTGCTCACAGTGCAGCCCAAGGCCGGACCAATCCTGAACTTTTCTTGTTGTGCAAGACTTTCCAAACGGCTCTCGTCCACTCGACTCGAGTCTCGAGGCTGGAGTTCCTCCAACAGACCCTCCCTCCGTCTTGCTGTTCCCTGGTTACAAATGGACATGATTACTTCGCGGATGTCAGCCATGGATGGGGCGAAATGTCGTTCGCACGCAGAACTGTAGGGCTGTCTGTTGATCGTAGACAGGGGAGAGAGCTGCTACAGCAACATCTGAGCTCGCGGCGCATGGTGCCACGGCAGCAAACTCATTCCTCAATCGGCTCGCTTGCGAGAAGATTACCTTGGTCCAGCGCTGAGCTCTCTCTTCGTCGGACAACCCCCACTTCGCAACCATGGTCTACTCACCCAGCACCTACCTCGTTTCCGCCGCCGTGGCCGCCGTGGCGCTGCAGATGCAGCACACGGCCGCCACCTCGATCTTCTTCGACCCGTTCACGTCGACCGACACCATTGGCACGATCAGTGGCAAGTTCCCGGCTCGCGGTGCTGTAGTGGCCGACAAGGACTGTGCTATCACGGTCCAGGTCGACCCGACGCTGCCGGACATCACCACCATCTTGCCCGAGCCTTCGGAGTACCCGGACCTGCTTGCCAACCTGACCACGGGCCCCTCTGAGCCTGTGTACACAAAGGTGGGCACGGTTGTCATGTCCGAGAACCTGCCGGCCGTCGACGCCAACCAGGACGGCTACATCGACTCGAACATGCCGGCGACGGGAGCTCCGCAGGAGGTGAAGACGGGTGTCAAGCAGGAACCCAAGGACTGCGCCACCGGCTGGGAGGAGAGCAAGCCCGCCGCCCGCAAGCTGCGTGACAGCGCCGTGTCGGGCCGCGATCTGGAGGAGAAGCTGGAGACTAAGCGTCGTCTTGAGGCCAACGCCAACAAGGACATCGCCAAGCTCGAGGCCTACTTCGGCACTAAGATGGAGATGGAGCTGAAGAACCTGCCCACTGAGGGCGTGCACACGCCTTCGCCCTGGCCGGGCCCGTACTGGCCCACGTACCAGGACGGCATCAACGTCCAGTGGAGCCAGGGCCAGCCTAGCGCCGCCGAGAAGTACGCCAAGGCTTTCGGCAAGGACGTGAAGACGTTCATGGACGCCGTGTCGAAGAAGAACGGTATCGATTCGCAGAGCGGCCGCAAAAAATGCTCGTCGGACGACGACTGCTCGACCCTCACGGACGGCAGCGAGTGCGCCATTCGCGCCGGCAAGTCCTCGGGCTACTGCATCCCGACCTGGTACGGCATCTGCCACGCCTGGACGCCCGCGTCCATTCTCGAGGCTGAGCCCAACTGCCCTGTGACGCACAACGGTGTGACGTTCCAGCCCATGGACCTGAAGGCTCTGATCTCCGACATCTACGACGGTGCCAGCGTGCCGACGCTCTTCACCGGCACCCGGTTCAACAGTGGTGCCGACACCCCCGACGAGTACGGCCGCCACTCGAACGCGGCCTACCGCGACCTGAACCCCGCCTTCTTCCACATCGCCGCAGCCAACATGCTCGGCAAGCTGAACGCCACGTTCGTCGCCGACGTCACTGCCGGCGCCGAGGTCTGGAACCAGCCGGTGCGTGGTTTCAAGGTGTACGAGCAGACGGAGATGTCGACGAAGAAGGCCGCACAGACCTTCTACGGTCTCAAGAAGTACCCGTGGAACGCCGCTGCCAAGAGCATCGTGTACGTCAAGTCCCGCCTTTCGTGGATCTTCGAGACCTACACGGACGGAGGCCTTGTGGCTTCGGGCCAGGTTAACCAGTTCACGACTGGTGCCTACTACACGTACCTCCTTGAGATGGACAAGCAGGGAAACATCATCGGTGGCGAATGGGTCTACGACTCAGACGAAAACCACCCGGACTTCCTTTGGTTCCCCAAGGCCAAACCCGCTGCGGACACGGTGACCAGCATCGGTCTCAGCTACGCTGACGTCAGCATGCTTCTCGAGAAGTCGGTGGCCTGCTCGGGCTCGACTTCTTCTGGCTCTGCCGGCTCGGAGGCCCAGGCGTCGAGCTCGACCTCTTCCACCTCTTCTGGCTCGGAGGCTCCGGCTTCGACCACGGCACCGCCGACCGACTCGGACTCGACCACTGCGCCGCCGGCTGGCTCGCAGGCCGAGGTCCCCGAAGTGGGCAGCCAGTAAATGTACTTCTTGATGACTTTTGTAGTTTTACAAGTTTTCAAAAGTCTGTAGCGTCCCGAATTGATGAATAACACCGTGCTTGCACGCAACAATGTAAAGTTTCGAAGTTATTCGTCCGTGTGGGTTTGTCGGGTGCGCAAGTCTGCGACCGCGTTTTATCCAATGTAGAACGAGTCTCCACAGAGCCGTAATTTCATCGCGTACTTCTGAGCAATCCATGTTGTCTCGGGGGCTCAAGCTCGCCACGATTAGTACTGTATACGCGGCCGTCTCCACTTTCTCCGGTTTGGCAATGTAATCTTCAGTTTGACGCCAAGCTTGCGAGTAGCACTATTTCGTCGTGTCTGGAGGATAATGTTGTTGTCGAGAGGCACGCGTGAGGAATATCCGTCGTTGTAGCCTTCGTCGATCGCCTCGCCCAGTTTCATAAGGCAGCGTCGACTGCCGTATTATAACAGACAGCAGGCACACTTGAGACGGCGTCGGAGCAACCAGGCTGCGAGATTCTTACAACTCAAATCGGAGCAGTCCAGCCGTGTGGCATCGGCGTACCGGTCGAGCGTAGTGTCTTGAAGTCATGGGGCTAGCGTGTGTGTGAGCTTTCATTCATTGTGTTGCGTAGATGATAACTGTGGGGAAGTTGTTCTTTTGATGGTTGTCGGTGAAAATGGAGAATGGGCAGCTTTACAGGAGTGGGTCTTGTGGGCCTTGTGGCCCACGCCTCACCATTGACTTGTTTTATCGTAAGATTATCGGTAGATTGGGATCTGAACGGTAGGCTACTGTACCCACATATCCGTACTTGTTTTGCTACAGTATCTACAGTTGTCAGACACACAGCTCGACGACCAACAGTTCGCATCAACAAGAATCTTGAGCAACTTCAGAATTATCGATGCCTACGGGGGAATCCCCAGAATCCACAAGTACAGAGACATTTATTATTAGAGAACTTTAGAAGCTGAACTAAGTCGACGTTTTGGAACAAGAATTGACAAAAAACGTATGAAATCCGGTTGATCCAAAAATAAGCTCAAGTGGAACAACGCGACCCTTCGGTTGTTCCACTGGACTTGAGTATTGGAACATCTGTCGGGTAATCTATCCGTAATCTATCCGGATTTTATCCAGATTTTTTAAGATTTTCCTTGTTCCAAGTCCAAGAGATATTCCAGTTTCTAAAGTTCTCTATATTCGTACGACATTGGTGACGAGAACTTCCCGGGCCGCGGCAGCGATATCGAAGACGACGGCAACTGCATTGTCACCGTGCCTGAGGATCCGAATGTGCCAGAGGTGGGCTTGATTCCGTCCGTGCCTGTGACGGACAATAATTTGTTCTCCAGCAATTGCATCTCTCCGTTTCAGCCCGTGTACACAAGCGTCGGAAGGCAGGTCATGTCAGAGAAGACCCCGTCCAAGAAGGCCTACGAGGACGCGTACGTTGCGACAGAGCAAGCTGCGAGCACTGTATCCAACACTTTCTCAGTCGCAATTGTACCCATCGCAAGCTGGAGGGGGCTTCCGACGACGGCATTGTCACCCTCGAGAAGTATTTCGGCACTGCGATGGAGCGCAAGCTGAAGAACCACCACTGCGGTGTTCAATCCGTCTCCGTGGGCGGGCTCGAGCTGGCCAGTCTACCTCGACGGCATCAACTTCGAGTGGAGCCCAAGCCAGCCAAGCGCAGCCGAGAAGTATGCAAAGGCCTTCGGCCTCGACGTGGCCACGTTCATGGCCAGTGTGTCGGCTCAGAATGGGATCAACCCCTCGCCTCGCCTTCCGAAATGTACCTCGACCGCAGAGTGTCACGACCCAAAGGTGGCGCTAAGCGTGGCAGCGAGACAGCGGGCTACTGCATCCCGACGTGGCACGGCATTTCCCATGCATGGGCCCCCGCCGCCATTCTCGAGCAGGAGCCGAAGTGCCCCGTGACGGTCAACAACGTGACTTTCCAACCCAAGGACATCAAGAGGTTGCTCACGGACGTCTACTACGGCGCCAAAAGTTCGACCGTGTTCGCTGGGTCCCGCTACAACGGCAACAACGACTCGACCGACCAGTACGGAAGGCACACGGACTACTCGTACCGGGACCTGAACCCTGGGTTCTTCCACATCGCCGCCACGAACCTCCTCGGCCTGTTGAACACCACTTTCTTCGTCGACACGGACGCTGGCTACGAGGTCCATAACCGGCCGGTGGTTGGCTTCAAGGTGTACGAGCAGACGGCTATGAGTCCGCAAAAGGCTGCGAACGCCTTCTACGGACTCGAGACATACCCCTGGAACGCGAACGTCACGAATATCGTGTACGTCAAGTCGCGTCTGTCGTGGATCAACGAGACGGAGGCGGATGGCGGGTTGGTCGCTTCCGGTGCGAACGAGAAACTCACGGTGGGGGCCTACTACGATTACCTCCTGGAATTGGACGAGAGCGAGGAGATCATCGGTGGTGAATGGCTGTACGGATCCAATGGCAACCACCCGGACTTCCTCTGGTTCCTGCAGGGGAAGCCGCCTGCTGACACCGTCACCAAAATTGGTCTAAGCTACGCGAACGTGGCGAAGTTGCTTGAGAAATCTGTGTCGTGCTGATTCGCACTACTGACGCTGTGGGAATACACCAACGGTGAGAATGTGGGGATACACCTTCGGAAGAGCAAAACATCCCGGTGTAGAGATAGCATGTTGAGTTTTTAACTTTTAAATTGTTCATGCTGCCATTGCCTTTTTTACTTAAAATATTCAGCTTGCAAAATACTTCTGGATGGCACCATTCTTTGGGCCAGCGCATATTTTGGATTGTTGTAGATAAAAGGTATGCACATTGTCAGAAGAGTTTTCGCCGTTTTCAAGCACCGCTAAGTAAAGTAATCTATGTAGTATCTCAAGAATAGAAGTCTTCGCGGGAACTTGACCGTAATAAAGTGTGTTTGGCGTTGTATCTGCGTGTATATTACTACTTCAGTAACGTACAGGCCACGGGAAGCCTATTGTTGAAGTCCCACCATCTTCGAAGTACCTCACTACTAACATTTTCCCTCGGGTGAGGAAATAGCTGGGCATCTAAGTCTCATGAGGAAGTACCTGGCAATTTGGGCAGTAAAATCATTGTCCAGCTCGAGAAAGCAATACCCGGTAAATTCGAGATAAACCCTGTAGTTGTTGGTCGCCGTATCCTTTCGGTGTTTTCTGTAAGTATATTATTTGTTTATTTCTAGCCAGTCACCCAAGATGTCCGTACTACACTTGTTTTCGAACCATACACCAACGCAGTATCGATCAGCCGGTCGTACACGAAAGTAGTTGTCGTCATGTCATCATCGCCACGATACAGAACCAAGCTGTCGTTGGTGATCTTTTTTCCTATTGTTACGGTTTAAAGCCCGTCGTGTAAACTGCAGAGTTAGCATTCTAAGCTTACCGTAGAACCTACGACACGAGAAGCCGCATGATCCCCAATCACGTGATGCCTAACGCGATCACCGCTGTTGCTGTAAACACAAGTAATCGATATTTCGAGCTCTATATTCTGAAGTATAAGTATTCCCACACCAGTGGAGGTCGCGAGCACCCGCGAACAAAAAATCCGACCGCTCACTTGTACTACCACCGCAGCATGGTATTTTACTTATCGTGCTAGGTTTGTTATGGACTCAAGCACAACTCCCTGTAAAACCAACGTACATGCGATCGCAGTAATCAATTTGTTACTTCACGCCTTCGTTGGGAAGAATTCGCAACTAACCTTCATATCGCATGACTAAGTGGCCGTATCCTAATAGTTGTTGGAATATTTCTTGAACAATGAAAAATGGATTATGAAAAGGTATTCCAATACATGTACTCAGGTTCAGTGGAACACGCGTTCAAAAAGCTCGACTTAGTCAGGATCTAACGGTTATATTCTCTCGTACTTGACAATCTAATAAGTCCCTTCAACCTATATTTTGTGAGAAGAGGGATGGAAACTTGGTGGTGGGATGTTGGGTAACTTTGGATCTGTAGTAGCCCTGCCGCGTGAATAGATTATATCATTGCCTCCAACTAATTCAGCTACCCCACCAGAACAATTTCCCTGCGCTGGCCTTGATTTTTTATTCCACAGCATTAGTTTCCAAAATAAACTAACCCAGTGGGCTACTATTTTTATCACACTGCTATCGTTATAAAAAGTATCCAAGTTGTTCTCAAATTATCCGTATTTCGTCGATGGTTTGGATCTTATTTTTCCTTGGAAACGAAATACTGAGCTTCATTGCACTGGGTCTTCATTCTTTTTCGTGTATGTTTCGCAGGTGTGATCAGTGCAAGAGTCGTTGGTCCAATCTTTTTTGTACATATTGTTACAGTTCAGAACGCATCGAGTACAGTAAACCACGGAGTAAGCATTTTACAATCTCGCGGTCCCCGATCACGTGATCCCTAACGCGATCACGACGATCGCCTGTACACAAAGCGAGTCAGTACTTTCGAGCCCTGTACACTTTCAAAGATAGGTATTTGTATTCAATGCTCGATACCTTGAGATTTTGCAAGAATTGAGGTGGAAGCCGTGAAGACCAGGCGGTGGCAGTGTCGATATTAGTTGTGCAAGGTCTGTTGCAGCTTGCTCTAAGAGCACCGCGGCCGCACTATATATCGCTATTGCCAAAGTCAACGTAAACAATTCGCTAGCTACTTCACGCCTTCATGATGAAGAACTCGGTCGTCCCTTCGTATCGCATCGCATGACAAAGTGGCTAGCAGCCATCGAATTTTAAGCTTATCGTTCTTTTATCCGTGTAGTATCATAGATGACTCAACAAAAGTTGCAACAGTACATAGCAAACGATTACTTTACTGTACATGTATCTTTGTCGCAGACTGTACAGGTCATTTTTGAATGTTCAGGCTTGTTCTTGCCCTATAGTAAGTTGTGAATATTACGATGAACTCTTTGGTTGATCACAGAACTCGGATGGGGACCTGACGGTCTAGCCGCTAACCACGGTGCTTTTTCAGATAACAGTGCAAGCACTATCTAGTATTGAGAAATACCAAAATGCCTGCATGTCGGTCGTTCATGCACACCATGCCGGGCTAATCCGACTTCTCATTGCGTATTAGCTTCAATGTATCGACGGATACTGAATCCAACTTTTGTTTCGGTGTATTCAGCGTCTGCAGAACACTGTTTGATGTCTCGCGCTTATTCGCTCGACGGATCCACCACGCCATCAGCGCTTCAGACGTGTAATCCAGAGTAAGCATGAGAAAACAGCTTGGTGTTGTTGCCCTTGACACAAGCGCTGTTGATGGTACTCCCAACCAGCCAGGGATCCCGACTTCTTTGCAGTGCGGAAGTGTGCCACATTGTTCATTTTCAATTTCCTTTTGCAAGGAATAAGTTGACCTCACCCCACGGTATTCAACCAGCAGCCCCAACCATGGTCTACAAACCCAGCGTCTACCTCCTGCCCGCTGCCGTAGCCCTCGCGGCACTGCAGACGCAACAAGCCGCTGCGACTTCACTGGAATTTGACCCTTTCACCACTTGCCACTCATACGAAATCCGTAACAAGAACTTCCCCGGTCGTGGTGGCGAAATCAAAGACGACGGCAACTGCGTTGTCACGGTGCCAGAAGATCCGAACGTACCGAGGGTGTGCTCAATTTCGAAAGTTCCGGTGACTTTCAAGAGCTTGGTGCGCAGCAGTTCTGCATCTCCGTCTAAGCATGTGTACACAAAGATGGGAAGGAAGGTTGGGTCCGTCCGAGATAGACGACGCGGACGCCTACGTTGCGACAAGTCTCAAGCACTACACTTAGCTCAGCCGAAGGGAGACCGGCGTGAACGAGAAGCGACCTACTCCGACAACCTCCTTGAACTTGATAAAGGTCAAGCACTCTGCTTGCCAAAAAAACTACACCTCTAACTAACTGGCGACTCCGTCAGCGCGAAAGAGCGCTCTGGTCAAAATGCTCTTGGAATCTTCGCCGTGGGATCACAAAGCAGTTAAGGTATTCGTTGGATGCGATCAAGTCGATTTTGGAACGATAAAAACCAAAATCCAAAACTACAGTATGATTCGTGGCAATTTATCCACAATCTATCTAGATTTTATCCAGACTTTTTAAAGACATGTATTTCGTAGATGCCAACATCTACAGCAGAGCGTGTGGTTTACCTTCTTGATTACTTTTTTTTTCGTTTATCAGGCAAGTAAATGGTCACAAGCAGCAAAGCTAACAAAACACGCCAAGCCCTTCTACCGGCCCGCAGGTCTACTTCCAGCCTCTTTGCCTGGCAGGCTCGAGCTGCAGCCACCAGCCAGCGAGCCGAGTTATTTCCCTTTGGCACCAAATGGCACTTACAACTTGAACGCCTTCTTGATGATGCGGTCCTGCTCAATCTGGTGCACAGCGTTGTAGCCCGTGGCTGGCGCAGCGGCGGGGGCGCGGCCGACGAACGACGGCCGGCGCGAGTCGCTGTTGAGCTGCGTGAGCGCCGTCTCGATACGCGGCGACACGTACGTCCAGAAGCCCATGTTGAGCGGCTCCTCCTGCACCCACTTGATGTCGGCGTTCGGGTAGCGAGCGGCCTGCTCCGCCACCTTGTCGAACGGGAACGGCGCGATCTGCTCCACACGCACGATGGCCACGTCCTTGATGTCCTTCTCGTCACGCTCCTGGGCCAGCTCGTAGTAGATCTTGCCCGAGCAGAAGATGACGCGCTTGACCTTGTCGTCCTCGACCAGCTTCTCCGGCGCCACCTCCGGGATCAGGCGCTGGAACTGCGTGCCCTCGGCCATGTCCTCGAGCTTGGACGAAGCCTGGCGCAGACGCAGCAGGTGCTTGGGCTGCACCGAGATCAGCGGCTTGCGGAAGTCGCGGTGAATCTGGCGACGCAGCACGTGGAAGTACTGCGCGGGCGTGGAGCAGTACACCACCTGCCAGTTCGTGTGCTGGATCTGCATGCGGTTCTCCTCGTCCATGAGCGGCACCACGTTCGGGTCGTCGTCCGTGTTCTGCAGGTAGCGCTCGACGCGGCACGACGAGTGCTCAGCGCCCTGGCCCTCGTAGCCGTGCGGCAGCAGCATCACGAGGCCAGACTGGCGCATCCACTTGTCCTCACCGGCGCTCAGGAACTGATCGATCATAATCTGCGCACCGTTGGCGAAGTCACCGAACTGAGCCTCCCACATCACCAGGGCGTTGGGGTTCTCGAGCGAGTAACCAAGCTCAAAGCCCAGCACGCCGAACTCCGACAGCGAACTGTTGGACGCCACGAACTCGGCCTGCGTGTCCGGGACGGAGCCATCGCCAGGGGTCTTGTACTCAAGCGGGGCCGAAGGGATAGTCTTGGTGGCCAGGTGGTTCAGTGGCACGTACTCGTTGTTGGTCTCCTGGTCGTGCAGCACAGCGTGACGGTGGCTGAACGTGCCACGCTCGACGTCCTGGCCACTGATGCGCACGTGGTTGCCCTCGAGCAGCAGCGTGCCCCAGGCCAGAGCCTCGGCGGTACCCCAGTCGATGCCCTCGCCCGACTCGATCGTGTTCTTCTTGGCCGTCATAATGCGGTCCAGCTGGCGGTTGACCTTGAAGCCCGGCGTGACAGTGCTGATCTTCTCGCCGACGTGCTTGAGCACGTTCATGCTGACACCCGTGGGGCGGATGCGCGACTGCTGGTTGGGGCTCTTGAACGAGTCCCAGCGGTTCGCAAGCCAGTCGCTCCTCTTGGTGTCCTCCCACTTCTCCGTCTCCTCGAACGTGGTCTGGAAGAAGTTCCAGACCTTGGACACGATGGCGTCGCACTCCTCCTTGGTGGCGGAGCCGGAGGCCACCTGCTGGTCAATGTACGTGTCGAGCACCGACTTCATCGCGCCGATCTTCTTGTACATGAGCGGCTGCGTGAAGAACGGATTGTCCACTTCGTTGTGGCCGAAGCGACGGTAGCACGTCAGGTTGATGATCACATCCGAGCGCCACTTCTGGCGCCACTCGGCCGCGAACTCGAACACCTTGACGACCGACAGCGGGTCGTCGCCGTTCACGTGCAGGATGGGCACGTCCATGGCCTTGCCCAGGTCCGTGCAGTACTGCGACGAGCGCGAGTTCTTGGGGTCGGTCGTGAAACCGATCTGGTTGTTCACCACCACGTGGACGGTACCGCCCGTGTCGTAGTTGTCCAGGCCAGACAGGTGCATGGTCTCGTAGACCACACCCTGGCCGCTGAAGGCCGCGTCGCCGTGCAGCAGCAGAGGCATCACCTTCTTCTCGGCCTCATCGTCGTTGCCCAGGTAGAACTGCTTGGCGCGAACCTTGCCCACCACCACGGGGTCCACAGCCTCCAGGTGCGACGGGTTGGCCACCAGCGAAAGGTGAACCTGACGGCCGTCCGGGTACGCGCGGTCGTAGGACGTGCCCAGGTGGTACTTGACATCGCCCGCGTTGGACCAGTCCTCGACGTCGGGCTCGCTGTACGACTCCACGTCAATGTGCGTGCCCTGGAACTCCTTGAAGATTTGCTGGATCGGCTTGCGGATGACGTTGGACAGCACGTTGAGGCGGCCGCGGTGGGGCATGCCGATCACCAGGTGCTCCATGCCGAGCTCCGTGCCGCGGTCGATCATGAACTTGAGGCCGGGGATGAGGCTCTCGGCGCCGTCCAGGCCGAAGCGCTTGGTCGTGTTGTACTTGTTGCCCAGGAAGCGCTCGAACACGACGGAGAAGGCCAGACGCTCCAGGATGTGCATCTTCTTCTCCTTCGACTCCTCGTCCTGCACCAGGTGCTCCATCTTGGCGCGGATCCAGTTGCACTGGTCGCGGTCCAGCATGTGCATGTACTGCACGCCGATGGAGCTGCAGTACGTCTCCTTGAGGCGCTGGATGATCTGGCCCAGCGTCATGCTGTTGTTGCCGTCAGACAGCTCCTCCAGGAAGCCCGACACACCCGACGAGCTGGTTAGAGATAAAAGTTAAACACACATAAGGTTAGACACACTTCCTGCAAAAGGTTGTTTACAATGAGGTATACACCCCCACAAAAGGCAAACAGATAAATGAGTTGCCAAGTGACGTACAAGTTCTTGGGGATGGCGATGACGCGGTCCAGGTCCTTCTCCGTGAAGCCGTACATCTGGATGTCCAGCTCCGGCAGCGCGGGGCGCTCCTGCAGACCCAGCGGGTCGAGGTTGGCCGCCTCGTGGCCGCGCACCTGGTAGGCGCGGATGAGGTAGCTGAGACCCAGAGCGTCGTTCTGGGCCGTGGACGACGCGGCGGCGCCGCCCACGGAACGCACGGGCGTGACGCCCTGCTGGATGGTCGGCGGGGGGATGAAGGCCTCGCCCGGGACGCTGCCGCTCTCGATCTGGCGGAAGTATACGTCCCACGACTTGTGCACGCTGCAACAGGCGTATACCGGTTAGCACTGGCTTAAACTTGGTTTAGCACTAGCTTAAAGTTGGGGTTAGCACTAGCTTAAACTTTTTGTTGTTGTTACCTCTTGGGGTCCGACTTCCAGCTCGAGTACATCTCCTCCACATAGGCGTTGTTGGTGCCCGTCATGAAGGTCTCGCTCGGGTGCGGCGTGGACGAGAAGGCGCGCGTCCAGCGGGCCGCCACGTTGCGCGGCGCCACGCTGGGCGCCACGCGCGAGTGGGCGCTGGCGCGCACGCTGCGGCGGACGGCCTTGGAGGCCGCGGCCAGCCACTGTTGCGTCATGGTTAGCGCTAGCTTAAACTGCTGCCGGGGGGTCCTCTCCTTCGAGCGCCTGGAGCCGCAGATGGGAAACTGAGGCTGAGGTCAGTCGCGGCTTACGCGGCCTGGCAAACAGCCTGAGAATGCCAAAACATGGGTCGGGAGGATGTCATGACGAACTACACTTCGTCTGACTATACCCGCCCCTCCCTGTTTAGACTTAGAGCGCGATCGAACGAGAGCCACACGTGGAGCAAAGAGGCCGGTTTTTGCGTGGGTTGAACTTGCGGCAATCGCCCCACGCCATCGCCTTGTTGGCGGCAATGCATCAGCTCCGTCTATTGTGTGGCATCCGGTCGAGTCGAGCAAGTGAGATGTATCCTTGGCGGGCTGGGTGCCTGCCTACATGTAATAGATAAAAAGTTTTAAGGGAGGCGACAAAAGATCTTCCGATTTTCCGAGATCGCATTTTGGATCGCCGGGACAACCAACTTTTATGCAATTCGCACGTGGTTTAACAAAGCCGGAATATCTTGCTTTCAGTATGCTGGAGATGGGGAGGAGGGTCCCCAGATTGCGATCTAGCGCAATTTAGAACGGTCTAAAGTGTTTTTAGCTTTTTAGAACGTCTAGATTGTCCCCAACACGTAAACGCAATGTCCCCATGGCTGTGACACTGCCATGTCACAATCAGGCAGGAGCAGGAGACCGGTCGGCGCATTTGTCGGTCTTGGGACGACGAGCAGCACACTCGTGTAGTGATGGTTTTGGACGACTTTAGAATAGTTCAGAATACTTTGGAAAACGTCCAAAATTCCGTCCAAAATCCAAATGTATCCAAAACTGTCAGAAAGAAAACTCGGGATTGATTCTCAACCAGAGGCACAACTGCCCAAGTGCTCGCCTTCGCATCCGAAGAAGCCACCGCTGGTGCCCAATTCGAACGAGACGCCGCTGCAGATTCCCTCTGCGGACGAGCCCATGCCAATTACAGCTCCGTTAGCTGCTGAGCACGAGCCCCAACACCGACAGAGACGCCCGTGCGTTAGACCTGTACCGGAAGGCCAAGCCGAGCCACCGTAAGCGCCCTAAAGACGAGCTGGACACCAGCACGCGAAGGTGGCCGACGTCGAGGAAGAACGGACGACCGGCTGCAGGGCGACCGCGCCAGCGACAACGACGCGGAGAGGCTCTCTCAGTGAAGCAGCTTGCCGAGCGCCAGAAGGAGGAGACCCACCGCACCGTCGTGGGGAACATCAAGCTGCGCGGCATACTCAAGCGTGGCTTAGGCGTTGACGGCCGTCCTCACGGCCAAGGATGGCACTGACGTGCTCGTGCTCATGAAGAGCAAGTAGTACTATTACCCCGCGGGCGCACAGCGCGACATTAGAAACGCTGGCTACACTGCATGTTCATCGTGGGTGACGGCGCTGTGGTTGTCGAGGTGGTCGGCGACACGACGTCCAAGCGCCCGAGGTGCACTGTGACGATCCTCGAGGGAGAGACCAAGCGGGTCGCGAGTGACGAGTCCGCGATCAAGCCGTCGACGTACCTCAAACACCTGGCCGTCAACGTGGAGCTGGGCGAGCATCAGACGAAGTATCTCAATGGCCATTACTTCGAGAAGCGCAGGTTGCGGGCGGACAAGGCACAGATATTGAGGCGGACATCCAGACCTGTGCGGTGGCTTCAGCCGAGCTTATCCAGAAGCAAGCGCGTCGCTTCGTCAAAGACAACCGAAAGCCGCAGCAGAACAGCGCGTAGTACGCCAGCAGCTACGTGCAGGCCCAGATCAATACCACCAAGAGTTCTATGTTGAAGAGAAGGTATATGAAGACCTAAAGTAAAACCAAACACACAATGTATTAAAGATTAGTTGTCGACTTCTACACTCTCTGGGCGCGATTGATGACGCGCAAGATCGAGCTCTTCGCTCTCAATGATGCCATAATTGATGTAGATGAATGCAAGCATCTCGACCTTTTCTACGGAGAGTCTATTCCTCCTTTTGGAGTGAATGTGATCAAATATGCTCCATGCTCTCTCGCTCGCAGCCGATGAAGTAGGAATCGCAAATACAATATCAGCTACCTTCTTGAGGAGCGGGTACCGGAAAGACTTCTTCTCACTCTTCGAGCCCCAGTAGTACTGCGGACTTGACTCAGAAAACTTTACCCGCTCAGCTTCACCACCACGCCGTTTTTCAGTCTTGAACTCAAGAATCTCCACGGTCAGCTTAGGTATATCCACTGCCGTTATGATGCCGCAACGTACCGCCATTAGGCAGGCTTGGTCATCTACCTTCTCGCTGTCCATGCCAACAAAGTCGTCAAGATCCGTAGCAGGATCGAGCATGAATGCAATGCCCATTGCGTTGGTGTGCACGTACGTCCAGCGCTTCTTGATCTTTTCACGAAAGCAGTCTTGCAACTCGACGAGCGATAAAGTTGCAACCTTCTTGTAGTCATCTCCAGTAAGGATGCTTTCATCCTCTGCCAATACACTTTGAAGCTCATTGTCAGCGCTGCTGGTGGAGGTTATGCGCTCTACTGTGTCGCTCAGAAGTTCGATTCCATCTCGCGCAGGTCCATGCGCTTCTCTGTTGTTCTGCCGCGCCACCACACCACCGATACACACCCGACACAAACGTATTGTCTGTTTCTAATGCCCGGAGCGCCGTAATGATGGGATCGAGAAGGCGTACTACTGTCCTCAAGCTACTCCAAAACCCGTTATCGCGGATGAGCTCCGTGATATAGCGAAGCTTCTTCCGACTTGCCGCGGTTCCACGATAGCGATCAAGAAATCGATCGTACTCAGGACTGAAAAACAATTTCTCGAATATGTCCTGGCTGTTCAGCACACTCCGCATACAGGCATGCACTGAGTACCATCGCGTCGGCATTGGTAGCACGAGATTGCGCGTTAAATCCCCGATTCGCGCGTTTCTTTCTTCAACTGCTTGAACTCGTCAAGTAAGGCAAGGTGGTCTCGAATAAAGCGTGTCAGGGTGACAGCTCTCGACCGGATCGCTTTAATGGCAGGAAATTGGCACACGTCTTGCACCAATAAATTCAGTACGTGGGCCGAACAGCCACCGCTCACCACATTTGGGCGTCTGCCCTGTACTCGAGCCGACGCGCCCCTCATATTTTGCGCGTTGTCTGTTACAATACCAACGACTTGGGCTGTAGTATCACGTTCAATTTCCTCGATAACTTTGTCAATTTCGCCAGCGATATATCTTGCCGTGTGCTGCTCGGATCTGGTAGACCATGACGACCAAAAGACGGACGGCATCCCGGGTGCAACCACCATAAAATTGATTATACTCGAGCTGTTGGTGTCACTCCATCCGTCGGTGACGAGCGAGACGTAGACTTGTTTATTGATCAGCTCGATGACATGGCTCCGGCGAAGCTGATCTCGCACCCGTTTCAGCAACACTCCGCTCACTTTATGGCGCGATGGTATTTGCATTGTAGGTGCCAACATAGCGAAAAATTCACGAAATATTGGGGCCTCCAGGAGAATAAAAGGAAGTGCGCAAACAAAAAAGACTTTCGCCAGCGCCAATTCGAAGGCGTCTTGCGCCAACCCGCTTTGAGTAGATCGGACTGTCTGGTCGCGTTCTTGAGCCTGAGCAGTGGCTTGAGCAGGGGCTTGAGCAGGCTCGGGAGGTGCGGGACGCATAGAAATTTGTACATCACGGGGGACACAAGGGCACTGCTTGGGCTGCGTTAGATGCTTTAGCAGGTTGCCGCTGGGCTTGCCATTTTTCTTCAAAGTACCGCAATACTTGCAACGACCGTGTTTTTTCCGCTCTCTCTCTCAATGTCGTAATGCTGCCAGATTTCATCTCGAGGGCGCCCCATTCGGGTTGGCGAAGCTCCCGTTCGTCGCAACGAAGGTGATGGCGAGAAGTTAACGCGTTTTGTTGGCGTAGGCGATCGCATGTGCCTTAGAGACGGGCTGGAGGTAGAAGTTCCGCCATGGTAGGGGCTGTAGCGAGGAGAACGTCGCAACCCAGAGCCGGAACGGATCCCCTGCGCACTACGCGTGGTTACTTGCGGCGATTTAAAGTTGTCACTTGATGCTGGTGTCGCTTGCCGACTGGAAATAGGCGCTGGGGAGGCGTTCGGCAGGTTCGCAGGCAAAGATGCAGTTTCAGGAGCGCCGTCGGGTGGCATGGTGTTCATGGAGGGGGATGTCTTGCAGTGAGGGAGATTTACAGAGGGAGGGAAGAGGGAAGATCGCACATCAAGTTCGAGGTACTGACTTTTAGACACTTTTGGACATTTTGGACACTTCTAAAGTATTTAGAACGTTTTAGACGTTTTGGACGTTCTTTACTCGTCCAATTCAAAACCATCACTAATTGTTGCTGTAGAGTTGTTATAGTGTGTACTTCTGGTACTTGCGCAGGATCTTCTGCAGCTGGTAGTGCACCTCGCCGACGCTGGGGCGCACTTTCGGGTCCAAGCTGACGCAGGCGTGGCCCAGTTGCACGAGCGCTGCCGGCGCGTTGCCGGAGAACTCGATTCGGACGCGACCCATAGCCACCATTTCCATCAGCGCGGTCTCCGTCACCTTCTCGCCCGACTCGGACGTGATAGTGGCGATCGCGCTCGCGTACGGCGGCTGGTGCGAGTCCAGCTCGGACAGGACGACGCCGAACGAGAAGATGTCGGCGCTCGTGTCGTAGCGCTTGCCCATCATAACCTCGGGCGCCATCCAGCGTCTGGTGCCGACGCCCGCTGTCATCGTGTCCACGGTCCACTTGCGCGAGACGCCAAAGTCCGTGAGCTTCGCGTCCCAGTCGTCCGACAGCAGGATGTTCATGGACTTGAGGTCGCGGTGCAGGATCACGGGGTCGAGCGAGTGCAGGTACGTCAGCGCCTGCGCTACGTGCAGCGCAATCTTGGCCTTGTCGACGTCGAATCCTTGCGCGCGATGCTCCACGCGGTCAAACCGTCTGAGCAGCGAGAACAAGTCGCCGCCCGGCATGAATTCGGAGACTGCGCTGAGATCGCTGGGGGCGTCCCACGCCACGCCAACGAACCGCACGATGCGAGGGTGCTCCACCGTCGCCATCAGCTTGATCTCCGAGAGGAAGATGTTGATCTGACGCATGTCCTTTCTCTTCTCGTCCAGCAGCACCTTGATGGCGACGCACTCTCCGCGGTACAGACCATGGTACACCGCGCCGTGTCCTCCTTCGTTGATCAACTCCTTGTGGATAAGTTTCTCCATCGGGATACGCGCTGCCATGATGGCCTCGTCCTCCCACAAGCTCGAGCTTGACTTGGTCGACTTCTTGGCGGTCACCGAGGCTGCACTGCTTTCGAGACGAAGCGTGGAATCCAGATTCGCAGTGCTGTCGAGGTTCACGGTCCTGTCGAAGTTGTTCAGGTCACTCACCTGGATCGCAGGCGCAGGCGTGAAGCTTTCTAGCACGATGGCGTTCGCCGCGGGAAGGGTGACCGGCGCGACGACATAAGACGCGTCAAATGAGGGCGACCTCGGAGTCTGTTTCTGCCGTCTACGGCGGCGGTACAACCAGAACGCAATCCCCGCGATCAGGAGAACTACTGCTATCGAGCCGGCGACGATGCCGATGACGGTTCCTGTGCTCACACCTGCAACAATTTACAAGGGGTCAGCCTATCTCAAACTCGACACAATGTGAGAACACGAACAGCTTACCGTCGCTACTTTCTTCCAGACTGGTAAGCCCCGAGGACGCATTGCTGTCGCTGGAATGGGAACTAACATTAATGATCACCGTTGTCGAAGCGTTCGCATTCGCGGAGGCCGAAGCCGGCGCTGAAGTCTCAGCAATTCCACTGGAGCTCGAGCTAGAAGCTGGAGTCGACGTCGACTCCGCTGCGGTCACTGCAGTCGTCACTGAGGTTGTACTTGTCGGCGTCGACGTCTCTATCGTGGAAGCGGATGAAGTGACGGTCGCCGCTGCGGTAGTCGCCACTGGAGCGGAAGTAGCCACTTCGGGTGCGGCTGTCGGAGCCCTTGTCGTTGGTGACGGCGTCCTTGTCGTCGGTGATGGAGTACGCGTAGTCGGTGATGGAGTTCTCGTGGTCGCTGTCGGTGTCCTAGTGGTGGGCGTCGGCGTCCTAGTGGTGGGTGCCGGCGTGCTCGATGTACCGGTCAAGGTATCGGCCGTGCCTGTGATGATGCCTGCCGCCGTGTCGAGGAGTGACATGGTGCTGCTACAATACTATGGATGAGCTCGGATACTCTTCCTGGCGATACCTGCGAAGATCCTGTGTGAGGCTTCCTGCGCGTTCCGAACTGGCCAACAAGCAGGAAGGGGGAGGCCGTGCACTTCCCGACGCCAGGACAGAAGCGACATTGGAAAGTGCGGGCGGACCGTGTCAACGACATTGAGAGCGGTCCGATTTGCTTCAAAGTATTGAGGTCTATGCACGGCCAACATCCTCAGCAACATTTCGGCCTGCATGGGAGCGCCGCACGCCCCTGTGCTACGTTTGATCAGCATGGTGGCGCTTTCGGTGGCTTTGAGCGCGCGCGAGAAAGTTTCAGTGGGTGATGCCAACTCGAACGAGATTGAACTAGAGTACGATGGCTTTCCCAGCTACAGCTAGCTACAAGTACAACACTCATCTCGCTTCTACACAGTGTACAGCTCGTACGACTGCAAGATGAGCTGCAGTCGGTAGTGCACTTCGCTAGCGCTGGGTCGAGCCAATGGGTCAAAGCTCACGCAAGCGCGGCCGAGCTCAACGAGCTCCGTCGGCGCGTTCGCTGAGAAGTTGATTGTCACTCGCCCCATTGCCACGAGCTGCAGCAACGCTGCGTCGGGAGTTCGCTGTCTGCTGTTGTCTACCCGGGCTACTGCGTACGGGCGCAAGTGCGAGTCCAATTCGGACAGCACGATGCCGAACGAGAAGATGTCGGCGCTCGTGTCGTATCGGTCGCCCAGCATGACCTCGGGTGCCATCCACAGCGACGTCCCGACCGCATCCGTCATGCTCGTGAAGCTGTAGTTGCGAGCAACGCCGAAGTCCGACACTTTGGCGTTCATTGAGGACGTCAATAGGATGTTCCTGGACTTCAGGTCACGATGCAGCACCTTCGGGTCGAGTGAGTGCAGATACGTCAACGCCTGAGCGGTTTGGAGGGCGATCCGGGCCTTGTCGAGGTCGAACCCTCGAGGCCGCTGTTCTTGCGTGAACCGGTCAAGCAGAGAGCGTAGGTCACCCCCTTCCATGAACTCCATCACTGCGGACAGATCCGAGAGCGAGTCCCAAGCCACAGCAATGAACTGCACAATGCACGGGTGGTCGATCGTTGCCATCATCTTGATCTCAGCCAGGAAGGCGTCGATCTGGTCGAGGTCCTTCCGCTTCTCAGGGAGAAGCACTTTGATCGCCACGGGCTGTTCACGGTAGAGCCCGCGGTAAACTTCCCCGTAGCCGCCAGAACTCAACAGCTTCGTCGTCGTAAGCTTTTCCATCGGGACGCGCATTGCTGCGATCAACTCGTCGTCCCACAAACCAGAGCGTCTGGGCCCTTCAGACGTGGAATCTTTGTCGCTGTTTAGCCGCGCAGTGTCAAACTGGCCGAAAGACACCGACGTTGACGACGTCTCGAATCGCTCGGTGCCTCGAGTGTTGAACACCGGGATGTCCCCTGTTGCCCCCAACCGGACGTGGCTGGCAGAGCTCATCAGATGCCGCCGAGACCGACGGAAACACCAGATTCCAAGGAGCACGCAGAGTAGGAGGGCTGCCAGTGCAGCGAGCACGAAGACAATTATGCTGCCAGTGCTGATGCCCGTGTCTGCGGTGACTCCAACACCAGCTTCATCACCTCCTTGACTGCTTGATCCAGTGGAGTTGCCAAGGGAGACGTTAGTTTGGCTCTGCTCCTGGCTCAGTTGGGTAGAGCTTGACCCGCTCAAACCTGAAGCAGACAGACTGGCGCTGTTGCTGGTGGTTCTAGAGCTGTCGACTGCATTGACTGAGGAGGAAGAAGTCGATGGCGCTGCTGTCGTCTCGGTTGGGGTCGCGGTGATAAGTGAAGACGCTGAATTGGAGACGCTCGAACTACCAGCGCTGGAATCACTGGTTGAATCCGCCGCCGTCATCGCTGGTGATGAAGAGGCTGGTGATGGAGTGGCTGTCGAGGAAGTAGGAGCGGGTGTGGAGCTTGAAGGCGTGGAAGTGGTCGCCGCAGGCGCAGAAGTGCTAGTGCTGGAGGGCGTGGATGTCGTTGGCGCTGGAGCGAACGTACTGGGACTCGTGGATGGAGATGCAGTCGACGACATTGTCTTGCTAGACGAAGTGTCTTTTGTGGTGGTGGTGGTTGTTCCGGTCAACGCGCTCGTGGTGGTCTCGACTGTGCCGGTTACCGCCCCCACCACAGACCCGATGAGGGATTCCTTCATTTCTCCAACGGTTTGCGAAGTACTTACTTGGCACTAGCCGACGGGCTAGTAAGCCATTTCGCCAAACTTTCGCGTGGGCACGCAGTCTAAGCGAGACTGCGTGCCCACGCGAAAGTTTGGCGAAATGGCTCCTACTGGTCGCAGTAGCATCATGGAGAGACGAGGCCAGAGCCCATTTTCGAGTCGATGCGCTTGCACGTTGTTCAAGCACCAGACCACACGACCTCAGTTTGCCTCGTCTTCAGTGATCACGTGACGAGTCCTCACGTGGCGTCGACGGCAGCGGAGACCGAGAACAAAAATTCGACGATCGTTCGCGATCGAAAGCCTCATGCGGACAGGTCAACGTGCACGGAGTTGTGGGCGAGGAGGGCCACAAATGCTGGGGGCGTCGAGTTGGTCCGAAACACTCACGCTGCTCTAAGACTTATCTGTCAATTGCGTACTGTGCATCGGTGGATACTCAGACCCGACGGCGCGGGCGAAACTCAATGTTCTGGTCCGACCAACCGCAACCAATTCGATCATTCTGAGCGAGCACTATCCCCAGCAATACAAACCAAACGCACCAAGAGAGTTTTACACAAGCTGCTGGCTCCGGTCTGCTGGAAAATTATCTTCTTAAAACGTGGCACTCTCGTACGAGTTCATAATGAGCTGCACTTTGTACAGCACTTCGCCTGCCGTGGGTCTTGCTTCAGGATCCAGGTCCACACATGCGTGGGCCAGTTCAATCAGTTCTTGAGGCGCGTGAGGGGAAAACTCGATCCTGAGCAGCCCCACGGACACCAACTGAAGCAACGCTGTGTCCGGGATCAAACGCCCCGAGTCCGTCTCCTTCGTGGCCGCGTACGGCAGCAGATGCGAGTCCAATTCCGACAAAACGACGCCAAACGAGAAGATGTCGGCGCTGGTGCCGTACCGTTCGCCCATCATAACCTCAGGGGCCATCCACAGGCACGTCCCGACTCCAGCCGTCATGGTCTGATCGCTGCTCTCCCGAGATACGCCAAAGTCGGTGATCTTCGCCTCGAGACCCGACGTTAGTAAAATGTTCTTGGACTTGAGGTCGCGGTGAAGCACTTGCGGATCAAGCGAGTGGAGATACGTCAGCGAGTGTGCGACTTGCAGCGCGATGCGAGCCTTGTCGTAGGCGAAGCCGTGTGGACGGTGCTCTTCGTACTCGGCGTGGTTGAGGAACGAGCGGAGGTCGCCTCCGTCCATGTACTCGGCTACGCAGCACAGATCCGCGAGCGAGTCCCAAGCCACGCCGATCAGCCGCACGATTCGAGGGTGGTCCATCGCCGCCATGAGCTTGATTTCGGCCAGGAACGCGTTGATTTGGCGTAAGGTTTTCCTCTGCTCGGGGAGCAGCGTCTTGATAGCGACGGGCTCTCCTCGATACGAACCGTGGTAGACCATGCCATAGCCTCCGCGGTTCAGCAGCTTCCCCCTCGTAATTTTCTCGATCGGAATGCGCATGGCTGTGATGGTCTCGTCCTCCCACATATCTCCTGATTCCGCTGTGAGGAAGTTCGTTCCTCCAACTTCTCGTTCGTGGTGCTGGCCTCCAGTGAATGGACCTGTCGAGGAAGTGTCGAGACGAGAGTTGACAGTGTCCACCGACATGTTAACCTTCGGGTTCTTGTTGATGTGGCGTTGGAACGGTGGGGACAGCGAGTCGTTCGTCTCCTCGCTATCGCTTCGCTTACGGCGCCAAGCAACAAGCCCCATGATCAGTAACACCGCAGCGACTGATGCAAGGATAATGGCAGCGACCATCCACGTATTCACACCTGTGGGTAAAGTGCAGCAAAGCAAGCACGGTCAGACAGATAAAGCTCCAACCAGAGCTGACAGCAACGCGTACCTTGTGAACCAGTCTGTCCTTCGGCGTCTTGACTCGCAGCTAGGCCGTGACTGTTTAGTGAGCCGCCGCTGCCGCTACCCCAGCTACCGATGCTGGTGTCAATGCTGCCGGATACGGACTCGGTTGTAGTAAGATCTGTATCTGCAGACGACGAAAGGGACAATGAGTTGTCATTCGTATCGTTCGCTTCAATCGTTGGCACGGGGGTCTCCGGTGCTTCAGTTCCGGTCGATCCGCTGCTGGAGATGGAAGATTCGGGTTCAAGCGTGGGTTCTGGTGTACTCGATGGCGTCGGGGACGGAGTGGGTTCTTCTGTCGTAGGCTCGGGCGTTCTAGTCACGGGTTTCCTCGTGGTTGGTGCTGGCGTCCTGGTTGTGGGGGTCGGTGCTCTAGTCGTGGGGGTGGGCGCTTCAGTCGTGGGTGTTGGCGCTACAGCTACCGGGGAGGGTGCGACTACCGGTACTGGTGCTGGTGCACTGGTAGGCGCTGGAGCGGTGGTCTCTGTGGTGCCACCGTTTTCGCCGCCGCCGCCAAGAACTGTGTTCAGAATCGACCCGATAAGGCCCTGGAGCCTTCGCGGCTGCTCCAACGGAGCCGCTCCCGTCTAGAAGCACACACAAAGCGAAACGGTTCAGCATTCAGCTTGCACAGTACAGCAAGTCTTTCATCGCGCTGTTCGCGTACCATTTCGAGCGCTGCGATAATGTCACTGCTGTGCAATGGGAGACTGAGCTATTGATCCGGACAATAGACCGAGTGCCATAAGGTACAGGTCAACATGGTGGTCTTATCCCCTAGCTGCTGGTGTCTGACGCCATGACATTATCAAAAAGTGCCTGCCCCAGATGGCAGCACACCGACGATCGTATCACCCCACAGCCGGCATGGTCATCAAAGGCTAACGCAGTACATGTATAGATATGATGAGGAAATGACGTGCATTTGACTGCTTCATGCGAATCTATCTGCCTTCGAGTAGCTGAACAATCTGCTGCGCCGTAAGACGCCTGGCTGGGTCATGCTGACAACAGGCTTCAGCGAGGTGTCGGATGAAGTTAGGGCACTCAGCGCTGAAGCTCGGTCGCAGTCGTCCTTCCTTCACTTGTTTCAGGATCTCTGCCTGCTCCATGTGAATCCCGTTGGGCGACAGAGCGTCAAAGTAGGGCGTCTGGCACGTGTCCAGCTCACTGAGCAGCACGCCGAACGAGTAAATGTCGGCGGCGGGGGAGTACGCACCACCGTCGAGCACTTCGGGCGCCATCCAGTAGGCCAGGCGGGATTTCTGCTTGGCTCCGATCGATGGGTTCGTCTCGGTTGAGCCGCAACTCGCTACTTTGGCCTCTAGCTCGTCCGTCAGAAGCACGTTCTTGGCACAGAGCTCGTGATGGATGAAGGCGGGCGTTTGCTTGTGCAGATACGCCAGCGCTCGAGCGATCCCACCCGCGATCTTGGTCTTCTGCGGCGTCCAGGTGCTCAATTCAGCCGCGTTCCGGTCCAAGAACGCCCTCAGAGTCCCCTGTGGGTGGAACTCGACCACCATGGAGAGATCGTTGGCCGAGGTCCAACCAGCCCCGACGAATTGCACCAGGTTCTTGTGACCGGTGTGAGCACGGTTCTGGATCTCAAAGGCGAGACTCTCCACTGCTGCGATGTTGACGCTCGAGCTGGGAGCGAGTCGTTTGATCATAACGTGCTGTCCGTCGTAGCTGCCAACGCACGAGTCCGTCTGCAGAGTGGTCATGGGGAGCTGTCGCTCGACATGGAGCTGGTTGAGTTGAATGCGGCTGCGTTCGACGGTCGGATCCCTTGCCAGTACTTGCAGTGCGTTGTGGGCACCCATGCCAGCGATTCTTTCGACGTCGCTGGGCGCTGTCATCGGCTTCGAGGGCCTAGCTTTGCTGCGGCGAGGTGCAGTAGCAGCAGCAGTAGCAACACCAGCGGCCTCGGAACCAATCGAGCGGCCTTTCGCTTCATTCGGAGTTGGGCCTGGAGCTGGTGGATGGTAGTTCCCCTGAACTTGTGAAGGAGAAGCTCGGATTCCCTGCTCTTGGTTCCGGTAGTCGCTTTCGTAGCACGGCGGCAGCGTGACTAAAGGAACTGAGCGCCGACTTCCACCGTAGTGTGACTGTCCTCTCTCAGTGCTCGGATTCGACCAAACGTCTTCAGACGCACGCATGGTTGCCCCGGATTGTTGGAAAGGGTCCTCGTAGTCGGAGCTCTGTTGCGTGGACACCTTTGGTGCGTGGTTGTCGAAGTGCCTTCCAGTGGGCGACGTCATCTGATTGAACGCCACCATCGGGGACCCTCCATCGTTCGCGTTGTCGGGCTTCTTTCGTCGCGTGAACACGAATAATCCTACCAGCACAGCGACCAGCAGAAGACCGATGGAGCCACCAACTGCTCCGCCCAGCAACGCGACGTTACGACCCGCGTTGCCTTCGGCTGGAGCTTTGGACGACGATGAGTCGGCTGTCCGTGAATTTGTGCCGCTGGCAGGCGTCGAATTACTTGACGTGGATCCTGAACCGCTGGCCCCCGCGGCGTACGATCCCATCCACGAGGTGACCCAGTCCGACGGAGTTGGAACCGCCCTCTTGCTGCTGGGGACGTCGTCCGATCCGTAGCACGGGAAGTTGAGGTAGCCGTAGGTTTCCGTGCTAGGACAGTCGCCATATTTCCGTTCCGAATTGGTATTGACCGTGTGCACCGCGTACACCTTGTAGCTCTCGCCTCCGCCCGTCCAAGAGTGCTTCGACAGCTCAATCTCCGGAATGGTAGTGGATTCTCCTCCGATCGACCACGCAGCCAGATTCAGGTTGGCCATATCGAACTCCTCCACGACGCACTTGGCCCCCGTCAGAAACTGAGTGCCCGTACACAGGTGGTTGTTGTGGGCCTTCGTTCCGTCCGGCTGCGTGCAGTTGTAGGCTGTGCACGTAGTGGCCTCGAACTCGTCCAGTGTGAGCGCGAGCTCCGCCATGGAGCGGCCGTCGAGCGTCCAGATCTGCATGATGTCGTTGGTGGGCGTCAGCGCGAAGCCGCTGTCCCAGAGCACCGCTCGCTGCGCGAAGCCGTCCAGGTCGTCGAACGCCACGTTCACATCGCTGAGCCGAGAGGTGATGGTATCCGGTATCGACGAGAGGCTCAGCTTGTCGAGCGAATCTCCGGCCTTGAAGCGCGAGTAAAGCTGCAGAGCGAGGTCGGACGTGCTGCCGTCAAAGGTGAAGGATTGAGTCGGTACCCACGAGTCCTCGAGCGCTCGTCGCAGTCCCATGGTGCAGTTGTACTTGTGCAACTGGTCACAAGTTTTCAACTGATGAAGACGTCGAGTGTAGCTCAGTAGGATGCAACAGCTTCAACGCAACTCTGGCTAGGGAGTTATTCCGTTTCTCTACCGCCTCTGGCGATAGCAACTAGCGTACTGGAGACCTTCAACCGACAGACACGTACAGGTGATATGGTAGGGTATGGCGTGAAACTATCCTTAGTTGTTCAGATGTCGTGCAGTGGTAAAGATGGCTTAACTGGCGTCCTCAGATGGTGCCACATGTGTCTAAGTTGAGCTATTCGGACGCTGAAGGACCCTTATACCTCCAGCAGACGTAGAAGTTGGTCGGCAGTTGGTCTCCGATTCGCATCGTGTTGGTAGCAGCCGACGCCGATCATGCGGATGCGGCGAGGACAGTGCGCGCTGAAGCTCGGACGCAGCGTGCCCTGCATGACCTCGTTCAGCACTTGGATCGGCTTAAGTTTCGTGCCGGCGGGAGACACGGCGTCGTGAAACGGGGCCGTCGCCGTGTCGAGCTCCGTTAGCAACACGCCGAAGGCGAACACGTCCGCCTTGGCAGTGTACGGTCTACCGCACAAAACCTCCGGCGCTGACCAGAACGGAGACGGCCCCGCGACGTGACAGCGGTGACTTTGCTCGTCCAGACACGACGAGTCGAAGCCCGTGAGTTTCGCGCCCATAGTCTCAGTTAGCAGCACGTTGCTCGCTCGTATATCGCGGTGCGCGACGGGGGTCGGCTGGCTGTGAAGGTACGTCAAGGCGCGCGCGATGCTGACGGCCAGGCGATACTTGCTACGCTCCCACGTCAAGTACTCCCCGTAGTGCGTCAAATACGAGAGCAGATCCCCTAGCGGGTAATGCTCCATGATCAGCATTACGTCGGCCACGCTGTTCCACGCCACACCGACCAGTGTGACGATGTTCGGGTGCGAAAGCGTCACGCGCAGCTGGAGCTGGTAGACGAACTCATGCACGTGGAACACGTGCGATCGCTTGGACTTGAGCAGGCGCTTGACCACGATTGCTGGCTCCGGTACTCGCCAAGCCGGACCTCCCTTGAGCGGCTTGTCGCCAGCCTCGAGCGAAGCTTGATGTCCTTGTACGGTATCCGCATCCGAGCCACGCGCCGGTGTGCCGTGTCTTCACCACTCGGTTCGTACGCGGTTTGGATCGTCGTGGGGGTCACGAGCTCGGTCATGTCGTTAGACCGGTGGAGCTGAGAGAACGAGACGGCCACTGCTCGACGGTCTTCGTAGGTCCGTCCAGACTTCTACCACTGCCGATGCATCCAGCAGCAACACGCTCCGCCGAGCAGAAGCAGAACGGCTATACCGATGATCGGCACGAGGAGTCCCATGTTGAAGCTGTTGGTGTCGCTGGACGAGGACGACCCAGTGAACGAGACAGAGCTTGACATTGTGCGGTTGGGGGCGAAAATGAAAGTGGAGGTGCTAGTATCGAGCTCTTGCCGCGGTTCAAGAGTCGACGAGGTCGTTGGACTCCACCGGTAAACACTGTCACCCACCAAGGCTAATTTTCGTTGGTCTCACTTGCCGAGTGCGGTCCACAGGTTTTTGGGAGGGTCACACTGATACAAGTGCTTCGTCGCAAGAGATAGCAATTAACGGCCCACAAAGACTCACGCAAAAAGTAAACTTGAACCAACCCACTCGTTGCTTCCGAACTTTTTTTTTTTTTTTGGGGGGGGGGGGGGGTAAATACTTTTTCAGAGAAAAAAATTTGTTCGTAAAATCAGACTCACTACTACTTACTGCAGAAAGAACCAACGGGATGGAGACGCCTGAAGCTGCCAGGTCTGACCCCAAGTGGGTCGATTGCATGACGTTGGCGTTCCCGCGGGAGTTGCCCATGCAGTACGAGTTCGAGGAGCTGAGGTTCTACGTGCGCGCGTGCTACCCCCATTACTACAACCTCATTACTCGAATGCTCAATTCAAAGAGGGCAAAGGTGGTCACAGTGACTGACAATCCAGGTAAGATCACGTTGGGTGGTCAGCACTTCTTACACGTTAGAATACGCTTACCACATGTAACCATGCAGGCATCGGCAAGTCCTTATTCTACGCTTACTTCTTCCTGCGCTACAGAGCCGAGAACGAGGCTACTTCAATCATCACGATATCGTTCGCAAAAGAAAACAACGCGTCCGTACTGAAGGAGGTGGTCGTCTGGAAAGGTGACAGGGTGGTAGCTGCCACAAGCAACTCACTGGCGATAGGCAACTTGATTGAGAAGGCCGAGAAAGAAGCGAAGTCCAACGTGATTCACCTGTACAATGGCTCGCCTAAAATCGCTGCAGCGAGCGCTCGAGCGGTGTGCTTCACAAGCTCAGACAAATCGTGGTTTGACCACATCAAGAAGAGCCAATACCGGCCAAAACTGTTCATGCCGCTGTGGGATCTTCGGGAGCTTCAAACCGCCGCAAAAGCGCTCCATCTCTCCGTTCTCGGAGGCGACGAGAGTCCCAAAGCGTTAAATCAGGACGAAGTCGAGGTGCGTTTTATTACCTTTGGTGGCATTGTGCGCGAGTATCTGGCCAGCGACCAAGATTTCGTCTACCAACGGCAGCACGATATCGAAAAGATGGTTGGGCAGTTCAACGATGCCGGCATCGCGCGGCGTCTTCTGCAGGATTTGGAATCTGAGATGGTCCTGTATGCACCGCATCCAGACAACCCGAGAAGATACGAGCTAGCGGAACCTCCACACTTTGTGAAGCGGCTGCTAGTGGAAAAGCTCAGCACGATGGATCCAACCACGTTGGACGAGATCATGGGCTTATTTAGGGTCTGGCCACTCGATAATTCCTTCTGCAGTGTGCTGTTTGAAGTTGATGTGCACAAGATTCTCAGCTCTGAGTGGGCGTTCACCGCACGGTTGCTTGGTGACGGCAATCCTCCAACGAATCGGGCATTCGAATGTGCAAAATCAACTTTGCGGCAGCGTGATGCCCCGTTCTGCTATTTCGACAGAGAATTATCGCCCACAGATTTACAGTATGGCCCGTACAAGTCCCGTGGGCGACGAACTTTGTGGCCATTGACTCCTATTGCGCTTGGTTGTGTTGTGGTGGCAAAAAGTTGCGGTCAGGTCAAGATAGATTAAACGGCGGACTCGGAAAACGGTGTTCGTCGCAAAGATAATTACTTAAAACTCTTAGTAGCCAAAGATTGTGGTGTCAAACTCCCTATCTTTCATGTTCCTTTGCCTCACATGACAGGGTCACGTTCAGAAGTGGGCACCGCAGCTCACACACGTCGGCATCACTAGCAGGGCCCGAAACCCCACACGTATTGCGGAATGACGTTCAGGGTATCTGTTAGCCACTTTCGTTGTTGCTGTGTCTCGTCATGCTTATGGAGTAATTCGCGGAGAAATTCAAACGAATCCAGGAGCTCAGATAGTGCGTCGGTCCCCAACGTCTCCACCCCCTCCAGCACATTTCGGAGATCACGGACTGTGTAAATTCCTGCAGCTTTAAGAGCTTTTTCTTGTGTATCGTCGATACCATTCACGTTGCACAAGTCGCCCTCCTCGCTAGATATTTTCACTTCGATCTCTTGGCGTTCGAATTGTTCAGCGACGTCGCTCGGTACCACAAAAACTAGCGCAACGCGCTGTGGTTGCTCGTTCGCTTTCGTTATAAAACCCAGTCGGTCCAGAACAAAAGCAACACCTCTTCCGCTTACCGAGTGTGTAAGGACTGTCGTAATCTGGAAAACCCACAAATGGGCTTCACGGCCAAACTCATCACGTGGCACCAAGCTCGAGGAAGTTTGTAGCTTTGTTGTGGTTATTATTCATGCTTGAAAAGTTCCCGTCAACACTCGGCGGTGCTCACCGTAATCCGCACTGTATACGTTGAAAGTGCCGGTCGAACTGTACCGGCACGGCGGCTGCACTTCTTCACTCCCTCAAACTCCAGCATCAGCCCACACACTACAGGCACGCATACAACGACCCAACCCATGAGCGCCTTTACCAAGTCGAAGCCTTTGCCCAGTGGATACGCCATCCCGAGCCTGGCACTTGGAGTCTACCAATGACTGCTGGGTCTGAAACCTGCAACTTGAGGTTGATGTAGATGGATTGCTTTAGAGTCGACTTGAATTCCATCCATCACATTTGATCTCAATAAAGAGCATCCTCATTTTGCGATTTCTGCCTTCAGTTGCGATGAGGGTGCCGCATATTAGGGACCTCAAGCGCGCGGTTGGACCAGCAGACGCTCGATAACTTGGATGGTATGGTCGAAGATGGTGCCGAGACCCAGGACAACAAAACCGATGAAGCACCGCCGGTCATCGAGCCGGCTCCCACGTGGGTCGAGAGCACGACACTAGAATTCCCAAAGGGACTGCCCATGGAGTTTGTTTACGATCACCCAACGTTCTACGCGCGTGAGTGTTACCCCGCATACTACACAAATATTCTGGGTTTGCTTAGCAGAAGAACAACCGAAGCGGTCACAGTCACCGGAACACCAGGCAAGTATTTTATTTTACTTTATTTTATCTAATTTTTATTTTACCTACACTGGAAGTAAACTAACGCTTTTTTTCCTTGCTGTATCCTGGATAGGAGACGGCAAATCGATGTTCTACGCGTACTTCCTCCTGCGCTACAGCGTCGAGCACCCCTCCGTCACTATCATCACGGCCGCCTTTCATCAGGCTGGAGGTGGCTGGGGCAAAATTGTAGCCCAGGCTTCGCGGTTTGAAACGTCAATGGGCGATCTCATTCTCAAAGCCGAGACGGAAGCGAAGCACGGGGTTCTTCACCTATACGACGGACCACCAACAATGGTTCTGCCGCACACCCAGACGGTGTGTTTCACGAGTCCAAACGAGAGGTGGTTCCATAAACTCACGAAAAGTCCGCATCGCCCGATGGTGGTAATGCCGTTATGGGGTCTCGAGGAGCTCCGGACTGCCGCTGAAGAGCTTGACCATGTCATGGAGGGATCGCTGAATCGTATTATGTCTGATCAGCCGAAGCGCGAGTCCAAAGAAGTTGTGCGAGTTGCGGACATAGTTGAGCAGCGTTTCTACATCTTCGGAGGCGTCGCTCGCGAGTGCCTTACTACCTGTCCAGCGTTTGCTGAAAGACGACAAAGGAGACGTTGGAGAGGGCCGTCCGGGATATCGCGTACAAGCACTTTCTGGGCTCGAAGTCGGACATTTATTTGGCAAACCACCTTCACTGCCACTTTGTGCCAAACCCACAGTGTCCGATGGAGTACACGGTTGCGCTCCCATCCAAGTTCGTGGAGAGGCTGCTGGTGTCGTACTGGGGAAAAATTGGCCCTGTCGAGAGGAAGGAGCTGATGAGCTGCCGGAGGATGGCGTCAAGTTCTTTCCGCAGAGTTTTACTAGCTATAGCCTTGCACGAGAAGCTCAACGACAAGTGCGAATTCACAGCCCAGCGACTTTGGCAGGGCGGTCGTAAATACCGGAGGTTCCAGCGAGACCGATGGAAACCACACCAGTGCGATCCGTTGGAGCGCTTCTGGTACTTTGACGAGAAATCCACTCGAGCAGATGGTAACCGGATTTTTAGGTCAATCCTACATTTTGGTCACGGGTTAAATCCTTACTTTGGTCACGTGACCTAAGCGAATGAGGTCACATGTAATTCGCAAACGGTTTGGTTGTAAGTAAATGCGTTATAGCGATTCTGCTCCTGACAGAGAGCGACTTCCGCACCATTATTCCGCGCTTTCGTAGTCAAAAGAGTCGTCTGGACGATAGTCTGCTGTTTTATGATCCATCTCGGCATCGTCGGCCTCCAGCACTAGAGCAGGATTCAGAGTCATCAGTGGCGATGGTAGGCTGCTCTCATAAGTCTTTGCTCTTCTCTGACCCCACAATGTCGGCGGCCTGACGCAATGGATAACAACGCGCGGTGCCGCATATTCGTGAGAAATACCTTTTCGTGACCTACATTACGCGATGGGGGCCGTCTCATGTTGACGTGTCAAGCTCGAGTGCTGAGCTGTGGTGCGATGGGTTAGCTACTTCTAGGCGCGTATAAATTTTCTAAGTGAATGCTACAAAGCACGAAATAGAATCCGGAAACGATGTCGAAATTTCATAATGGGTTCCCTGTGTCGACGAAGTTGTTCATGGGAGGGTGTGTAGCCCTACAGTCTACTTGTACTATTACTATAATACCATGTCGCACTATACGAGCCGGTTGCCTCTGTGTACTTTGTAATCGTTGAGTTGCGTTATTGTGTAGAATGAAAGCTAGGTGCAATTCTGTATGGTAGGCGGCTCAAAATATAGCATGGTACTACTAGCAGTGAAATATGGTAGGCAAATACATGATAAGTGTAGTGGAGGTTTTCACAGAAGCGAGCCCAGCCCACTCATCGGGTGGCTTCTACAGAGCGACGCTACCAAGCGGGCAGTAGGAAAGGGAGGAACAGCGAAACCAATGCCAACGACAGAGAGAGAGAGAGAGAGAGAGAGAGAGAGAGAGAGAGAGAGAGAGAGAGAGAGAGGGGTCGGTTTGGTAGAAGACGCTAGCAGAAGGCACTAGCAGGAGTCAGCTGAAACACATACACAGATTACTTTGAAATCAACCTCTTAAGCTAAACAGAGCTTTGGTTTGCTCGGAGCGCTAGCTTCCCTGGTCCTTTATAATAGTGTTCCGAAACCTACTTACAGCTCTGACTCTTCGCTACAAATACAGTCGTTATGCCTCCGAGACGGCCGAGTCGCGAGGATCTCCCCCGCTCACCGTCGCGGTGGACAACAGTGCTCGCGTCCCTCCAAGCCGAAGCTGGACGCTCGACCAGCGGACCTTCACTCTCACTGGCAACACCGTAGCAAGTGTGCATATGCTGTCACCTTGCAAGGTAGGCAGAGTGAATTGTAAGCGCTGGAGGATCGGGCATTTGCTAGGCCGTTAGTTAGGCTAAATGACTGCAATGCGCCGCACCTTGAAACGAAACGAGACGGCGAGTCGAGTGTGCGGCCAAATCTGTGCAGCATACCCATGGCCTTCGGCAACGCTGTGATCCCAGGAACAGCGGGCGGCGGGGTACTCGACTTCGACCTCGAGCGAGGTTACGGGGCCCCACACGTCGAGCAAGACTGAAGGCTAGGTCGAGATAACGCTACGTGACGCTGAGTCCTTGAGCTCAAGCGCTGAATGCGAGCGGAGTCCCGTAAGCACGGGTTGGTGACTTTGTACGGTGCTCGTACTGCAACATGGTAGGTAGCACCACCTCCTCTATCTAGGGTATTGCGATCTGCGCTCATACTACGAGCATCACACACGCGTGGTAGCAGCTCACTGTTTAGCAATGTAACTACTGCCCGTGCAACATGCATGGTAGGCGGTCTCTTGCAGTGTAAATGGTAGGAAGCACACATTTTAGCATGGTAAGGACTTGCAGCGCAACATGGTACTTTTGCTAGTAGCAAGCACGCTGTGCAAGATGATAGGCAGCCCACAGTGCAGCACTTAGCCAGCTTCAACTGTAACACAGCAGCAACTCACGGTGCAGCACGTCGTGTCCTGTAGGAAACCGCACTGACAGAGTACGAAAGCATTGAAAGAGGTGTCGTGTGTACTGAGAAACTTGTATGATGTCTGAATTCTTCAGGCTGAAGAGAAGTGGGCCCTCGTCCGCTTCGAAGCTGCATACTTAAGTATGCATTTTGCTCTCATTCTCATGCGGGCGTGCGCGCATCTTACCGTCTGCATCAATGGGTGTGACCTGTTAAGTTTGGTCACGTGACCCAGCGTCCTGATGTGTGACCTATTTGACCATCATACCCGTGACCAACTGTTAGGATTGACCTGTTTTCCCCTCTTCGGAGCAGATTTGCTTTTCCCCTACCGAGTTTCAAGCGCGGCGAATGTTGGGGGCATACTCGTTTTATTATACGAAGGCGAGTCGTGGCGCAACTCGTGGGGATCGGCTGTGACTGCTCCAGATACTGACAACTCCGGTGAATTCGGTGAACGGGGAGAGTCTCGCGCTACTACTGGATCAATTGGGACTGATGACGATGGTGAAGGAGCATCCAGAGCAAGTTTCGCTAATTTTTGTGGTGCCGCGAAGGAGTTTAGAACCGGGAAAATTGTGTTGGAGATGTTTATTCCAACTGATGAAGACAGCGTGCTCCTGCTGGGGAAAATTGGGAGGATGAGGGAGAAGGCACTGAAGGATGTTTGGGTTCACAGGATAGGCGATCTCCGCCAGCGTCTGGAGGCAGCGGAGGCGTCGAGGGCGGACCCAACAGCGGAGCTGGCCAAAGATCTTTCGATTGGGTTCTTGTGCGAGTTGCTCTCTAATCATGACCTAAAGCAGCAACACCATGGCACTTAATCCCTTCTTTCGCGCTGGTGACCCCCGCGATATCAGTAAAGTCGTAGCTTACCGCTCATCAATTCGGCAGGGTCAAGCTGCACAGCCCACAGAAACTGCGGAATGGCGCTCAGTGCATCCCTCATCCAGCCCCGCTCCAGCGGTGGTAGTTGAAAAGCATAACACGATGGGATGCCGAATGGTTTAGTGATCAGACCTGCATTTTTTTACAGCTCTGAAGAACTTAGTTGAAAAAGTTGAATGTCTTCCTGCACCAGTTCGCGAATCGGAGCCAGTAGCCTGCTCCTCGACCATGAGTATCATCTTCGACGGCCCACATCCGACCACCGACGAAGATATACGTGGTGTTATCAGGCGGCGAGGTGAAGCGGCTTAGACGGTGGCAGTGGCGACAAGCAACAACGGTTGCAATGATCAACAGAAGGATGAGTAGCACAATGATCAGGAGCCACCACCAGCTCAATCCACCGCCGCCACCGCCGCCAGCCTCCGTCGTCGCCGATGCAGAACCTTGAGATGGCGCTCTGGATGATTCCGTTGTCGGATCAAAGCCCCCATGCTCTAAGATCCATTGAATTACCCAGTCGGACCCCTTTGGAGTTGTGATTCGGTCTCGCAACGCGTCTGGAACAGTATCGTTTCCGTAGCACGGGATAACCAGGGACGCAGACCGTGGATCAGCGGGACATCCGCTCTCAATTGAAGATTGCTCGAGTGGTGATGCCGTGTGAATCGAGTAAACGGTGTAGCTGCACCCGCACGAGGTGACGCCTGAGTTCTTAACGACTCGGATATCTGGGAGCGTGGTTGAGTTGCCACCGGTCGACCACACGATGCCGTTCGAGCTGCTGTCACTTTCAAAGACTTCCACAACGCATTTCGAGGCTGCTAGCACATCAACTGGGCTTTGACGACAAGCTTTATAGGTTTGAGCTGTTCCACCGTTTGAGTCAGCACAAGTTAACGCCTCACACCCTGCGGCATTGAACTCGTCGACAGAGATCGCTAGGTCTGCCATGGAGCGGTTGTCGAGAGTCCAGACTTGCACGGCGCGATCATCCGAGGTGACGGCGAACCCGGAGTCCCAGAGAACAGCGCGCTGCAGCAGCCCAGGAAGGTCTTCGAAATTCACAGAGAGGTTGTGCAGCCTTGTTTGCACCGCGGCCGGTACTGCTTCCAACGTCAATTCATCAACTTTATCGCCTGCAGCGTAGCGATCGTAGAGCTGCTGTGCAATATCCGATGTTGCTCCGTCACTTGAACTTTCGGCTGCTGAACCCCCTGCAACCGACGCAGCCGATACCAACGTCGGCGGTGGTGAACACTCACACGCATTGGAGCGTTCTCCGGAGGAAGAAGACGCAGGTGGTGACGCCGGGAAGGAGCTGGTATCGGGGGTGGAGGAAGTACCCACGGGCTCAGTCGAGCTTGGCACTGCTGGTGCTGTCGAGTGTGGCGAACGGTCGGATCCGCAAGAGCTGGGGCGATTCCACGCGAGGCAAAACTCCACCAGCAGCAGTGCTACCACCACCACCACAAAGGCGAGGCTCCGATATCTCATCTTGATGCAGCTGAAAAACGCCAAATGGCCATCTCAGCGACTTAAAGCCTGCATATCGGAGACCTACACCGGAAGTGGCTGCCAAAAACTGAATTTCGCGTCAGCCATGATCTGCCAATCAGATTCGAAAATCAAGCTCACTTCAACTTCCTAATTTGTGGTGCTTTGCTTGGCTTTGGTTCGACTTATATTGACGCGTTACTGGACATTGCTACAGTTGCTCCATAGTGCTGCTTCCGCACCGAGACTCTTCTCCCACAGCTTAGTCCTGACCGCCCCCTCCAAGCTCCTTGACCAGCTCGCGTGCCGTGGGGCGAGCTGATGGGTCAATGGACAGACACGCGAGACCGATCCGCTGGATGCGAGGCGGGCAGTCCTGGGAGAAGCTGGGGCGCAGCTTGCCAGCCATGACGTCCTGCAGGATCTGGAAGGGCTTGGGCATGCCGCCGCCCTCGGTCGCGGCGTTGGAGTACGGGATCTTGCACGTGTCCAGCTCCGTGAGCACCACGCCGAACGAGTAGATGTCCGCCTGCTCCGTGTACCGCTTGCCCTCGTGGATCTCGGGCGCGGTCCAGTAGGGCGTGCCCACTCCCGCCGTCATGGTGAGGTCGATGGTGTCCCGACTCACACCAAAGTCGATGAGCTTGGGCTCCAGCTGATCCGTGAGCAAGATGTTGTTGGACTTGAGGTCACGGTGGATGAGCGGAGGCGTGCGCGCGTGCAGGTACTCGAGCGCCTGAGCCACGCCGATGGCCATGTGGATCTTGTCCCGCGCCCAGGAGAGGAGGTCTCCGTGCTTATGCAGGTAGTTCTGCAGATTGCCCTTGGGGAAGAACTCGAGCACCATGATGAGGTTGTTGAGGCTGTTCCAGGCCACGCCGATGAACTCAACGATGTGCGGGTGCACGAGGCTGGCGCTGAGCTGGATCTCCTCGGCGAAGGCCTGGACGTTCTCGGCCTTCTGGTCCTTGGTCTGCAGCAGCCGCTTGGCCGCCACCTTCTGCCCGTTGTACTCGCAGATCCAGACCTCTCCCGACGCGCCCTTGGACAGCGCTCGCTCGAAGATGATGCTGTCGAACGGGATGCGCTTGCCCTGCAGTTGCTCGCTGCCCAGCAAGATTTTGAGCGTCTTGTTGGAGCCCGCGCTCTCGTAGTGCTGACTGGAGATGGTCGAGCCCTGCGTGGTCGGGTGGCTGCTCATCATAGTCGGGTTCAGTTCCGGCGCCCCCATGGTCATGTACTGCACGGAGTCCACTTCGAGCTCGCAGTGGGGATTAGTCGTCGACTTCTGCGCGCGCTGCTTGGCCCGGCGTCTCCAGAAGAACCAGCCGAGGCCAATGACGACGAGAACTCCGAGGATAATCGGCACCAGCAGCACCAAGTTGAACCCGTCGTCGTCCTCCCCCGCGAACTCTTCCTGCAGCCACGTGGTCACCCACGCCGTGCCCGTGGGCGTCGTCGTGTTCTCGGCCATGTACGCGTCAGTGAACTGATCCCTGCGCGCGCACGGGATGCTCACTGCCCCGTACTCGCCGTCGTCAGGGCACGCGCCCCAGGCCACCTCGTCGGAGCTGGACACCGTGTGCACCACGTAGACGGAGAAATCAAACGTGCCATTGAACTCAGCGATGTACTCCGACCAGGTGTGATCACGAAGCTCGATCTCCGGTATCACGTCCGGGTCACCGCCACTTGCCCACATGTTTCCCAAGTACGTCGACGCCGCGTCGTCCACGAAGTCGTTGGCCACGCAGTGCGAGGTGTTCTGCATCTGGAAGCCCGTGCACGTGTGGCTGTAGAAGGCGGTCACGCCGTTCGGCTGCGAGCAGTTGGTGAAGGTGCACTGCACGTTGCTCACCTCGTACTTCTGCACGGCGATGTCGGCCATGGTGCGGTTGCCCATGGGCCAGATCTGCACGGGCTTGTTGCCCGGCGCGATGGCGAAGCCCGTGTCCCAGAGCACGGCGCGCTGCACGAGGCCCGGCAGGTCGTCGAAGGCGATGTTGAGCGCGTCCAGGCGGTCCTTGACCGCCGTCGGCACCTCCGTGAGCGAGATGCTGTCGCCCGTGGCGCCCGCCCGGTGGCGGATGTGCAGCTGCCGCGCGATGTCCGAGTTGCTCCCATTAAAGACGAAGGAGGAGGACGAAGAGGCGGACGAAGTCTCCTCGAGGCTGCGGAACGTGACGGTCTGAGCGTGAGCGAGGCTGGCGACGGCCGCGAGCAGTGCTGGGAGGACGCGCCACTGCATGGCTGACGGGCGCGTTGCAGATTGGGGAATGACTGGCGCGTTCCGGTCTTCACGTCCGTGTCATGCTGACCTTCCAGCACTGCTGGACGCTCGCCATACGCGTAACGGACGTAACAGAGATATCATACATGTACCCATTGATTACACCCCGGCTGGAAGGCGCTGGCTATAAAAGCATTTTTGTTGTTTTTAAAATAACGTAAAGCTGCGTCGGTATGCTGTTAAACCGTGAGTTTCCTAACGTAGTGGGCCTGCCAACTATCGGATCTGCTGTCCGAAGAGTGCCACTGTCTGTGCATCCATTTTAGGTTCGAAACAGGTGGCTGGATGATCGCGAGTCACGACCACTGCAACGCTGAGCCGAGCTGCGGCCTTTACGTGCTCTTTCGATCAAGCAGCACCACCCGCTCGCTCGTGTGCCCCACGGACCACCAGCGATGGGAACGCGCTCAATGGATTTCGTGCACTTGTTCAAGCAAGCAACAACTTGACTGCCGGTCATCCGTTACCGCTTCAAGCACAGCAAGCGCAGAAGGAATGGAACATCTTCAAACCCGCAGAAGGAAACCACAGTATTCGTCGAGTACATGTACACACATGTACATGCATCGGTGGAAGTGTACTTGTGCTTAGAAAACGAAATGTCCAGTATCAACGGGCTCAGATGCAGTTATCGTTAGTTATTAAACGGCCCCAGGTCGGTTCACTAGCTACGGGTGCGGACTTCGGCCTGTCGCGAAACGCATTCCGAGGCATGTCGGTCTCCTTCAGCCGTGCAGCATTCGCGCTTTCTCCTGCTGCGAGCCACTTCCACGATGGTTGTAGGTGGCACTCGACGCTTGGTGTCCGACTCCTACAAGGACGCGGTGCTGCCTTCGAACGCCACGTTCTTCGCCTTCGACGGCACCAACTCGGACCTGGCAACCCAGCTGTACCTGCGCGCCAAAGCTGGCGGCTTGACGACCAAGCTCCCCACCATCAGCGTTCCGGACGCGGTTCAGGAGCGCCTCGACTCGCTCGGCGTCGAATGGGACGACCTGTCGGGCATGGCGCAGCGCGCGCTGCTGTGGGACTCGGGCTTCGGCGTCACGCTGGACAACAAGGCGGTGCGGATCTGGCCGCTCGCGGGCCACTCCATGACGGACCTCGCGGTTCCACTGGTGCAGTTCGAGGCTGTGGGCTGCGTGGCGACCAACTGCTCGCAGCCCGACGACACGCTGAGCTTGAGCAACTTGTACTGCAACGGCGAGCAGATGCTCCACGCCGTGCGCTGCGTCATGGAGGACTTTACCGAGACCGTGCAGATCCACGGGGCCATGTGGATGACCGGCGGCAACCCGGAGGTGATGCCGACGCCCAGGGCCAGGAAGCACCAGTGGAAGGACGACTCCACCAACGTCTCGTACACGGTGCTGGCCATCCACACTGTGGATCAGGAGGACGAGGCAGCGTACAATGTGTGCCCCACCTCCAAGCAGAACGGCGGCTACGGGTCTCTCGTGCTGTCGTGCCACTCGCGCACAAACATCACGGACGAGGTCAAGAGCGCCATGCTGGAGGCTCAGCCCACGCCGTGGGTCTCGCGGTGGCTCGTCGAGGATTTCTCGAACGGAGGCGTCGGACAGTCGGCTTCGGCCTCGGTCTCAGACGGCGAAAGCGGGTTTAATCCGCTGCTGATCGCCCCGATCGTGGCTGGGGTTGTCGTGGTTGTCGGCCTCATTGCGCTCTTCGTGTACGTCAAGCGGAAGCGACAGAGTAATGACGAGTCGGACGCGCTCGAGGACTCTCTCATCTACCTGGAGACGTTCCGAGCGCCGACGTTCAAGGAAGACAACAAGCCTGAGAACGACTTTGCCCCCGACGGCTCAAGCGCGCCGACTATCGACGACACGTTTACCGGTTCTCACCGGAACGTCGACAAAACCATCAAGTTTCTGTCGAGTACCAGCTCCGCCAGCGAGTTCGGGTCCGGGTCGAATCAAACCTTGCAGATTCTACTCGGAAGCGAGTTCCTGGTCGCCAAACGGCTGCCGTTCGAGAGTCTCGTCTTCAAGCGAGCTCTGTCCAAGGGTGCGTGTGGAGAGGTGTGGCTGGGAGAGTACCAGTGCCAGCAGCTCGCCATCAAGCGGTTGCTGCAAGCCAAGGCCCATCAAGCCGATGAAGTGGAGGAGTTTGCGCAGGAGATCGAGCTCAGCGCCAGTTTGATGCACCCCAACATCGTGTCGTTCATTGGCGTGGCCTGGAACAGCCTCAACAACTTGGTCATGGCGCTCGAATTCTTTCCCATGGGGGACCTACAAGCGTACCTCGAAAAGCACGCCGACCTCATGACCTGGGCGAAAGACAAAATTCACATCGCTGTTGGAGTGGCGCGCGCGCTCGAGTACTTGCACTCCCGCACGCCTCCGCTCATCCATCGAGACCTCAAGTCGAAGAACATTTTGCTGACTCAAAAGCTCGAGGCGAAGCTCATCGACTTTGGCGTGAGTCGCAATCGACAGGAGCACTCCATGACGGCAGGCGTGGGCACGCCCTACTGGACGGCGCCGGAGATCCTCGAGGGTAAGCGATACATGGAGCAGGTGGACATTTACTCGTTCGGCGTAGTGTTGTCAGAGCTGGACACGGGCAAGATCCCGTACCACGACGCGTTGACGTCGGAGGGGAAAAAGCCCAAGCCTTTCCAGATTCTGTCGGACGTGATGGCGGGGATGCTGCGACCGAGTTTTTCTGAACAATGCCCTACCAGAATTCGCCGGATTGGTGTGGCCTGTTGCCAGCATGACCCCGCACGACGACCGACAGCAGCACAAGTTGCGAAGATGCTGCAAGTGTCCGACGAGATTTAACCTACACAGTAGAAGTCCTCATAGACGACTTAGATTCATGAACACGCTGCGTCCTAGATAGTCAAAAGTTAGAGTTTAGAGCTTACTTATTTACATTCTGCGACCTCCGTCCCACCGCGACTTTGAAGTTCGTGTACCAACTCGCGGACGGTTGGTCGATTTCTAGGTTCGAGCGCCAAGCACGCCAATCCAAGTCGCTTGATCCACACGGGGCAGTTTTTCGAGAAGCTTGGCCGCAACCGGCCAGCCATGACGTCCTGCAGAACGTAGAACGGCTTTGGCATGCCTCCGTTCTCCGTCACAGCATCTGCGTACGGAGCTTTGCCCGTGTCAAGCTCGGACAAGACCACACCGAAGGAATAGATATCGGCTCGCTGCGAGTATCGCTTTCCTTCCAGCACCTCGGGCGCCGTCCAGTACGGCGTTCCAATCCCGCCCGTCATTGTGAGGTCGATAGTGTCTCGACTGGCACCGAAGTCGATCAGCTTTGGCTCCAGCGTCTTGGTCAGCAAAATGTTGCTGGACTTGAGGTCGCGATGGATCAGCGGAGGCGTCCGAGCGTGCAGGTATTCCAGCGCTGAGGCGATTCCGATGGCCATCTCAAGCTTGCCATTGCTCCATGATAATAACATCCCGTCCTCTCTTAGATAACGTTGCAGACTCCCCATAGGAAGGAGCTCTATGACCATCACCAAGTTGTTGAGAGTGTTCCATGCCACGCCGATGAACTCGACGATATTGGGGTGAGCGAGGCTGGCGCTGAGCTCAATTTCTTCAGCGAAAGCCTGAACATCGTGCGCTCTCTGGTGCTTGGTCTGCAGCAGCCTCTTCACCGCCACCTTTTGGCCATTATACTCGCAGATCCAGACTTCCCCCGATGCTCCCTTGGAGATGGCCTTCTCAAACGCCAAGCTTTCGAACGGGATGTGCTTCCCTTGCAGGTGCTCACTGCCCAGCAGTATCTGCAGCGTCTTGTTGGAGCCGACGCTCTCGTAGTGGCTCGAGAGCGTCGAGAACTGAGACGTCAATTGGCTAGTCACCACCATGGGGCGAACCACCATGTCAGGGGTGCCCCCACTCCAGTAGTGCGGGGAGACTGCGCCATACTCGTAGGTCAACTTCTCCGCCAGCTTCTTCGCCCTCAGCCGCCACAAGTACCAGCCAACACCACCAATAACGAGCAACACACTCAGTAGAATGGGGATCAGCAGGAGCTTGTTGAAACCCGAGTCCCCCGCGAACTCGTCTTCCAGCCACGTCGTGACCCACGCACTGCCCGTAGGCACCGAGGTGTTTGCAACCATGTACGCGTCCGAGACCTGGTTTCTTGGGATGCACGGCACCGTCAACGACCCGTAGCCCGACGGACACACATTCCAAGTTGAGTCCTCCCTACTGGGCACCGTGTGAACCGAGTAGACGGAGAAGGTGATGTTGCCTCCGAACTCGTCGATGTCCTGTGTCCACGTGTGCTCTCTTAGTCTCAGCTCAGGTGTCCTGTTGGGAAATCCCCCAGTTGACCACATTGTTCCCAGGAAGCTGCCAGCGCCTGGGTCCTCGAACAGATCCACGACGCAGCGAGAGGCGTTGAGGATCTGGTAGCCCGTGCAGGTCTTCGTGAAGTAGGCCGTCTCGGCGTTGGGCTGCGAGCAGTTGAGGAACGTGCAGTCCACGTTGGCCACGTCGGCCTTGGGGATGGCGATGTCGGTTATGGAGTAGTCGCCCATGGTCCAGATCTGCACCGGGTCGTTGTCGGGCGAGACGGCGAAGCCCGAGTCCCAGAGCACAGCGCGCTGGACGAGGCCCGGCAGGTCGTTGAAGGCGATGTTGAGAGGACTCAGCCGCTTGGTCACGGCGCTGGGGACAAACGTGAGGTCGAGGGCGACGCCCGTGTCGCCCGCTTTGTGGCGGATGTAGAGCTGCTGCGCGATGTCCGAGTTGGTGCCGTCGAAGACGAACGACGCGTTGGTGGGCAGTGCTGAGGAGGAGGAGTAGGACCCAGACGCGGCGGCCTCGAGGCTGCGGAACGTGATGGTCTGGCCGTGAGCCAGGGCCCACAACGTCGTCAAGGTGACCAGCTCCGAGAGACGCATGGCCGTCGCTGTCGCTTCACGCGGCAAATCTCAGAGTGAGACGGCGGCGTGGACCCATTCGAGGCCGGAGACTATCAACTACCAATCCTATCAGTCGCCGAAGAGATATCATATCTGCATTTGCCCGCAGTTGGACTTGAAGGTGTCCATGTTCCTAAAGTCTCAGCTTATCCCGCCGCGCTCACTGTCCGCACCGAAACAAACGGATGGGCACGTCGATGTTGATGTTGATGTCGGTAGAGCGAAGCGATTTCGCGCGCTGTCACCAGTGAACATGAAAGCCCCACTCGCTCGCTAACACGCCTTCGCTCTGAGAACGGTTTGGGCATGCATGCTGTGGGTTTCCAACGGACGTCGACGCCGCCCTGTGTCGAAACGCACGCACTGTCGATCCCGTCGTGAACGCCCGCCGGGCCAGTGCCCCCCAGCACATTAACCGTTTGACGTCTTCACCCTAACGCCTCAGTTGTCCACTGCTGCCGTTGCGTGAACGGCGTCTGGCCTCCGCGTCCTTCGCGCTAGGGACAATTGACGATTAATAAGTCGGATCTCCGACCTTCGTACTAGACCGCTTTGGACAGTAGAATATTTTCCTGCCAGCCAACAGCTACTGTTCAGGAAGTGTCAACTGACATGAAGGTGGTCCATGGACGTCGACTCGACTCGTCAAACTCGTTCATGAACGCGGTCCTGCCTTCGAATTCTACCTTCTTCGCATTTGACGGGGCCAACTCGGACCTGGCTAGACAGCTGTACCTACGCGCCAAAGTGGGTGACTCCGTGGCCCAGCTAACCGATTTTTTCGTGCCCAACAGAGTCCAGGAACGTCTTGATGCTGGAAATGCGGTGGAGATCTGGACGCTCGGAGGCCACTCCATGTCTGACCTCGCCATTCCGTCGGTGCAGTTCCAAGCCGTGGGCTGCGAGGAGACGAGCTGCCCCGAGCCGAACGGCACCACGAGCTTGAGCAACTTGTACTGCAACGGCGAGCAGATGCTCAAGGCCGCTCGCTGCGTCATGGCGGACTTCCAAGACCCCAAGTCAATCCACGCCGCGATGTGGATCACCGGCGGGAATCCAAAGGTGGTCCCAGTTCCTCGGGCCCGGAGGCACGCGTGGACCGACGACTTCAGCAACATCTCATACACGGTGCTGACTATCCACACGGTGGACCATGACAATGAGCCAGCGTACGGCGGCGCGCCGCAAAGGACCAGAACGACGGGTATGGGCCACTAGTGCTCGCCTGCCACACGACCATGAACGTACCCGACGAGGTGTGGGCTGCGAGAGAAGAAGTCCAGGGTCTCTCGCTGGCTCGTGGAGGACTTTGGAGGGGGAGCCTTGAGCGACTCAACGTCGTCTTCATCGACCGGAGGCGAGGATGGATTTAGTTTGTTTTACCTCATTCCCATCGTCGCCGGTGCGCTGGTTGTCGGTGGAGCTGTCGTGCTGGTCGTTGTCCTTCTACAGAGACGCAGCAAGAACTCCGCCAACATAGCGCTCTGTCGCCACCTGTGAACAACCCTCCGTCCCCTGAAGTTTCGTACCAGGCTGTGAAAGATACTGTGTCGGAGGAAGACCGAATCTCGCGAGGACGGATGACGGTGGGGACTATCGAAAGCAGATTGACCGGATCTCGGCGCAGTATCGACAGCACCATTCGATTCCGGCCGAGCCATCAGGGCAGCTACCAGGGGGAATTCAGCGCGGGCTCCAACTACACCATGAAGAAGCTGCTCGGCAGCGAGCACCTCGCCGGTAAGCGCGTTTCGTTCGAAAGCATCGACTTTATCAGCGCGCTCTCAAAGGGCACCGCATCAGCGAGGCGTGCTGCCACCATGAACCGAGGCAACGGCCGACCGCTGGTCAGGTGGTGCGGATGCTGAGTGGAGGCGATTAGGACGGCATATTTCAAATACCCCCCCCCCCCCCCCCCCCGTTAAGGTGTTCACGAACTTTGATTGTCAATCAAAAGGAAGTAAGATAAGTTGAAGGAGTTTAGCCCGACGTCAGTGACAATTTCGATTTCGGTGTGCACTTGATAGTCCGTGCAGAGGTCAGACTTCCATGTACATGGACGACAACGTGCAGTATTCAAACTCTGAGGCCGAAAGATTGCATGAATGATTGGACTGCTTTCGACGATCGACTTGTATCTCATTGACCAAGAAGGAAGCCCTAAACCATAGTAGAAATGACCAAATAATTTTTGTCGTCGACGTCGTCACCTCATTCTGTCGGCATTCAACCTTATCAAGCAACCGTCCGTTGGAGTATGTTTTTGCTCGTTACACCATTAATTTTTGTCGGACCAACCCAATGAGGCACCTGACAACGGACGGCTTCGGCTCTCAGGCCTTCAGACATCAGATCATTTGTCGTTGAGATAAATCCAGTGAACACACGATCATTGCGAATATGTCGCCTCCGATAACTGCATTGTCTGTAACCTCGTCATTCGAGCTTCTACCTCGCAGAAAGCAAGTATCAATCCGTCTTCTCGTTCTATAATCAATGAAGGAGTACCAAGCGTACATGGACACAGATTTGCCTCCAGAAATGTCCACCTACGCCTGGGATGGAACCAATTCCGACGTCGCTCGACAGCTCTACTACCGTGCCAAAGCAGGTGACGCAGCGACTCCGTTCAGCAACTTTAGCATCCCGTCAGCGGTCGAATATAGGCTCAAGCAGCTTCGTCTCGACTGGAGTAGATTGCTAGGGATCGCCCAACGAGCACTGCTATGGGACTCTGGGTTTGCTGTGTCCCCAACCAACGAGGCCGTGCAGATCTGGCCGCTCCATGATGTTTCACTCGTTGAGCTTCGGTACGTTGGATGTCAAGAGCACGCATGCATTCAGCCAGATAGCACGCCCAGTTATACCAGTCAGCTGTGTACAGGAGATCAAATACTGAAGGCAGCCAGGTGTGTCGTGCAAGACTTCAGCGATACTAGTGACGCACATACCTCAATATGGGTGACTAGGGGGAAATCAGACGCGATACCGACGCCGCGAGTCCGGAAACACGCCTGGACAAGTCACTTCGACAACAATTCCTACGGGGTTTTCGCTGTCCACATGATCGACCAGATCTACGAGCCTGCGTGGAATGAGTGTGCTCGGGCTGACCAAAACGGCGGCTTTGGATCTTTGGTCTTGCCTTGTCGCACTACAGCAAACATATCTCTGGAGATTAAGACCGGAATGCAGCAGGTTCAAGGCAGCCCTTGGGTCTCGCGATGGCTGGCCGAGGATTTCGGAACGACGTCCGGGGCGACAAACGACTCGAAGTTGGTGTCTCCTGCGGCAGTTGCTGCTGGAATTTGCGTTCTCGTTGGGGTGGTTGGTCTCGCGTTGTTTGTCAACAAGAAGCAATACAAAAAGAACGATCGTGAAGCAGTCGTCCCAACCCCCAAGGTGCACAATGGCAGCTCAAATGCTGGTCCCAACAACGACACCACGAGCCCGGAACAACTCACTGACGTGCCAACGGAAGACACGGACACCGAGCGGGTGATCGAGTCGTGTCCACGCGTCAACACCCCCGCTCGGCAAATGGAAAGTGAATGCGCATCTGACTCGAACGTGGTGGTGGAGACACTTTTCAATAGTGTATCGTTGATAGGACGACGAATCCCGTACGACAGCCTCACCTTCGAACGATCATTGTCGACTAGAGGTGCCAGAGAGGTATGGCTCGGCACGTACCGAGGTCAACAAGTTGTGATCAAGAAGCTGCTGGAGACTGACTCACCAACCTCTAACGACCCCGACCAATTTGTGAAGGAGATCGAGCTCAGTGCCAGCTTGACACATCCTAATATCGTGTCGGTCTTCGGTGTAGCATGGAACAACTCCAACAGCTTGGTCATGGTGGTCGAGTACTACCCCACAGGAAACCTGCAAGCATATTTGGCCAAGAACACCGCGTCACTCTTAGCCAAGGACGTTCTTCGAATCGCTATTGGGATCGGGCTCGCTGTGGAGTACCTGCATTCACGATCCCCACCGCTTCTCCATCGCGGAATTCGGTCGCGGAATGTCCTTCTCACGAAGACTTTGAAAGCTAAACTTGTCGGATTTGGCTTGAGTCGCAGCCCACAGGAGCATTTAGAGGCGGGGGCCACCAAGACGGAAGTTGTCGAAGGCAAGAGATACTCAGAACAGGCAGACATTTACTCGTTCGGCGCGGTGCTATCGGCACTTGACAGGGGTATGGCCATCAATGAGGCACCGACGACTGGAGAGAAAAACCGCTTCCAGATCTGGGCAAACGCGATGTCGAGAATCCTACGCCCTAGCTTCTCGGACGAATGCCGTCAGCGAATTCGCCAGATCAGCGCGGCATGCTGTCAAATTGACCCAGTGCAGCGCCCAACGGCGCCTCAAGTTGTGAAGATGCTCAAGGGAATTGTTTAGAAAACTAGCTCATAGATTAAAGAAACTGTTGTTTGAAAACCTAAAAGTCATAGTCTTTGAATAGTGGTGTTTGCGTGGACATTTCGACAATATGATATTGCAAGCGATTGTCAGTAAGGACTTCACTCTAATCTCATTTGGGGGAAACCTGAGCGGCGGATAGATTTCAATTTCATGACCCAAGTGCGGTTGTAGGCAGCGACCATCGCGCTGCTGTCCAGTCCAAACCTTCGCGCGAACCCAAACGTGGGGCCTTGGTTCGTCATGTGAAAGAGCTGGAGCCCCTTGGTGCGGTCATTCCACCCGCGACTGTACTCGGCAACGTTTTGTAGCGCGGAGATGGCAGCTCGCTCGCTCAGAACCGCCACCTTGAGGTCCTTCCAGTCCAGCGCAATGTTGTATTCGGCACACAGCGGCACGTCGACAACACAACTTTTGTGAACGAGACAGAACGCAATCCACAGCACGAGCAGTTCACGACTGCGCTGCTCCACGTCCAAGACGGACTTATCTCGAGGGAGCTGACGCCACGTAGCCGCGGCATTTTGGTAGGCGGTAACGAGTGACTGCATCTGCTCGACGAATTGTCCTTCGTCGTTGTCGGCAACTTGATCGTCATCCACCAGTTCATGAGATCTCGTGAACATGAACGTCTCCACCGTCCGCAGCACCAAGACGCACTTATTCGCGTTCGATGTGCCGGTGGTTTTCTCCCACCCGAGCAGATCTCGGAGACTGCACATCGCTCCGTCAATGAACCAGCACCCGTTCAGATTTCCCAACGCACGGCGGCGGCGCTCTTCTGCATCTTCATCACCGTTCAAACCCTTGCCTCGCTTAGGGGATTCAATCAGCACTTCGGAACTCAGTGCGTTGAGTTGTTGCAACGCTGTGGAGTCTGGTAGATGGTACTGCGATGTACTCTGTCGGTTCAACTGACCGATTAATTCGTCAACGTTGGCCCGGAGCGCAGCGCATTCGTCTTGCAGACCGGAGACGTCGTACCCGCCGTCCAGAAGCTCCACGAGGCTCTAAACAACGACTTCCAGCGTGGAAAACAAGTCGTCCACTGAGTCGCACCCGCTTTTCACGTCGATCCCTCGTCGAAAGGCTCCTTGAGTCTGGTAAATCGTCTTCTTGAGCAAACCCAAGTGAAACATTGCCATCGTCTTCCGGAACAAACCTGGACCACAGCAGAGGTTGCGCGATATCGCCGCGTGTACTAGCGGCCAGCAGGTGTCACGAGGTCGTCCCCCAGTGTGCTGCCCAACATCCGTCGTTCCGCCGTGGGGAGAAAACCGCTTGTCACGTTCAAACCCGTTGTCTTCGTTCTCTTCCTTGGCCGAAGTGACTGCAGCAACCGCACGACGCACCACGGCTGCAATGAACTGCGGCGTCTTCTGATGCCCCAAGTCGTTAATCGCTGCGCTCCGCTTCGAGCCTTTGCCCTGTTGCGCTTTCCACAGCTTCGAGTCGAACTTTTTGTTGAAGTTCTCCTCCAGCGCCGAGTCCAAGTCGGCGCAGTGCAGCACGTGATACGCCTTGGGGACGGCGCTATGAACACACTCGCCCGTCAGCAGGAAGTGCAGCGTGCGCTCCCACCCGTCGACGAAAAGCACCTCGAGCTTCACCACCGCCGCGTTCACCTTTGTCTTCTGCAGCGCGCAGCCGTACGCCGGCAGCCACGGATCGTACCAAACGTCTCCGCGTTTGTGGACATCGTCGGCTGCAGCTTCCAGACGCCGACGAACCTCGTGGAGTTGATCAACCTCGTGCTCGCTGAAGACCGAGACCGGAACTATGCGATCGTCTGCGAACGGGTTGACTCGACCGCAGCCGAGGTTTGACTAGGTTGCCAACTTCGGTTCATGGCGATCACAAGAAGGAGGAAAAGCGAATATGACCATAACCCAAAATGTGTCGGTCGCTTTACTGGTGAGTTTCTGAGAATCATCTCAACGTTCGTATTGATGGATCAAGATCCAAGCTTACGAACTCCACGTCGTTTCTCCACCCGAAGATGACCATCCACGGTCCCTTCATCTTGGACTGTCTTGGCCTGTTACGCGCTGCTATTGTATGAAAGTGTGCGGGCACTGTGGTGAGAACCAACGTGCCACGAAGACTTCACGTTGTATGGATTTGGATATTGAGCATTCCTTTGTCGATAGATTGCTTCGAATTATAAGAGAACTTGTTTCGTGTCTAATAAAATGCGCTCACGCCCGACTAACCCCCTCGCTCCCTACCTTAGATGCAGTCGTCCAGGTCCATGCGGGCGCAGAGCTCCTGCAGGAACGAGTGCGTCCACTTGTGCGTGTTGCCGCGCGACTTGACAAAGTTGCTCAACGTCCCTCTCGCTGGTTTAAGAGACCGAGGAACTCGCGGAAGACAGGCTTCAGTTCTCCTTGTTGGCGCTCACCAACCATTGTCTCGCCGTTGTAGACGTGGCTCGCAACTGTCGCCAGCAACGTCAGACTACCAGCACCAGCGCCGGACCCGAGCTCTAGATCGATTCCATCACCAAACTTGGCTGTAGCATCAACACTTCGGATACTCTTGTAAGCGAAGGCGAGGTTGACAAAGCGAACGCTGATCTTGGCCAAATCTCTGCGGCTTGACCACAACAGCTGCAGGATGTGGTCCGCCTCGCACCCGGACACCAGCAGAACCTCGCCGTTACCAAGCACCACCATCACATCGACCACGCGCAGGAAGTCACTCAGCTGATCCTTGCCTTCACGCGCCAGAATGGTCGAGAAAAAGTTTTCAGTGCCGAAGATGCGAGCGCGGGACCAAGCCAAGTCAGCGACTGCCTCAGGCCGAACCCACTTGCGAATGAAGCTCTCCATGTCGACGACCTCCACGACTCCAGCCAGCTCCTTCACAGACTTCGCCTGCAAGGTGGCACTATAGTTCCACGTCTTCTCCGATGCGGGGATGTATTGCGCCAGTTTGAGCTCCCGCTGGTGTTGCACTTCCTCTTCCATCTGCAGCTCGCGCTCGCACTCGTCCGTGTGCAAGCTCACGTACACTTCGTCGTCCAGTCCGTATTTGGCGCCTCGTTCACAGATTCGAGCAATCAGCGCATCGTCCAGCCCCCGGACCTTGTTCTCTTTGGCGTGCGAAAGCTTGACGGGCTTGAGGTTTCCTTCGTACAAGAATTCCAGCGACCAATTCTCATCAATCAACTCAGTGGTTGGGTCCAGCTGCGTCTTGCGGAAGTGAATGCCGTTGCCGGCCCACTCCAGTAATCCACGTACAGACTCCGCTTTCGTGTTGTCCACGACCCAGTTCAGCACGTCGACAGCAGTCAAGCCCGAGACTTCACTCTTGTCGCTACTTTGCAGAACACTCTGCGCTACCTCATCGAAGCTCGCGATCCACATCGTTTGGCTGCATCCGAGCTGCCGCATCCGACCCGCACCTTGCATCAGTTTGTCCTTCGTGAGCTTCGGGCCCAGAGTCAGCAAGGCCGAGGCTTCGTGAGGCAATTTCATGTCGGATCCTCGCGATCGCGCCTCGTCGAAGATCACGAACGTCTCCTTCTCGTGCATCGACGCGCTCTTCAGCGGCGTCACAAGGCGTCGGTGCTTCTCCACAACCACCCAGCAGTTGAACGCCTCGCGACTGTCGTAGTACGTCACGCCCTGAAACTCAAAATCTGGTTGTAAGAGGAGGAATTCAGCCGCGTCATGGTTTGCCACGCCAGCCAGCAGCGCTCCAGTATCGATCAAAGCTTGGGCGCCCCTATCCACGGCATAAAGAAGGATACTTTGAAGGAATATCCGCCGCGCGGTAGGGGATCGCGATTTTCTTGGGCCCTGAGCCAGGAACAGGAAGCCCAAACTCCACGCGGTACCGTTTCTCCATACAATGTTCCAGCACCCCGAACGCAATCAGTCCTCGCAGCGCCAATAGTTGGGATAAGTAGGGAGTAAACCTCTGTCTGTGACCCCCAAGCGCCTCCTCCAGACTCACGCTTGGGTCAATGATGGCCTTGACAAGCGATTCGCCAGCGTTTGCAGCTCCAAAAGTGCCCAACCACATGAACTCGAAAGGAGCGTCGTCGATCAGATCCCGGACCAGCGCCTCTTTCAGTTGTTCTCGCAAGCCTTCCGTCCGTGCCGGCACGATATTCAGGCGGGTGCCGTCAAACGCGCCGAAGCGTGACGCGTGTATGGTACACGCCATGAGAGGCGTCTTGAGTAACTTGGCCACTCGGGAAGTTTCTTTCTTGCTGGTCATGACTCCCAGTAGACTTTTGCCAAATGCTGGCACTATTGCAATAATCTAGTCAAATTATGATTACCTTCGACAAATGCTGGCACTCGCTGACAAAATTATTAGAAGCACCTAATAAAAGTCTATCATTTGCACAGGCCTGAGCAGGTATTATTAGACGCATGCACTCTGAGCGCTCGCACTCGCTTCACTTACAAAGGGATCATTATCCGTACTGACCGTAAATACATCAAACATTTCCAAACTGACCGCAATAACAACACATGGCCAACACTCATTGAAGTTGCAGAGCTTAGCTCGATTATATAAGCCGTACAAACATATTCTAATTAAAGCTCAAGTTGCAGAGCTTAGCTCGATTCTAAGCTGTACAAACATATTCTAATTAAAACTCAAGTTTGTTGAATGCAACCGCCCAGGCATTTTGCTATTCTCACTTCCAGGCAGTCATGGAACGGGGCCAAGCAATCCTGCTGGCCAAGTACGGGAGGCAGACAATTGAGCAGCACGATATATTTTCCACTGCGAAGGACGCCAAGGATTTCTTGAAAGCCTACGCATTCTATCAGAACGTCGATTCATCAGCCGGTATCGTCAGGCCACAAGGTTTGGGAATGCACCTCAGCGAGTCTGCTTGTGACTGGCATGTTACACTGACAAATAAGTCTGAATCGAAAGCTGAATCAAAGCACCAAACACAAAAATAACTTTTGCCCGGAGAAGGCATGGTTTGTCAGTGACTTGTTTCTTGAACACTCTCCTGGTTGCGACTCTATTGGCAAGTGCTTGACGAAGGTGTTGATGGAGATGCCCGGATTTCAGTCGGCAATGGTTCCAGGGCTGAGCACCTCGCGCAAGCGGGTGGCCGAGTCCGTAAAACTCGTAGACAACGTAAACGTCGACCATCGATCTGCAATGTTGTACAAAGCCATCGCTCTTGCAAAGAAGAAGTTAGCTGCAGTCACCGATGACACTTACGACAAGCTGCCATCATTTCTCAGATCGTTTGATGTCCAGCCAGGAAACTACCTCGTAGGAACTTGTCCTCTGGGGATACTCGAAATGCGGAACGGCTACGTCTCAAGTGAAGCAGAAATTCCAGATATTGTCAACGCGATCAGCTTCTAGTCAAGACGGTAGTCGGAAATGAGGGCGAAAGCATCACCTATACATGAAGTGCATACAATGCGAAGTTGAATTAGAAAGAGCTAATCAACATTTACAATATCATCAATACCTTGCATTGAAATATTTTCTTGCAGGGGCACCATCATGTCCTTCCTCGACCCTCTCTCCGGGTTTGGGGGCACTGGGTATTATTACCACACCGCTCACCCCCCACATGCGGATCAAACAAGGACCAATCGGGTCATGAGTCTGAGTCGGCCCCGCACAGCAGCCTCAGTAAATTCGCGAGGTCTACAAGACACATGCACAAACAATACTATTTAGTAGACATTTCCGATCACCACTGCTGCTGTGTTATCAAACAATTTAATACCGTACCTCCAGTAACAGCACGCGTGCTGAATCAGGTTGCATGCTCCTGCTCGCAAGCAACACCTATACGTACACCATAAATCGATACAGTAAACAGGTCAGACACCTCAACCATACTCGCAGAAATATCCTGAGCTCGTACTGTCTTCAGCTCAGCAGCGGGTGCATCGCCTTGAGGTGTACCGTGGTATAGAGTCCTTCAGCGCCGGCAGCTGGAGTCGAGCACGATATGCAGCCATATTATCTCAGCTGGAGGCGGTCCACGAGAAACGTCTAAACCAAACGAATAGTTGTGTAAGATAAGGAAGATAGAGTCGCAAGATTGAAGCATCTAGCTCAGCGAAGCACTTACCACGGACGTCGCGACGGTCAGCATCCCAGGAGACTAGCCATACCCACCAGCATTAAGACGCTAGACGACATGCTGCCGGGCCTCAACATGATAGGCAATGATAGGACGTCCAGGCATGAACAACTTACTGGGTTCGATGCGGCGGCAACGCAAAAAAGCGAGTGACCTCAACCATCTAACTGCCTAGATCAGAAGTTTTTGCGCCCCGTCCCAGTTGCGGAGCCCCGATCAACTTCAATGAGTGTTGGCCATGTGTTGCTATTGCGGTCAGTTTGGAAATGTTTCATGTATTTACGGTCAGTACGGATAATGATCCCTTACAAAGAAGACATTGTGGCGCAAAATGAACGAAGATGTCGAGAGCGGACCCCGCGGAAAAGCTGGTATTGGCGCAGGAATCACGTTTGGATTACAATTACACTGTTGTAGTCTGTGAGATTATGCCTCCCTTTGGTGTCTGAGTTAGTCTCATTAGTTTATGACTGCGCGAGTTTCCTTAATAAAACTTGGTTCACTTCAAAATTTCGCTCTGGTAAATTTTCTTGATGAAGTACAATATTTTATCAGGAAGCGATGATAATCCATCCAAAATCGATGATATATGGTCAGGTTTTGATAATAATATTCCAGAAACGATCATATTCTATCCCAAAACGATTAGTAAATACCGCAATACCGTCAAGTTAATAATTTTATCAACAATAATGTTTTGAATATTACCTTAAAGCGATAGTGCATGGCTACAAGTTCGTGATGCAATGGACACCAGGATAGAGGATAAAAAGACCAAGAGGGACAGAGGAAGATAGACGAGCAGTAGAGAAGCCGTAGAGAAAGCAGACGAAAGCTAATAACGAGAACTAGTAAGTCCGGCTCACGTGCGTGTATAAGAAGAACTTAATCTTCTCAGTAGATCATCCTTAACCTAGTTAGCGGTTGGCTTCAAACCAGGCAGCACGGCGCGCAGTTTGCAGACGACTTAGTGGCATACGTTCGCGCCACTCGCTGAGCGAGATCGCATCCCTTTTGCGGATGTAGTACGCTTTGCTGGCTAGGCGGCGATCGATTTTACGTGCCTCAGCACGAGCCGCGACCGACCGTTTATCGCAGCGGTTCTTGTGAGCCAAATGAATGGTTGCGTAGCCCTTGCGGCGTCTTTAACGTCCTCTTGCAGTAGCGGCAAGTTCGTTTCGTTTCGCATTGAGGTATATTGTTGCCTGTTAACTTCTTTGGCTAATGACATCCTACGACCTTGTCGACGATCGTCTCATTCCGCTCGTCCTGTAGCTAGGCGCCATAGTGGCGATCCCGGCACCCCTAAAGTGTGACGGCCACGAGCTCCGAAGAACTCTCATCAGTGGTGCGTTCCAACCAGTGCCCGATGTCACTGGCCGCGTGCTGGGATGCATGTTGCCATTTGTCGGCGGACAGTAGCGGCAAGTTCGAGGGGCGTTCGTCTTGGGCCGACCGACCTTCCTAGGAGCTTGAACGGGGGCAGGCGGGCCAGCGACGCGCTTTCCGTTTCGTAGCAACTTGTCCATGAGCTAGATAGTGCAGCGTGTTGAACGTGAATGAACCGGAAAAGGCGCCCCCTAACGACAGCGCAGCGACGCTGTCATAAACTGTCAGTTTTTCCAAGGTGTTTCTGATAATTTGTCAGCGAGATAATCAGAACGCTTGAATTGCATCCCGGATCAGCTCGAGCTTACGAACATCGACGCAGATTTTCCGGTTGAATGGCTGCTCGAACATGGGGAGGCACGCGGTCGACGCCGATAAGTAGCGGTGTATGTGCGCCCGAGCCTCACTCAACAGAGGCCCTAAGAAGTGCGCGCGCACAACGCGCGAATCTCGACTTCGCGTGAAATGCAGGAACAGCATGGGCGGAATCACGCGAGTCTTTCCGCGGCCCATATTCAGCTGGCAAACTGTTCCGGGGTGATGGTACATTCGCGGCAAAGACGAGAATAGTGGTTTCCGAGGCGCGAGCAACCAACAGCCTGACCCCCCCCCCCCCCCCCGACAAGAACGACCCCTCAGGCTCGGCAGTTCTCTTCTCTCCAAGTCCGACAAAGAGTGCTAAAAACCGACCACCTCTTCTCCAACCGCTATGGCACGCCGCGCGTCCAAGTCGTCGCCTGCTCGCCCTCGCGCTCTCGCAGCCAGCGCCGACACAGCTGGTGCCCCTGCTAGCTCCGTAGGCGAATCCGCCCCTGGGACCTCCTCTAGCGACTCTGCGGCAGCCGCGGCGGGGCCTTCGCCGTCTTAAGGGCAGCGTAGTCTGCCGTCAACCGGCCGTGTGGTGCGCCGTACACGCGAGCCAGCAAACGTCTCCAGAAGCGCAAAGCGAGCGACGCCCCAGTTCCCCCAGCTAGTCGCACGGCACCGAGCGAAGGATCGTCGGTGGAGGTCGGCCCCACGGGTGATCCAGCGGAGCTCGTCGTCGCTTCCCAGTCGTCTCCAGGAGCGAACGCAAAGGGGCAAGAACCGGCACCGAGACGCCAGGCCCCAGGCAAGCGCAAAGCTCGGAAGACGGCCGACCATCAAACCGCAGCGCTGTCCATTCGGCGGTCACGCTGGCGGCGGATCCACCATCAACGACCGAAGGTGATCAGGAGAACTATCCTGCAGGTACCTCACCGTCTGTGTCCACCCAGCCTCGGGCTACGGAGGGCAGTACGAATCTAGTGTCGGTGAGCGAAGTCGTAGGCGGGCGTGCGTCAAACTGTGCGAGCAACCAGTAAGCGGTGGTAGATTTAACGACAACACAGCCCTCTCCAACGAATTCTGCTATGTCCTCTCGCGGCGGGTCTACTGCGACCAGCGCCTCTTTGCTGAACTTTCTTCGGCCCACGGGCACCGGATTCCACCTGGAACGTGGGGCGAACATGACGATCGCGTGGATTTCGACCTGGAAGAGTTTTTGGCCCGACGTCAGCTCCCCCAGACGGCCCAATCGTCTGCCCAACCTTACTTAAACCATTTAAATGGTTTAGATTTTTATTTTTTTTAAATATTCATTAATTAATTTTAAATTGAAATAGAAAGGATATAAAATACTTTTAAATGTAGGTTCTTTAAAAAAATACCTGCAAAATTTAATTTAAATAAAAATAAATTAAATTTTATAAAAAAATAATATAACTTCGAGTACGGCACACTATGGATACACTGGCGGGCCTGCGCGCCCGGTAGTTGCTGGTAATACTGTGGAGGCACTCTCAGCCCAGGTTCTCCAGCTGCAATCTATGGTAGTTGACTTGCAAGGCCGCTTGTCCGCTCAAGCCCCACCGCCGCTCATCGCTCCTACTGCAGGATACACCAGTGGCGGTTGGACACTGCCATCCTCGCATGGCCCGTCACCACTGCCGCCTCCCGAATTGCGTGAGCTTCGACTGGATAACCTTCCAGACCAACGCCGTTCCGCCAAAGGCGACTACGTTCCCCCCCAGTCTCATGTGCTGATTTCGCGCAGGATGTTCCCAGCTTTGACTAGCGCACTAGGTAGGTCGTTGACACAAATGGAGTTTATCTTGTCGATCCGGGGACTGGCTAGCAAGCTCTTCAAGGACTCGCCGCCGCTTCTCATGGCTCTATGCAGTGCTCGCCTTGGCTCTCGTGGATTATCTCTCATGCATTTATGCCGCTGTTGGAAAACGATCTCCTGGCACACACGTCTGATGACTCTGGTTTTACGATGGATTTTAGTAACAAGACGACACCCCCTCCTACCCCACCCGAGTGCACGTCATATGACGACATTCTATCAGCACTATACGGTTTGAAGAGCTTCGGCAACAAGTTGTGGTTCGACTACCTGAATGTGCTGATTTCACGATTGATTCACTTTGTGTCAGACAACTGTGGTGGCGTGATTATTGGGGTGAAGTTCACAAGATTAGCTCGGAGTCACTCAGTTGGATCTTGGCTCTCGAAAACATCCAGGCCAGCCAGGTTGCATGCCTGCCCGCTGCCGCTACGGCTCATACTCGATCGGCCACGGCCTCCAGCGCCCACGCCCCATCCGATGGCAACCGCAGATCCTAAGCAAACTCCTACAACCCGATTCCAGAGCACATCCGCAGGCAAGTCCCACGCCGTCCTGATGGAACGGAACCATGCTTACGTTTCTTTGGGGGATCGATGTGTCACGGGGGCACGGTCGATCGGTGCGCGTACTCGAAGCGCACTCACGTCTGGGACTCGCCTCTGCCCCGCGAAGTCCAATCCTGCATTAATCGCTTATATGGTGGCAACAAACGGTCCCATTACGGACCCCAGCGCGGCTGAAGCTGCCGAGGCGCCATTGGCTCAAACGCGCTTCGGTCTTTCAACCTTGAGAGTAGTAACGCAAATAAACGCGTGCAACCCGTTGACTCTCCTAGCTTCGAGCCATCATTACCACATGCACGTACAGCCCTTACTGACAGCTACGCTTCAGTCAGCGGCAACCACCTAGCACAATCGGCGCTAGCGTCTTGCTCTGGATCAGCCCACGCTATCCAACCGTCTCCGTCGACTGGCCTCTCTGACGGCTACGCCTCAGAAGGTCTGCCTTCGGCGCGGGTACCGACCGCAACAACAACTATTGGTCACTCGATGCCGTCAAAATCTGCGCGTCCTCCAGATGGAGATTTCCACCGGGATCCAACTCGACGGCGCGCGCCAACTCCGGCGGAGTCTGCCGCTTTCCATGATGCTGGCCGCAGACATCAGCGTCTGTGCTCGGACACTCGTACTAAGACCCTCACCGCCGCCTGGGCTTAACTTTCCGACGGACCCGTACCCTATCGCCACCGGCCCTGACGATTCCCCCACTTACCAGCTCAATCGCCCCCTTCAACAAGCGATGTCGGAGTTCGTTCGTAAGACTGGTATTTCCCTCCCTCGATTCGTGGAGCTGTTACGCGGCCAGACGAGCGATGACTACCGACCTAACAAGACCATAATTCCGGGTCAACTCACGGCAAACTGCTCGGAATTCAAGGATATCCCTCAGCTATTGAATATCGCGAATAACGGTATCCAGGTACGCCTCACCAAACCGCTACCCCGCCAGGCACACCCGCCTCAGAACCACCCATCCGCTTGACGGCGACTTAACGTGCTGCAGAAAAATATTCGCAAAGAGCAAGATTTGGGGCGATGCATTGTTCTGGACCTGGATATTCTAAAGTTATGGATCGACATCTTTCTCTCGCCTTTTGGCGTAGTGGATAAAGGTGAAGGCGACCCATCTACCTCCGGCAGGGTTATCCATGATCTATCACACCCCGACGGAGAATCGGTCAACTCGACCACCGATACGACATCAATTCCAAACACAGAATACGAACCCGTTGAACGCATTGCACGAGAGATTCTACACCAGGCCGAGAAGTTCCCATCCGCAGACATTAAGTTATTGCTGGGTGATGTTGCCTCCGCGTTTCGGAATCTGGGAATACATAGCTCATGCACCCGGCTGTTCGCAGGAACAATTCCCGAAGACAACGCCCTGGTGATTGACTTGTCTGCTTGTTTTGGCTGGACGGGTTCTCCTGCGTTCTACGGTGTTGCGGGTCGGGCTGTTGCTTTCTTACACGGCCGTACAGGAAACGAGTGCTACCCAGATGGATTCTTTAACTACCATTGGGTCGACGATCACATGTGTGTGGCTGCAGACATCGGTTCCAACTGCCAAGACACGGAGCTATCTCTCCGGCACGCAATGATGACGGTCCTGGGAGTGGACGCCATAAACGATGAGAAGTTTACTGGTTGGAGTACGCGGCAGAAGGCACTTGGCTTGGTTTTCGATACCACAAATTCTACGGTGTCTATGCCAGCCCCCAAAATCCTAAAAGCACAGCAATGGGTATCGAAGGCCTTTCACGCAAAGGCTCTGGCACGCTCCAAGTTCCGATCTCTCATGGGCTGCCTACGTCATGTTGCTACCTGTGTCCGTGCGGCTCGGCCGTTCCTACAGCGGCTCCGGGCCCAAGAGGGTCGCCTCCACCGGTGCCACCTCATCAAAATCACGGACGATATGAAACAGGATCTGGTGTGGTGGTATATAATTCTAAAGCTGCCCGTGATGAACGGAGTCCCTTTGTCTTACTTCAGGGCCTCTCCACCCCCTCACATCGTTGTGGAGATGGATGCATCTGATGCGGGAATTTGTGCCCTCGATCGGGCCCGCAAGTGCGCCTTAACTTATTCATTGTCAGATGCAGAGCTGACTCATTTGAGAATTCCGGTCGGGAGTAAACAACAATTTTGACATCAATTATCGCGAACTCTTGTCGTGCGCTATGGCGGTCTACACGTGGGCGGCGTCATGGCGAAACTTCGCGACGGCATCGAACCTTATGGTGCATGTTCACTTTCGTATTGATAACACCTCGGCGGTATCATGGCAGAACAAAATGAGTTCTACGAATCCCCGCGCCCAACTTGTGATACGCTTACTCGAATACTGGGAAACCATTTACGGCTTTCGATTTCTTCATCTCACATCGCGGGCGCGGACAACGTGATCGCTGATGCTGGCTCCCGTCTCCCGGATCGACATCACGCTAACCGATTTGCTAACCTTACACGTGACTGGATGCAGGTGACACCAGATATCAGCAGCCTCGGCCTGACGAAGATTTGGCTCGATATCTGCGCGAGCATTCGGTGGCAGATACTACCCTCCACAAATACTCGAAGGCCCATTTGAAATGGCGGCAGTGGACCACCCAACGCGACATCAACCCTTGGATGGACAACGTCGAACCTGCTCGTCAGCTACAGCACATCTCGGATTTTGTTTTACATGGCTTTCAGCATGGCTTTGGGTCGGGTCGTGCAATTTCAAGCTCAACGATAAATGGGTATCTTATGGGTGTGCGGCATTTCTTCCTCGCAACGGGGCGTACCTTCCACTACGACCATCCACAGATTCGCATGCTTCTCAAGGGCATAAGCCGGCTTGATACACCTCCCCAGCGCAAGGCCCCAGTGTCCATCCGTCTTCTAGAAGCCTGCTTTACACGCCTGAACCTCCGGAACCCTGCGGATCAGGCTCTGGGGGGCACTGTGTATGTCGTTCTTCTTCCTCTTCCGCCGGTCAGAGATCGTGTCTGTGAGCACTGGTCGATTCCGCTGGTTTGCAATCCGGGCGTTCGATGTAGCGGTGCTCGACGCCGGCGACGTGCCGACCTTAGACCCCATCCAAGCAGCTTCAGTCCACGTGAGACTGAGAGGCTCAAAAACGAACCAGCGAGGGTCTCCTCCTCTACGAATGCTGCGGCGCTCCGGCCACAAGTATCTGTGCCCTGTTTTAGGCGCTCTGTTGATGCTCAAGGCCCATGGATCATTACCCAGTTATGTGCCGATTGCAGGCTACGAGAACGGAGACGGCCGCCTCGGCGAGGTATCCGCCAATGGAGTAGCCAACGCAGTCCGCACAGCGCGGTCTCAATTGGCCAGGACCCTTCCAAGTTCAGCACACACTCACTTCATTCGGGCGGGGCCACACACATGTATCGGGCTGGTGTCGATGCCCTCACCATCCAGTTTCACGGCCGGTGGGTGTCCGACACATTCAAGATCTACACTCGCATATGCAGCGAGTCTGTGGCCAGCCTGGCGTCCAACATGATTCACGGTTCTCAGGCCGTCTCGACCTTACCGTAATGGCCACGCTCGACCTTCATTGGGGGCACAGCTCCCGCACTACATTCGGAGCTGAGTCCGAGCTCAACCATTACGGATAATGAAGTCCATTGGCCCCAAAGTTGGTAAGCGGACAGCGGAGGAAACAATGAGGTGGCGGGCGACCACAAACTGCTCGTGCCGAATCTGAAGTCGCTCGTCTACCTCAAATGCCAGCCAGTACGGGAACTCACTCGATTCCCACTGACGAACGTTCACGAGTTCTTCAATCAACTGAGCATCCGACAACTCGCCACCACGTTTCGCTTTCCAGATGATCCTCTCCACTCTTGTCTTCCAGAACGCACAGCTCCATGTACTGCAGGACCCCTTTCTCGAATCGCTCTCTTGATTCCTTGCTCAGCTTTGGTGCCAGTGCACGCAGAGTCTCGTCGTCGAAAGCGCACCGGACAATGTCGCTCACGGTCAGCACCGGCACAAAGTTGATTAGGGCGAGAAGACGATCGCGCTTGCTGCTTGTCGCGGCGGCAAACACATTCCACAGGTACGCTTCCATCTCAGCACGACGGGACGAAACATCATCGAGTAGAGTCGTCAAATGCTTGATCAGCCACGTTCAGCGCTGCTTGAGGCTGCGAGTGGTGGCAGTCCCAACTAATCCGCAACTCGTCGAGCATTTCTTTGATCATTCCCTTCGCTGCACCCTGTTTTATCTGGAGTTGAGCGGTTGACTTTGGTGCTGGCGCAGAGCTTAGAAAGCGCCCAAGCTCGATTTCAGTGGTCTTCACGAAGCTCTCAACACCAGGAGGAGAGCTTACCGACACCTCGTCACGAGAAGAAGCAGCAACTAGCGAGCGTTGAACGTGTCCAAGAATGACCTCCTCTGCGCTTCGTAGCTGGGTGCGCAGCGGATTGCGTTGAAGTGGGGATACACACATGTCCGCGTATTCTGATTTCTCGTGAGGACTGCTTTTGGTCTCTGCCTCATCTCCAGCATCAAAGAGAAATGATAAATTGTTAGCACTTGCCACCAACGCTTCAGCCAACATCTTCACCGCAGGCTCCCGGTAGCTCAGCTTGCTAATAGTTTCCAAAGTTTCCCTCTCAAAGCCTGAAAATGGCTGGCTGGAGCGACAGCCTCGTAGCATTTGCAGCGCTGCCTCAGCTCCCGTCATCTGCAGCCGCTTGCTCGGTACATTCGTCCCAGCTCGAACACAAACCGCGGCCAACTGCAGTCTCGCGCCAATCGTCTCGGTTTCAAACGTCCTCAGGCGGCGGTGAACGTCGTAGCAAACCACACTAACAAGGCCGTCTACTTCACTGGGAACACTGATATCAACCATTCCTCCAGAAGCGTCAACCACGGGGCCCAACGGTAGCAGCATGCGCACCTCCGGCCGTGACGTGTCGGATTTGGCTTGCAGCTCGAGCACCAGATACCGGCTGAATCGGTGTAGGAAGTCATCGAACTGCTGGCTTGTCGCCAACTTGTACCCCTTGTGCTCCACGGACTCAAGCTCCATCTCCTCATTCAGACAAAAGCTCAGCTTGAATCTTGGAAGTTCGACCTTCAGCACACCGTTGGACGACTTGAGCGGGTGCAGGAACTCTTCATCCTCGAATGTTGCTAACACTTTCAATACGCTGAGAAGGGATTCTTCTTTCATAACGACCCGATCGTAGCCGTCAAGGTTGGCCAGAATTGATTCGTACGAGAGCGTGGTGTCGCTCAACGGCACTTGGTAGCACTGTAACGCGCCAGTATCATTGAATGTAGCCACAAAATACACATCACGGCACTGGGCCTGCTTGGGTCTGAAAAGCACGCACTTCCGCTGAACCCAGTACCATTGCGAATACAGTTCACGCGGTCTGGCTGGAAATCGCTCACTTAACGCTTCAATCCAGCTGGCCGAGCACAACTGCAGAGTACTCGAGATCTTTCCTGCCACTTGGGGGTCTGCTGTAAGCTCCTGGACGAAGAGCTCCGTACCACCATGAAGGGCGAAGTCATATAACCGACCACAGTAAGCGCGCGAAGTTCGAAGCGCGCCTTCAGCTGAAACCACCCCAAAATTGCGCGGTCCGAACAGCTCTAAGAAGCGCACGTGCTCTCTAATATCGGTAGGAAGCCCTCCACGAGGATTCCCATCGGTCAGAACTATCCCTGTGAACAGGTTGATAGCGTAGTGAGCGTGGAGGGTTTCAAAGCCTTCAGCCCTGACGGACACGCCTCGCTCACGAGGCGAACCAAACCAGTCAGAACTTCATCTACGTCGCTCCTTTCCACGTAGGCAATCAACTCCTCAATTCGACGCGCCATCATCTCAGTCACTCTGCTTTCCACTCGAAGTATGTCTGTCGTAGCCGCCTCGTCGATGCTTGCGCACAGGAAAAAAGACTTGCGGAAACAAACAATCAACTCGCACACCTCTCGAGCCGCTTCATCGTCCCATGGCCCCAATGAGTACGCCAGGAGCGCGTAGCCATACAGCACGCACTCCTTTTGCCGAGCCTCAGCAATTCGATTCAAGTCCGATTCCTTCTCGTTGCCTTCTTGCGCACCTGCCGCCCAGCGCCTTGCCATTCCTGCGAAAGTCTTCACGATGGGTAGAGCATCGTTGGAGAACTGGAGTGCATATCCCGCCAACTCGCTGAGAAGAGGTACGCTCTCGAAACTGCGTGGGGTATGCTTTAACCTGTTGGCAGCCTGTTCGAATACGGAGCAAAACGCTCTCGAATCGTGATGCATATCCGTTTTCCCAAGTATCTGCGGCTGGGGCTCATCTGTGAGGTCCCCGACTTAGTAAAGCGACTGCCGACCGATTGTTCCGACGCTAGCGTTCGACCACAGAAAGACGTCGTTAAGCAACGCCATCAGTAGCTTCCGATACTGCTGGTTTGGGTACGCTCGCAGAGACCCAAAAGCGATGAACGAGGACTTTTCGAAAGCTTCACAATACCTCAGTAGGTGCAGGTTCACATACACCAGATTCCCTCGAGTGTCGTTTCCACCGGGCCAGGCATTCATCCACGAGTAAGGCTCAGACAATTTCTCAATAAAGCTGTTCACCACGCTCGTCGGCGTAGCAGCGAAGGGATTCACACCGTCTCCAGATTCGTCCCGCCATATCCACGCAGTGCCACGCAAGGTCGGATTCCAGACACATTCCGACTCGTATTGGTTCAGGTTCGACACGGCGTCAACCGTTCTGGGGCCATAGGAGCTTGGAAGGTTGAATTTTACGTGGGCTCGCAGTGAACACCTTGTCATCCGGAAAGGCTTGGGACTGTGTACGCTGGCGGTGGAATTGTTGCCATGTAGTGGAGCTCACCTTTGGTAACTCCTTTATCTCAGCGGTCGGCCTGGGTGGTGCTAGGGATCGCTGGGCAGTTAGACACAAGTTGCCCAAAATCTTGAGATCGCGTGGCATCGTCAGCATAAACAGAATCTTGCACGCGTCTTCCTTCGCTGGTGGAAGCGGCCGGACCAGGTAATGAGGTATAGCAATGGTCCGTTGTAGCGTTGCCTCCGTTTGCTGGAGCGAGGTGGTGAGCCTCTGGATGTCACCTTGCAGTTGCGACTTGAGAGGGCTCTGTCGGTAGCGAACTTGGGTACGCCAACAGAAGCCGACCCTCTTCAAGCGCTAGATCGTTGTGGTGCGAGCGTAGGTCCTCGTTCAGACGCGTCTTATCGGCACGGAGGTTGTCCACCCTTTCCTTCTTCGCCTCGATTTCACTCCACTCACTCTGCACATGCGCCTTCCACGCCTCGACTTCCTGATTGTAGCGCTCTTCCATGCTGGGATTACCTTCGGCAAACTTCCACGCAAAGGAAAAGGTAGGCTCTTGGTCCGTCAAATGGAACAGCCGAGCCCCTCCAGTCTTTAAATTCCACCCACGAACGTACTGCGCCACACGCTGAAGAGCTTCCACCGCTGCCCGATCGCTCAGGACAGCGACCTTCAGGTCCTTCCATTCCAAAGCGATGTTATACTCGGAGCACAGCGGGAATTCGTGCAGACATTTCTGGTGAACGAGGCAGAACGCGATCCACATCAACAGTTGGCGACTGCGCTGCTCCGCGCTCAGAACGGACGTCCGCTGGGGATGTTGGCGCCACTCATCTGCGATTTTCTGGTAGTGAGTGACGAGCGACTGCATGTTCGCTACGAAGAGCTCGTCGCCATCCTCTGCTTGTTGAACATTCCCGCCGTCGACCAATGCAGGCGACCTCGCAAACAGGAACGCCTCGATTGTGCGAAGCGTCAAAATGCGCTTGTACGACTGGGGAGCGGCGTTGTCGGATCTCACCCAGAGGAGCAAATTATCGAGACTGCAGGAAGCTCCGCCAACGAATTGGCATGGCTTCAGGTTCACCAGTGCACGGCGTCGACAGTCCTCGATACTTTCGCTGCTGCTTGACTCGTTATCACGTTTCGGCGACAAAATCTCGACACCACAGCTCAATCCGTTGAGCTGCTGCAAGGCGGTAAACTCCGGCAGCACATACTGCTTAGCCGTCTGGAGGTTTAAGGCGCCCACAAACCCATCAATGCTAGCTCTCGAGTCAGCGCACTGCTCTTGAAGTGACGCGACATCGTAGCCGTCTCCCAACAGCTCGATGACGTGCTGAACAACGACTTGCAGCATGAAGAACAAGTCGTCCACCAAGTCGCAGCCACGCTTGACATCGATCGAGTCCGTAGAGAAGACATCTTCAGCTCTGGCAATCTCGGACTGGATCAAACTCAGCTTGAACAACGTCAAAGTCTTGCGAAATAACCCCCTCCCACAGCACAGGTTCCTCTCGATCGCGGCCTTGACAAGCGCCCAGCAAGTGTCACGAGGTCGGCCGCCTGTGTGCTGCCCCACGTCCGTAGTGCCACCGTTGGGAGCAAAAGAACTCTCATCTCCTCGGCCGGTGACCAATGCAACGGAGCGATGCACCACCGCAGCAATGAACTGCGGCGTCTTCTGGTGTCCCAACTCATTTGTTGCCGCGCTCCGTCCCGACTTCGAGCGCTTTTGAGCTTCCTGCAGCTCGAACGCGAACGTTTTCGCGAATTTCTCCTCCAACTGCGTGTCCAGCTCTTCACCGTGCAAAGTGCGATGCGTCTTAGGAACGGAGCTGTGGATGCACTCTCCGGTGGGCAAGAAGTGCAGAGCGCGCTCCCATCCGTCGACAAAACCAATCTCCAGCTTCACCCGAGTAGAACTCAGCTTGGTTCGTTGGATGGCACAGCCGTACATGGGCAGCCACGGATCGTACCACACATCTCCCCGCCGATGGCTCTCCGTCGGTGAAGCTGCGAGACATCGACAGACCTCTTCCTTCAGCACTTCAAGCTCATGACGGCTAAAGGCCGCAGCAGGGACGACTCGATCGTCCGCGAGCGGGTCCAAGCGACCACAGCTGAGGTTGCCAAGCTCGGTCGCCTCGAGAGTGTTCACGAAAGTATCGAAGCGCTCCATCAAAGTCCAGCTCAACGCCGCGTCCTGACGATCACTGGGCGCCTTGTGCTTGAAGCGAAATACCGCGTTCAGGTGTTCGTCGTCCATTTGGCTCTTCCTCTCCGTTTCTTGTTTCCTTCCTTTAGTCGCTTTCCTCGGCCCACTTGTGCTCGAGATAGCGAATTGAGAAGTTGGAGAAGACATTGCGCTTAGTTGTGCTCGGGGTCTCTGGGAGTGAAGCCAGTGATTGAAATGCGTGCACTCATGAAGTGATTGAAGGGTGCTTACAGTGCTTCATATCGAGCTCACAAAGTGCTCTCTCTCTCGCCCCTCGCCTCCAGACACATCAAAAGGTGTTAACCCAGACGGCAATCCGCACGACGCAAGTGAAATCCAAACCCAAGAGAAAATAAGTCCCTGCGCGTAGACATTAGTAGAGCACAGTGCAACACAACGCGTCATAGGCAAGCTAGTAATTTGTACATTCCGCGAGCCGCACCTCCGCACGAGGGCAGATGTCGGCTAGAAAACGGAGCTACATGCTGCTGACCAATTTCTCAATCGCAGCGTTCTCGTCGCCGTTAGCTGCCAGCAGCGCAGCCTTCGCCTTGTCCTGCGCACAACACCACATAACAATGAGAATCCTGCTGGCTGCAACCAAGCACAGCACAAGAGCATCGGCATATAGACCGCACCGCGGGGAAGCCCATGTCAATGAGCCTGGAGAGCGCGGCATCGTCCCCTGTGTCCGTCTGCCTGGCGTAGCTCTCGGTCCAGAAGCGCGCCGTGCTCAGGAACTGCTCGTGGTCGTGCAGGTACATCTTGGCCACCTCTGCGTCCTGCGGGTCCGTGGGCTCCGCCGCCGAGAGCAGCGCCTGGATGGACAGCAGCGCCGTCTTGATGGTCAGCGCCGGCGACCACGCATCCTTGAGGATGTCCAGGCAGATGGCCCCCGTCTGCGACGAGATGTTGGGGTGCCAGATCTTGGTGATGAAGCGCATCTGCGGCGGCTCGAACGGGTATCTGCCCCCATGTAGCAGCAGCAGTAGCAATAGCATAGCAGTTAATAATACTTCGTTAGTATCTGGAGACTTGAAGTCCCCGACATCGCATCGTGTGTATTGGTACTTGGGAGGGATGACGATCTCGAGCTCAAAGTGGCCGCCCTCGTACGGCGTCGCCTCCGGGCCCTGGATCGTGCCTGCGTAAGCGGCAGCAGTGCATAAGTACAGCAGTAAGCAGAGCAGAGTGAGAGTGATACTGTAAGGATGGTGCTGGGCCGCACCTCGCAGCTCCGAGAGCGACGCGGCGTTGACGGGTACAGCCGTGACGCCCGATAGGTGCGAGTCCTTCTGGCACTCCTCCAGCTCCTTGCGCACGCGGCCTCCTGTGGCAGCAGCAGCACAGCAGACCGCAGCGATACACGATAGGATTAACACCCCTCCTCATAGCGGCAGCGGATGGATGGATAGGTGGATGGATCTCCCTCCCTCACTCACTCACCTGGTGCCATCTTCACGTTTCGATCAAAAATAAACGAAGGGGGGCATGTGGGGCAAGTTTTGACCAATGGTTTCTCGTTCCTGCCAAAAGGATCATTCTGATTGGTTAGATCCATCACTTCAACTTGCTCTGGACCATCATTCTTCTTCTTGCGCCGTCTTCGTTGGGCTGCTGCTGCTGCACCCCCGTGCATCTGATGCAGGCGTTGGTTTTGTGGGCTGCTCCCTGTCCCTCACCACGCGGCCCTGCACCGCTGCGTGAACGCCAACGGCCGCCTGACCGTCGTCTGCTGACGGCGGCGACTGCAGCAGTTGAAACTCGGAGAGCGATCGAGAAATCTCCGAGGACCTAACGGCGGTTCGTCACGATGCAGCCGTTGGGCTTGGGCCGTCTCAACTGGAAAAGAAAACAACGCTGCAAGACCTGCGCAGCGAGTGGTTGGCACACTCCGTTCTACTTTGGATCGCGCACTCCTCGGTCGAGACGCAGTCGGAGAGAGAGATGAACGACGACGAGTTGCTGCACGAGGTGTTTCGCTTCAAGCACAAAGCCCCCAGCTCCCGCCAAGACGCGGCGCTGTGCGTTGCTCTGGCCAAGTGATGTGCTGCTTTTGTGACCGACTTGGAGGTGACGGGCGTTGCTGAGCTCAAGTGCGGCCGTGTCGAGCCCCTTGCAGACGACTGGGTCGTCCCGGCCTCCTACTTTGCTGCGCACGAGGTTGAGATTCTCCAACGAGTGGCCCGACGCCTGTCAGCATCGGGAGGGAGACACGCACGGGGCGACGTCTGGTACGATCCGTGGCTGCCCGAGTACGGGTGCGTCTTACAGCGCACAAAGCTGAACGCGACACTGGTCAAGATTGAGGTCGTTTTCGTCGACGGGTGGGAGCGCACGCTGCACTTCTTGCCAGCGGGAGAGTGTGTGCATTGCTCATTTCCTACCACCCACCACGTTCTGCATTGCGCTGACCTGGACACGGAGTTGGAGGTGAGATTTTCTAGTACATTCAATTCCGAGCTGCTTCGAGCTCAGGCGAGTAGAGGAACCGAAAGAAGTGCGGCCAGGAATGCGTTGGTGACGAGAAGGCTGGCGACAAGAACCACTAGAACAGTGGCGAAGAGAACGCCACTCCAAGCGTGATGGTAATTTGCCAGTCGCGGGATCCTTTTTGGGCACGCCAAAGATGTTTGATACCCATGGAGAGTCCGACACTTCGATCCAGTTCTTCTTCAGCAGCTCTGCCACAAAGATGTCCAATGCCTCCTGCTCAACCTTCGAGAGACGGAAGGGGGCGCGGTTGCTGGGCGTCGCACCTGGTTTCAAGACAACTTCGTGCTCGATTGAGCGGTTCCTGAGGGCCTGCGAGGTTTATATTGCGTGTGAGAGCGTGCCGCAAGTCTCTGCTGCAACGGCAACTTGTTACAATCCAGGCGGCAACTCTGACGGAAAGACATCTGCGAACCCGTCAAGTACTGCTTGAAGCTGCGACGGCACGGACTTCACCATGGGCGACGTCTTCACTGTGACATTATACAGTTCGGCGTACTCGTCGGCCTTCACCTTTGTCTCAAACTCTGCCGCCGAGAGGACACACAACGACGATCGCATCACGGAATGGCCACACGAGGGTGGTCCGTGAAAACGCGTCCGTTTTGGATCTTCCCAAGTAACTACCGACCCTTCAGAGCCTCCTCGACGCCTCAAGAGGCCTCTCGATGACTCTATTGGACGATGAAGACTTGGAGCAGTCGCCGGGGATCGAACGGTCGTCTTAAGTGCGGATCTCGGGTCAAAGTTCCTGTAAGTTCGGATCGTACTTGAAGTCCTGGGTGTCGAACTTGGGTGTCGACGAGTCTTCGGCACCGGTCCAGAATGGCCAATCAGCATCCGTCGAACATTGCTGTACATGTCCCGACGACTCGGGTCACCACTGAAGCTTGGTCGTCAGCTCGATTCTCGTTTACCGCCAAATCACTACACCACAGCTGCCTCACCGATAGCCCGGACGTCTTCCTTGAGTGGTTAAGAGGAAAAGCCGTTCCCGTAGCAATTGGATAAACCTGTTGGTAGGATTATGACTGTCGGTGGACGCGCCTGCTAGTATCGTAGCGTGCGTTTACCCGTGGTCAGGCCAAGAGTAGTGAAGAAGTGGCCGTGTATACGAAGGGCGAGTCATCACCGAGTAGTGGAGGAGCGAGAGCGCACTCCATTTATCCTTCCCGCCGGAGCTACACTCCGAGTTGTGGGTCGCGGCACATTACGCCGGCAGTTTTTTATTTTCATAATTTCTTACCGTAATTTACCTCCGAGAACGGTGGTAGAACGATCTTTGTGGATAGTCGTCCGTTTTACCTACACGACCTCTCAACCACCTCAGAGCTCGAAGAGGCGTCCGTTAGCCAGCGACCAGACGCGCGACCCTGTAGTCGCACATGCGAGGGTAAGATGAAACTCCCAATAATTACTGGCACATTACGGCGTCATTTTCAGAATTAATTTTTTTTCAAAAAAATTAAGAGGCTATGTATATAGATACCCACACATAGAACATGACGATCGAACTATCTTTCGGAAAATACAAAGGTCAATCCATTGAGGATGTATTCAAGAATGATCCTGGATACTGTCGTTGGATTCACAACCAACCTAGTCTCAACATTAGCGAGAAAATGAAAATCTTTCTTCACTCAAGATTCCTAAATAACGATAACTCCTATATGATGACGTGGGGTAAGTATCGAGGCAAATCTTTACAGCAGATCAGTAAATTGGATCCAGGCTATCTCGATTGGCTAAGAAAAAGTCAATTCGGGATTGACAAGTGTCCAAAGCTACTCAAGGAACTGAACTAAAAATATCTCTTTTTTTACTTACGCTGTAGTGAAGTCTAGAACCTCTCCGGTTAGTCTATCGAACGTTAGTTCCTGTTCGCTAATTACGAGGATCAGCATATTCACACCTTGGCATCCGGCGTTCGTACCCTGGATCTGAATAGCCTGAGGTACATCGCGCTCAGTCAGGCGACTGACATCGGCAATAAGCATGCGGTTTGTGAGCGACCACGTCTGATAGTCAAGTAGACCATTTACGATCTCAGGGGTTAGATCTCCGTTAATCGCTGAAATCTTAGCAATTTCGTTGGTAAAGTGGTGGAAATCATAGTCATGACTGATATCGAACACCTGAGTCGAGCCATACGAACGTTAAAGTTGCGAATCGACGACCCGGGCTGAAGCGTGTATGGAGAGCTATCGAAGGGGCTCTGGAACTGCTGAACAGTAGCAGAAGCAAAATTGTTTGTCTGTTCCGCGAATGGTAAAAGCACAACATATTTCGCGTTTTTAACACTTGCCGACAGCTGTAAATCGAAAGAAGCATTTAGTTGAGTCGAGGACTTACCAATACCAGCACGCTGGTAAAACCACTGTGCGTTGCAATCATTGTAGCGAACCTTCTTAACCGGCTTAGAGATAATAGCTTGAGGGTTCTCAAGATGAACGAAAGGGACATACAAACGAGCAGTAGTAAAAGGCATGTATGTACCATCGATGGTAGGTTCAAGAGCATTTACAACCGCTCCCCAAGCAACACTAAAGCCAGCAGATGCGGCAAGCACACCATTCATCGGATTACCGGTAGCAGAAGCGGCAATCATGACTGGACAACTATTACCAGACGATAGAGTAGTAGAGGTTAGCGACATACCCTTTGAAGCATCTACCGCGACTACAGACGTTCCCTGATTCACACGGAAACGCAGGCGAATTTGAGGGTTAGCCATCAAGTCAAGCTCACGGAAGATAGGATGCAGATCGGTGAGCTTAATCTTAAGCATGTAGTTCCACGTTCCCATGATTGCGTTAGCAGCAGTACCACCAGGTACGAAAGCTCCACGCGAGGTCTGGTTAGAAATGGTAGTCGATGCAGCAGCACCACCTACCGACGGCCAAGAGCTGGAGAAGTCAGCGCCAGCCGTAGGAGGATTCGATAGAAGGCGCTTAACGAAACCATCATTAGGAATAGTTGCACCACCAGGAGGAGCCGAGACAGCAAAGGAAGACGAGAATGCCATGGTGTTTGAATATCCATCACCACTGGTAGATGCGGATCCAGAACTGTATGATACCGACTGAGCAGCGTCAGGGTACAAGAACGATTCAGCTCCGTGCTTTTCAATGTACTTAGGGCTGTAGCCAGTCTGAGCACGAACGTTGTTCCAAAAGAGCTTGTAGTCAGCCATAGAGACGATAGTCTTTCCGTTGAGTTCCAGACTCAGACTATCAATAACGTTCCTATTTTCGGCATTTTAGAGTAGCACATAGACGATTGGCAGCGACAGTTTGAGCAGTGCCACCATTCTTCATTGAGACCTTGTAGGGAAGCGTAATGTAGGCATCACGAAGGCTTGCGAAGCCCTCGGAACCGTTAAGCTGAGCCGTAGCATCGATAGTGATGACACCATTCTGGTACGAACCCTGATTTAGGTCAATGACGTGCGGTACACGCTTGCTCGAAGATACCTTGATCTCCGGGTAGCTCTTAAGCGAGCTATGGTAAAAGTACTGATCGGATAGTTGAGTTTCGCTCATCGTTGAATCTATATGGATCCTAATATAGTTTGATAAAATTAAATATTATGTCGCACCTCATCAAGCCAATCACCTCAGATCATGATCTCATCGAACTCGCTGAGAAAATGAACGTTCAACTCGATAATATATTCGAATCAAATGAGATAAAGTCCCATCTCCCCAAGAAAGGGTCATTTCGGATTCTACTTCGCCCTCCTAATCTTGAGGTAGGACACTGGACGGCGGTTCATAATGGTGAATTCTTCGATAGTATGGGGGAAGGACCACCAAAGAAGTATGGTATCGATCGATACAACACCAAGCAATACCAAGGAACCTATGGAGACTACTGTGGACCATTCTGTATATTCGAAGCAATACCGTAAGCCAGATGTATTCAAAACAATGAAAGATCTAAATTTGACAATTCTGGAATAAATTTAATTCAACGTATATAGTAATCATGTATCGAGAATTAACAATCTCTAGTGATATTCCTGCGCGGAAGCTTACCAAAGCTTTCAAGACAGGTAAGCTCAGCCTAACCTCAAGCGAACTAAAGGGTAGTGGTTCAGTCATCCATCTCCACCCTGCTTCGTTTGAAAAGGCGCTCAAGGCTCGTAAAGCTGGACGCGGTGTCAGACTCGACATTACCAAGCACGAAGTGAAGAAGGGCTACCAAAAGGCTCAAGGAGGCTCTATCTGGTCCAAAGTATGGGGAGGGATCAAGTCTGCATACAAATTTGCTAAGGATTCAGGTCTACTATCCAGAGCCGTTGATGCGGCGGTTCCTGCTTTAGCTACTTATGCTGGTCAGCCAACGGCTGCTGTTCCAGCCAGAGCTGCAATCAAGTCCCTAACCGGCATTGGTATTTATGATTCCGATAGCGACAAGGAAGGAGGTCGCGTATCAATGGCTGACGTAAAGAAGGCTGCAAAGAATGCTCTTGCATACACGAAGCGCAAGGGGGTCATCACCGACGCGATCGATGCTGGTGAGAAGTTCGTACTATCAAAAGCTACCAAGCCGGAACATGAGGATCTAATCAGATCTGTGCGAAAGGAGGTTCGTCGCCGCTATGGTGTAGGCGTAGCAAAGAAACGTCCAGCGAAGGGTTCGCCAGAGATGAAGGCTAAGATGGCTGCGCTCAGGGCACGTCGTAAGACTGGTGGTTCGTTTACGTTGTAGCCGCCCTAAAAAAATACTCCGGATGTCTTTTTTTGGACGAATCAGAAGCATGATGGATACCGACGTATCTCTGAAAATCACTTTTTTATCATTTTGTTTATAGATACTGAGTGTAATACTAGCTCGAGCGCCATTATGACAGTTCATCCACGCATACTGGCTCGGTTTGTATGAAATGACCTTTCCAATAGCGGCATCACCTCTATCAAAAGCACTGACAATATCACCAGAAGCCACGTATTCGTTTTTGATCAGATCGCAACGAACGATGTAGGAACTGGTCGGGTGAATCTGAGGAATGATGTTCGATAGCTGAGCACTTGCAACAGTAGCTGATGTGGAGGGGTATGTACCCGCTGTGAGACCAACAACTTTACCGAATTCAGCATTATCGATGATCAGTCGAGGAACGCGGGTAGTAGTCGGCAATCCAGTACCACCAGAGGAGTATAAACCGGAGGTAGGTCTGGTCCATGTTCCACCGGTAGTTGGTAGAGTTGTAGGCGTAGGCGAGAAATCAAGCTGAGAAGCGTAATAGACACTGTTAGCACTCATTTTGATATAGAATACGTTATCCCCCGACGGATCGATTAGATACGCCCCAGCATTGACAAGAGCAGTCTGAATGCTTCGGTTGATATCGTCATACGAATAAATACTATCAGGGAGGGATACACTGATTGTGGATGTAGTTGCAGCGGTAGGTACTTCAATTTTGAACGTTGTGTTCTGAAATTGCATTGAATCAATGTTATACTCGCTGTCATACATCGAGTATAACATTGATTCAATGCAAATCGAAATCGATTGAATGGCACATACTACATCGCGGAGGTCAGCCGCCGATCCGGGAAAGGAGTATTTCCAGGTTGAATTGGTTCCATCTTGTACCAGATTGGTGCTGTCGAGTTTGATAAAGCTGGACATATTGATTATATGTTTGTAGGCATATTTTTGTTTGATAAATTGGAATTAGTCCTCGATACGAATCGGTCTATCGAAGTTATACCTGATCTGACCCTTGACCGAATCAATGAAGAGCATTTGGCCCTTTCGCTCCGTGGATTTGTTGTGATAATAGACGATTGAACGCTCATCTACTCCCTTGATATTAAAATCTTTCACAACCATCTGGAGGTCTCGCTTAGAATTAGCTTTCAGGATCGCTACGTACTCTGAGTTCAATCTGATCATCTTGTCCGTTGCGAAGTAGCTGTGGCTTAAGAAGATGGTTGATAGCTTGAAGTGGCGCCCTCTAGTGAAGTAATGTGAGAACAAATTCTTCTGAAGAAGCTTATCGTTGCTGTAGTCATCGATGATGACGAGCTCAGACTTATTGGAATTAATTGGTGTATGACGTACCCGTTCAACACTCGGAGGCGAGTCAGGGTCGGTGAATGTGATAAAGCCATCAAGCTTATCACGAATATAACTCCTGGTGTAACTCCTGGTGAGGATTACGAGCGATGATCGTTAGATGAGCAAATACGTGAGGAGAATGCTTGAGGATGAACATACATAATTTGTTCTTCCCTGAGAACGATGGCCCCAGAACCACCATTCTAAACAGCGCTTTGATGTCAAGTGCTGGAATATCACCCATAGAGGCGCTTTTGAATTTTTTAGGGATTGAAGCTCCGAAATCTGGAATACCGCTCATGATTATCGTCTAAACTATATAGGATCAAACAAAGATGAGTTCAGGTTTTTCTTATCCTAGCCCGATATTCACATCGCCGATTTATAATCCGGCATTCTTTCTCCAATTGGATGCCAGCGGGTTTCTAACGTATGACTATGCTCAGACTCTTTATCTGAATAAGTATGACTATCGCTTGACGTACATTACTGGTGTCTCTCAAGGCGTAGCATCACCTGGTGTAGCGCTTGTCCCTGGAAGTGGTGGGAACATCAGCGGTCTTGGAGGACTACGCTGTAGTAGCCTACTGTTAATGGTGCTTCCGTTTCAGGCGTACCAACGTATGTAGCTGATATTACTCCAGGTACTGCCGCTATCAACAAAGCTCTGGTACTTGGTGCATCAGGTGAAATTGCTACTATTAGTAGTTGGAAGGCAACGTCGATTACTGGCACGCTGCAGACAGCGGCTCAGCCTAATATTACTAGCTTAGGCACGCTATCGTCCCTCACCGTGAGTGGAAACATATCTGGTACATTGGCAACTGCTGCTCAGACCAACGTAACTAGTGTAGGGACACTCTCGTCGCTCACCGTGAGTGGAAACATCAATGGAACGCTAGCGACGGCTGCTCAACCAAATATCACCAGCTTAGGTACGCTTACTGGATTGACTATCGGAGGCAGTTTAACCTTTACTGGTGCAAGTCGATCCATTACAGGTCTTAGCTCGCTAACTGCAACTAACATTACTGGTACGCTACAGACTGCTGCTCAGCCTAATATAACATCGTTAGGTACTCTAACCGCTGTAAATTGCTCGGGTAATGTATCGGGTACGCTAACAACAGCTGCTCAGCCCAACAGTACTAGCCTAGGAACCCTGAGCTCGCTCACAGCGACGTCGATAACAGGAACGCTACAAACCGCTGCTCAGCCAAATATTACTAGTCTAGGTACACTTAGCAATCTAACACTTAGCGCTGGTGGAACCGGTTTATTCATTCCAAATCTGAAATTTTGGGATGGAGTCAGTTCTTGGATAAATTTCAATAATGCTTACTTTCTCAATGTTATCGAAGGGGGCGCTTCAGCCAGTAGCGTTGTGGTTCTCAATAGTACGAAAGATTACTCAGGCATTCGCGATCTAACCATATCGCGAAACTTTATAGCTTCGACTTCAATATCATCGCCTACGATCACATGTGATACGATTAGTAAGTCAGGTACTCAAACTATGAATGCAACGACCTTGAATATCAATCCTACTACGCTTCAACTCAGGGGAGATACTCTCAATGCTACAGGTGCGGAGCTGAACAAGCTTGCTGGATGCACAGCATCTACCGTTGAGCTGAACTATCTAGATCTTACCACCGGAGCAGGAACTGCATAAACATCAAAGGCTCTTGTACTAGACTCTAATAGTAGCATCTCATCAGGTATCTCATCTCTAACGTCAACCAATCTGATATCCACTACTTCTACCCAATGTCAGATTGCGGCCGGGACATCATTTACATCAACAACGCGTGCCTCTGATTTTAATCTCATGATTCGTAATCAAAGCAATACGGTTGGCGCTCAGGCCGGATTATCGTTCACGATTGAAGGTACTAGTGATATGACAACGTACACCCCTAGCGTTAATCTATATTGTACTAGAACCGCTACGAGTCTTCAATATTCAATGGCTGATTTTGCAATCAGTACACGGTCAGGAGCTAATGCATTATCACCAATGACTGAACGTATGAGAATCACTCAAGCAGGATACATTCGCTTTGGATCAGCTACCAGTACTGCAAAAATAGATATAGTTTCGAGCACGAATTTACTTGGCAACGCGCAATGCGTATAGCCGAGGATGCTACTACTCCAATCGAATTTGAAATTCAGGTATACAACGATGTCGCGGGAAAAAGTAGTGGTGTAGCTCTAGGCACCACTACGAGCGACCCGCTAAGGTTCATGGTTGGAAACACAACTCAAGCTTATCTAAACAGCTCAGGAAGACTGGGAGTTGGTATGAGTACGTGGTCGCCAGAAGCAACCATTCACTCAGGCGGAGAGGTATGGGCGAATAATTTCATGCACGTAAAGGGAGGCGGCGATGGATTTGCTAGGTATCGATTCAATTGGTCTCAGACTGACTATCCAGCGATTGGTACTGATTCAACCGTAGGAGCTATCAGGTTGGGAAAATGCGATGCTAATTACGCGTGGACAGCCTATGTCCCGGTGCGTGGAGGAAGCTATACCAATGCAAGCGATGAGAGGTTGCAGGCGGACATTGTAGACTGTCCCTATGGTTTGGCAAGCCTTATGAGAATGAGACCTAGAAAATTCAGAATGGTTCAAGAGCAGACTGTCCATGTTGGCTATATCGCGCAGGAGCTGTATAAGGTCATACCAGAAGCAGTAGATATCGGAGCAAACGATGAGCTTAATCCGGATGGGTTTCCAGTGAATCCATGGGGAATCGATCTCGCCAGTTTAACCTCGGTCTCCCGTCAATTCCTTTGAATTTCAATCTTGCGATTATACTTTTCAGGCGGAGTGTTTAACGCGTTAGCTGTTATATCTAAAAATTCTAAATATTAGTAAATCTATCCAAGAACAGCAAGGCCAAATCAATAATCTCAAAGCTCAATGAGTTGAGAGCGATTATGTCGGAGTAAATATAGAATGGTATCTGTCAAACCCAGTTCGTGGCGAAGACCGCTTGCCCTCAGACTACTAACGCTAATGTCGTTGATACTGATCAACTACAATGTGATCGAATTGTCGAATTCCACGAGAGGTTATATATGGTATTGGCTCAGGGATAATTTCGCACCGACAAATATAGAGCAGATCTTGAGTAAATCGTTGTAATAGAGTATCATGGGCTGCGGACCAAGTAAAACGATCAAAAAGAACCTGACTAACCCTGAAACTGGCCAAGTCATCGGTTCAATAACGATGCACGCTGGAGTGGTTTCGATAGGGAATAATGCTTATATCCCTATGTACAACGTGCATAGTGGCAAGAATGCTGTCATGGCTATCGATATCGGAGATAAAAAAAATCAGACTCAATCGAGAGAAGAAAACAGACGTAGACATCTACGTATATCCGCTCTGCTCTATAGAGCAAATGTCTTCACAGACTATGACTTTTTTTTTGGCTGGTAAGCCCAGACTCGGCCGCCTTCAGTTTGGGTAGATGCCTCCACCTTCTTGGTCGACTTGTCGAGGTCAGTAGCCCACACAGCGGCTTGGGTCTTCTGGGGACGATCATGAATGATGAGGTGCTTCATGATAGCTTTCAACTCAGCGACGTTGAGGTCGCTATTGTCACCATAGCTGCCTCCGGAACTAGATATAATGCGCGAGTTGAAGAAGAACATGGTTTTATAATAAACGGGTGATAATATCTTTGAACTCTTTATCATCAATCCGTCGATTGCTGTACATATCCACCGTGAGAGACTTGAGCTGCTTGATGATACTGGGGTTGTCATTTCCGAGTTGTAGCTCTCCTTTTAGCTTATCGTATTCAGCCCTAAGCGTATCTAGAGGATCCTCTAACTTATTGTGGAAGCTGTATTGGAGATGAGTAATCAATAGAACCTCCTTGAACAGTTTCTTATCTTCAACGCTAAGCTTATCGTAAGCGGATTGATCGATACGGTTCTTATAGACAAGTGCCTTGATCATGGCTTGGAGGCTATCACTGATTTCCCACTTAGGACCACATTTACGCCGATTCGGCTGAACGATCACGAGCTTTTTAGCATCAAGGTCGGGGATACGAATATACTTGCTTCCGATCTGCTTGTATGTGTAGGCTGACGGCGTTGCTAATCCTTGGATCTCATTGAGATTGTAGGTACGGCCTCGGCGAACTAACTACACCTTCCAGCGGGGCAACACCTGCACCGCGCAATCCTCGACCTTGAAGCTTTCGTTTAACGCCACTCGCTTGCCTCGGCGTATCGCTTAGCCTTCGTTTGATATATCGATTTTGTCGCCTTCATAGCTGATGTAGCTGCCTTCAACACCGATCTCGCTGCTTTTGAGTTATTCCCTCTACCAGCCTCTTTTGCTTCTTCATAGCGTTTCTGAGCCTCACCGTATGTCTGAAAAGCTGCTTCTGACCCATCATGAAGCTTTTGCAAGCCGTCATCGTATTCATACTCTTCAACGCTATGCTGCCTAATATCGTGTACAGACTTTAGAATAGCCTCATTCAATATTTCAAGATTTGCATCCAGGTTTTTACGCCTTTTCTTATCAAGCTCCTTTTCTTCAAGTATCTTAGCTGCTTCTTCATCGCTCGATGGGAAGGGGTATTCAACCTCATTAAGATAGCGGTCCAAGTCCTCAACCCCGTTGAGTAGGGACGAAAAGGTATCCATCCACATGATATTCTTCATTAGCCCACACCACTCACCTGCTTATGTGCTTTGTTTTCACGATTTAAAATATTTAGGGGTCTAAACCCCGATGGCTGCCCAAAGTAGTATGATGGATGGGACTTAACAACACCGTTGATTTTCACGATTGGTTGTAGCCGAAATGGAATATCAATACTATTAGCGTGCAACTGGCTGTAGTAATCAGTTAAGATATTCTTGGCTTCGTTATCAGCGTTTGATAGGCTTGGGTCCATGTCTTCATCAATACCACTCATTAACCCATGCTGAGCTTCACCATTAGCTGGGGTAAAATCATTTATGTGTTTGGTTTCATTGCTCTCAACTAGTTCTAACTCGAGGCCCCTGGCTTTAGTCATATTAATAAAAGATTGGAGTGTCATTATCCAGTTCACTTTCTGAGTGATTGCTTGCTTCACACGATCGCTATCTTTCCCGTAAACGCTAATGCTATTGCCATTGATCCAAACATAGCCATCTTTGTCAATAGGAGAAGATTTTGCGGAACCATTAAGAATTGGTACAATCTTTTTTATCAATCCGTTAGATTCAAGGACTTCCCTATTTTTGCTAATTGTCCAAAAAATAATTTAAGCTTGCTGTCCATTTGATCGGATCTTGTGGATGTTCCAGTATCGAACACAAAACTGTCGTCAAGTCTCTGCATAGAGCGGTTTGAATAATCTCCTTCTGAGGCATTGATTCTTTTTCTTTTTGAGCCAATATATTGCAAACCTGGTATGGGCTATTTTTGTCCTCTTTACCCATCTCATTACGTCGCTCCTTCTCATTGACGTATGCGAGGAATCTGACATCATTAATTAATACCTCACCAATATGGTCATACGTCTCAGACCAATCAATGCTCGGAACTAGTACATATTTTCTCAGTTTAATACTGTACACCTTAGCATCCATCCCAATATAAT